GAGGGTAAAGCCATTCAAAAACCGCTGCGCCACCGACAACGTCTGGCTCTGGTCCGCAGTTCTCATGCATTGCACCCACATGGACACCTTCTTTTTCGTTATGCGTCGAAATGCGGACATCGTCAGCGGGTACAGGTGCGACTGCTGCTGGTGCTTCTTGTACGATCGTGCGTCCGCGGTTTGGAACATCCAGGTGAGGATCAAGTCGCGCTCCTCGATCCAGTTGTACGGCGTGTCTTCCAAAACTGGAAATGATTTGAATTCCGCGTCCGTTACTTGCAGCGCTTCATTTTTTTCAAAACCAAACACCGCCGCACTCTTCGGGAGCTCCAGCGACTCCAGACCCTTTTCGAACATCCCGCCCGCTTTCATCTTCGGCGCTGTCAACATCTGTTCTGGGACTTCGTACGACTGGGCGATTTTCCGCAGAGTCGTGTTATAATCCGAGCACAAAACGTCGCTCTTTGCACCCAGGTACGGCGTAAGGTACTTGCAGTGCTTGACCGGGAACGGGCTCTTCTCGATCAAAACGTCCTCGATCAACGCTGCAATTTGGTCCTTCGTCGACATGGTGTCAGCAGCTGTCTTCGATGGCTTCCGCGATGCAGGCGGCATCGGGGTAGAAGGGACTTGATGCAGGCCGTCGTCGACGATCGGGAGTTTGTTCTGCGACTGCTGCGCCGGTGCCGGTGCCGGTAAAATTTTAGTCAGGTAGTCGTGCAGGGCCGGGATAACGGCGGGGGTAGTTGTAGCAGCAGGAGGTGCAATCGAAGCAGCGGGCTTCTTGCTATTCGGTGTTGTGACCGCTGGCGTCTGCATCTGGCCCGGGGTAGGAAGTTCGCTTGGTCCTTCTGCGAGGAGGTTGTTATTTTTCTGGTCGAACGTGGATCCCATCAGCGCCTTGTTCGGGCTTGGTGCTGCCGGTTCGTACGCGAACAGGTTCGACAACTGGTCGTCGTCCTCCCCGTAAATCTTAAACTCAACACATTCGATGTCACTGATGCTTGCTAAAAAATCTTCATCTGCATCATCATCAACATATACCCCTTCTTCGTCGATACCCCAGTACTCCACCCATTTGTCGACCACGGAGTCCATCGAATCGGAGTACGGGACGGGCTGTCCGTTCTCGGTCAGAACACCAAACTGCGACATGAGCATCCGTGTTGAAAAGAAGCCGTTCGCCCCCGCCTCGAACCGCATGTTTTTCGTGATAAAGTCGGTCGAAATCGTAAACACGTTGACCGCGATCCACTTGCAGATGAGGACTCTGTCGTCCGCAGTGTGCTTCTTCGTAAAGTACGTCAAGAAGCTCCTGGCGCGGAGGAAGTACGTCGCCACATGTAATTTCTTCTTCTTGACCTCTTCCGACAAACTCTCGAGCGCGGGGACCACAACAGCGCACTGGATCCACGTCGGGAGTTCTTCCGCAGCATCTTCTCCCGCGAGGTTAGTCACCTTCAGCGGCCACGTTTTGCCGGAGATGCAGGTCGGCATGAACGTCGTGGAGGAGCTGCTCTGATGCATCGCAACAGTTGCGAAAAAGCGTTCGCGCTTGATGTACATGCTCCTCGTGTTGGGATTCAGCCCTTCAATGAATCCCAGCCTCTTGCGGGGCTCCTTCTCAGCCTTCAACTGCTCCTTAGTAGGGAGCTCGCGCCAGTTGAAGGACTGCATCTCGTTTGTTTTTTTCTTCTTCTTCTCTACTAGTTTCTTGGTGAAAAACTCTCTCACACTTGTTACTATGTGCCGCCGCCGATTATTTATGTTGCTGTTTATTAACTCCGCCACCGCCGATTCAGTTTCTAAATAATGGTCGCGATAGTAAAAGTGGTACAGGTCTGATTCCGTATGATTTGTTGTTTTGGTTGATCTTTTGCGGGTGCTTTGTCTAACCGTCAGGGGTGCCACGATACAAAATGGAAGAGTGTGTGCCCCTCGGTTGTCGAGCGCGTCGTGCGATCGGAACATCGACGTCAAAGTCGTGACGCTGTGCGTAAAAAAGATGACTCTAATGGCGTCTCGCATCGCCTTCGGGATCCCGCGTGGGGCCGAAAAAGAGGACAAAAACATCGCGAGAAGGAGCATGATGTGCTCCGCGATTAGGATAATGATACGCCGCTGATACTATTCGTACTGGGTACTATTTGCATGGTAGAATACAGATTCACTGATATCCTTGGGTGAAATGCGAGCAAAAAGATACGGGGAACTGTTCTAAACCCTAAACCTACAACACTGTAACGAAAAAATAACCTTACTTGCATGGCATGATGCGCATAAAAAGGTTCTTAAAAACGGCCCCGACCGACCTTAGTAGTGTCTTCTTTTCACGGTTCTGTAGATCCTGCTCTAGCTTTAGAATACGTTCCTCTAGTACTTCGACACGGTCAGAGACGTCGTCCCATAGGTTTTTCAATGATTTGCATGGCGCGCTCATAGCGGGCGAATACAGACAAAAATAGTACTAAAAACGGGGCTAATCGCGACCGAAAACGAGCGACAAAAGGTACTTCCTCAAGTGCTTCTTAGCAGTATTCTCAGTACTGACAGCGGAGACGCGTATCTCCTCGAAGACCGAGCAACAGATGCAGGGCGGAAATGAACTAGAAGTAGTCAAACGTGATCTAAAACCGAGCGCGACCATCTAAATACAGCCGCGGACGACTACGACGATCAAAACCGACATAGTATAGTACTGAAAGCGATGAAAATGAAGACCGAATCGACGGATTTCTTGTACTTTTGACCTTTACATAAGGCGGACACAGCGGCGGCACATCTAAAATGCACTGAAAGGCGTGCTTCTTTCGCGTCGTCCTCCGACGAGCAGCTTCTTCCTCTTTTTTTGGTCCCCAATTGCGAAAAAAACATGGCCTATATGTTCGGAATCACAGTGAGTCCAAAATCATCATCGTCGTTCTTTGATTCGTGCATCTACGTCTTTATTCCGAAGAATATATCGACCTACGAACCACAAAAGCTACGCGTACTCCTCATAAGCTCAAACGACTCTGCTACTCCACCAATATCTTCCCGTACGTGTAGTCCTCAATTGTCACTCATCGCTCATGCTCCTGGACAGCTGAGAAATGATCACTCATGATCGAATTTCATCGGACAGGTTGTCCTAATTTCCCGCAATTTTGCAAGATTTCATCTTTATTGGCCGCCGACTGATGATATTTTGCCTCCATTGGGCACAAACTTGCAAGATTTTGCTCGAATTGGCCACCCACTTGCAGCAGTTTGGCTGTGATCGGCGCCAGCTTATAATATTTTGCCTCAATTGGCTATGAGCTTCCCAGATTTTGCCCCGGTTGGCCACTTACTGGTGACATGTTGTCCCAATTGGCCACCAGCTTGCAAGATTTTGTCTCGATTGGCCACCCGCTTGTGATATTTTGCCGCGATTGGCCACCAGCTTCCGACATTTCCCTCCGATTGGCGACCTGCGCCCTTGCCCGGTCCGGCCTGTGCCCTTGTCCGGTCCGGCTGGTGCCCTTGCCCGGTCCGGCCGGCGCCCTTGTGGGTGTCTAAGCCTGCCGAATGCGCGCGGTTTGATTGGCCCAGACGTGGCCAAGGTCGTGGCCGTCTGGTGTGCTGGGCGGGCCTGCAGGTGCGCAGGGGCGGGCACCCTTGCCCAGGGCGGAAGGCCGCCGCTGGCGCGGTCCGCGGAAGGCGTTCGGAGGGCGCGGCCCCTGCTCCCCTTGCGGGGCCCTTTCTGTTCAAGGCATTCCGCATGCTTTGGCCCAGATTTGCCCGTAGGGGCATTCCAGGCTCCATCTCTGGTTGCCAGGGTGCGGCATTGGCATCTCGCTGCGATCCGGTCGCGCCGTGCTACGCGGGAGCGCGACCGCGGGCCTTTCAGGCCTTTGCGCCATCGGCCTTGTATGTTTGGGCAGCAGGGAAAGCTGCTCCCGGGACACTCGTTTGTGCCCAGGACGGTTTTTGTTTTCCCAACCTCCCTCCCTTTGATTGGTGGTCGCGCATCAGTGCGCTTGCTTTGCGCTGCTTCGGCTTCGGCCGTGATCCAGTTCGCAGGACTCGTTGCGCCCCGGTGACTTGTCGCCGCGGGGTGCGATGTGCAGCGCCTCAGGCGGCGCCTTTGCGGATTCGCGTTCGCCCTTTGGTTCGGTGTTTCCTGGTTCCCCACCGCCGGGTCGCGGCCGCTGAAGCCGCTCCGGCCTCGGGTGTTCGCGTTCGGGCGAGGGCGATCTCGCTTCGGCGACGCCTCTAGGCGCTGTGCTCTTTTGGGACCAGACGGCCCTGCGACTGGCTCAAGGCTGGGGCCAATAAAATGCCCGGCCCGGCCGGCGCCCTTGCCCGGTCCGGCCGGCGCCCTTGCCCGGTCCGGCCGGCGCCCTGCGGGTGCTCGAAGTTCTCGCCGCGTTTCAAAGTAGCGCGCCCAATTTCGCCCGCATTGCGTAGTCCCCCAGGCTTTTGGGATGATTTGTTGCTTTCGTTAGCAGTCGCCTGGGTCGGCAGCCGCCACAATAGAGAAATGGCCCGCAAGCACACTAGGATCGCCTTCCGCTCGCTATGACAGCGGGCGGCGCGGCAAGGGAGCTCGAAAGCTGGCGCGGCGTGCTTCTCACCTTCGCGCTTGATATCTTCATCTTCGGCATTTCTTTCTTGGTATTCCTGCTGACCCGACATCGACGGTGGGATAATGTGCCTGACCTCCGGCCCAGTATTGTACGAAAGCCAACCGGTGCCCCTTGGGAGCAGGCTCCACTCGATGCACGAACGCCTTCGCAGCGCTCCGATGGAAGCGGCCGGGCAGTACAGGTCCTTGGAGATGAACTCGGCTACCCAAACCGGCGCTCGGACTCCGACGGCGAAAGTCATCGCCCTTCCGTTCTTCCGCCGGATCGACCGTCCGTTGCGGTCTCGGACCTCCTCACCCGCGGGCGGCGAAAGCAAACTATCGAGGCTACCGGAGCGGAAGGCCTTCTGCCGGACCACCGGCGACCGAGCCGCGTTGCCTCGATCAATGCCGGCCGCCGCCCGCACTCGCTTGTCTCACCGCGGGACCGACCGACTTATGCGACCCCCTCCGCAACGCCTTTCCTTTCCGGGAAGCGCCCGGAGTCGGCGGCAGGGTTCACGAAGCGCGCCACTTTTGCGGAGCGGGTTGCGAACAGCAAGATGTGGGACGTTGTAGAGGATGCCGCCGACGACGCACTCGTAAACGTCGCGATTCGGAACTACCTTGCCTTTCTCTGGAATCTATGCCAATTGTTCGCAACACTGGGTGTCGTGAACATGCTTTTTCTCCTGCCGGACGTATTGCAGCAGGGCGAGATTGGAGATGTGGTACCTATCGCGATCCAGCTAGATTCCAAGCACAAGTTCTGGCGCACCTACCTCGTAATTTGGGTTTCAACCATCACAACGCTCTTCTACGTCCACAAATTCCTGCGCAGCATTTTGGTTCCACTGCAGTACAGCTGGGGGAGGCACTGTTCGCGGACCACCGTCCTCCTCCGTGGCATTCCGCGGGGCCCGCGCTCCTACTTTTTCGGGCCACTGCTTCCTGGTGCAGCAGTAGCCGGTGGCCGAGTCACCGCAACCGATCTGTTCGACATGTCGCGGCGCGACGTAGTGCGAGTCGAGCGGGACTTACGTGATGCGTTGGTGTTGTGGTTCGTGCAGCGCGAACAGCAAAAGAGCAGCATGACCGCGCAGGAGCGAAGCAATTTCGAGGCTGGATTCTACAGCCCTCCCGTTCACTTGATTTCGCCACGGCCCGAGCACCAAGATAGTATTGATCTGGCAGCTTCCGGTGGGGATGGAGGTCCCGCTGCTCGGAGTAGCAGCAGCAGCCGCTCGGATCAGGACGATCCGGAATCCCCGACGTTGCGCCCGCTAGAGGCCGCACCGTGGAGAGCCCGGAAAGTTGAGGCGACTTCCGCGCAACAAACGCCGCCGCTGTTCGGTAATGGGCATAGATCGTCCTCCAAAGCAGAAGAAAGCAGCCGCACTATTGTAACTCCGCCGGGCGTCGCAACGCCGGTCACGATGAATTCGCCCGTCGCACTCCTCGAGGCAGAAAAAGCGCGGCGTCGCGAGCCTGCGGACTCGCTGTCCCGTATTCGTCTCGGTGACGAATACTTCCAAGCCGAGCCCGCCTGCTCCTCTCGGTTTACAGATCAGTTGATAGCGCGCATCAACGACGGAAAGCCGTTGGAGCTCGCCGAGGTCGCCCGCGAGCATCCGATCGTGCGCAGATTTCTCGCGCAACAAAGCAAAGGTCGCAGCGCAAGTGCGCGCAAAGGAACGCCCCGGGGGTCGTCTTCGCGAGACGGTGGTCTTCCGCACCTGTCTGAATTTACCGGTGGAGTGGACCAAAAGCCGGGCGTGTCACAGGTAGAGCAGCGAGACACAGTGTACTACGCGGAGCGCGAGAGATCAGCGAGCGGCTACGAGTTCCGCCTCCTGGACGAGGAAGACAACATGCGCATACTCGCTCCCGGATCTTCCGCTTCGTCAAACGAACTCATCCTCCCCGACACCCGGATTTCAATCGACGCGGCCGCCGCAGCTGTCTTTGCGAGCACGGAAGGTGGAGCGACGGCGTTGACAACAAGCAAAGGGCGGATTTTGGCAGTGCACGTTGTTCCTAGCTGCGCAGAAGTACTAGACTTGCAGCGCCAGTATGCCGATGCGTGTGCCGCTTTGGCGCACTTTCAGGACCGGTTAGAAACCGTCAGAACCAAACTCGGCCGCGGTAACTCCGTGCACGCGGCTGAACCGGTCGCTACGCGGGAGGTACACGTAGAGGCGACGATAAGTAGTGCGCCGCTGCTTCGTACTGGGGAGCAGACTCACGACACAACTTCACTCCCGCTTCCGGATCATGACAACTCTGCCGACGTTCCCACCAATGCCACCACTTGCTTCGACCGGCTGATGCAGTCCTTCATCGCCAGAGTGCAGGCGTTTTTGACGTTCTACTGGCTGTTGGAGGCGTTTCTGCAGATTCGCGTGATGTATCTCAAGGCTTGCCTGCTGACGGTGAGTGAAAAGCTGGTGGAAAAGCTCACTTCCAGTGGCAGCCTGTCCGGGCTTGCCTTCGTCACCTTTCGCAGCTCGAAGGACGCGAAAAAGCTGGTGCGCAGCGGGACGTTTTCCTTCGGACGCCCGCCCTTCCAGGCGATCACGCTGGAGGCCTCGCGGGCGCCCAGCCCCTCGGACATTTTCTGGAGCAACGTGCACGTGTCGGACGTGTGGCGCGGGACCGTGCGGTGGACGCTGACGCTGTATTCTGAGTAAAAACGTCCCCACCCCAGAGTTGTAATGCAAAAACGCATGCCCAAAATGTTTCTAATGCGGAGCCCCATGAGAAGCAATTTCTACTCGTGTTTTGGAACTTGTAATGCTCCAATCAGCATGGTAGGCCAGATTTGTGATGCTTCCGAACGAGCTAAACAGCATTACAATTATATGAGGCCAAACTTGTCATGCGCAACAACCTAAGTTCGTAGATTTGTCTAGCAGTTTTCCCATCTTGACTATGGGGTGGGACGTTTTTACTCAGAATACGCTGCTGCTGTTCCTCTTCCTCCTCGTCCTGGTCACGCCCGTGGTCATCACCCAGGCAATATCACAGGAAAAAAGTGTTACAATTACACATTTGTTGGAGTTTCTGCATCACAAAGTTGCTCGACGTGGCAAAGAAAAGCTGTAATGCGCAGACTCAAGGGGAAAAAAAGCATGAAATGAGGCTGACAAGCATTTCCTGCATGACAGAGGGTGTCTGTCTTGCTTGTCTTCCATTAGGGTGTGTAACTGCAACACTTTTTGCTCAGGATTGGCCATCACACCGCTGGTAAACGCGGTGAAGAACGGGACGAGCCGGTGGGAAAAGTACCTGACCAAGGCGCTCGACCGGTACGACGAGGTATTCTGGAGCTACCTGACGGACTACCTCCCCATCGTGATGCTACTCGCTATATCAAAATGAAAAATCCCCGCTCCCGATATCAAAATGGAAACTTGTAATGCTGATTTGTAGTCACAAATCTTTTCCTAGATAAGAATGTCTTGCCTATATGGTAATAGGAGCCTTGTGGCGCATTCTACAGCCAGTCTGTCATGCGCTTTCGACTACTGCAAGCCTGTTTGCCATGCCTAATTGCTAGCCTTCTGCATACCCGAACAGGCTTAGAAAATACCGGCAGGCAGCGTCTGCAAGACAAATCTGATTAGTGGTCACAGACTAGCACCACAAATTTTGATTTTGATATGGGGAGGGGGGATTTTTTCTGACAATACGCTATCAACACGGTGCTGGTGCCGTTCCTCATCTCCTGGATCGCGCGGTGGCAGCGGGGCGAGCTATGCTTTGCAAAAGTATCGTATTCGTATAAATGCATTACAAATTTCCTCAGCATGAGAAATGAAATTTGTGATGCGGATTTAGCTTAAGAACGCGATTTGTAATGTATGAATGCAATTACTACGAGTGCAATACTTTTGCACAGGATATGAGCTCCGCAGCGACTACGACGTCACCTGCTTGCGCCTGAACCTGCTCACCTCCATATCATGAGGAAAAACGTCCCCACCCCAGAGTTGTCATGCAAATCTGCATGCCAAAAAAGTTTCTCATGCGGAGCCCCATGAGAAGCGTTTTCTAGTCGTGTTGTAGAATTTGTGATGCTCTAATCAGCATGCTATGCTAGATCTGTGATGCTGCTGGAGCTAGCTCAACAGGATTACACTACGAGGACAAACTTGTCATGCCAAACAACGAAAGCTAGTTGATTTGTCTAGCAGATTTCCCATCTTGACTCTAGTGTGGGGACGTTTTTGCTCAGGATACTCCACGCTCAACGTCGTGCTTCTGCCCCTCGTAGGTTTCACCAGTCTGCAGGCGCTGCTGCAGTTTGAAATCTACAACGCCGGGCCCCCGCCGGCGGGGAGCCGGGCGACTGCCGCGGTTACAGCAGCGCGGACGGAGGGAGATGAAGCAGCAGGTTTGACGAGCGGGGCGAACGAAAACTTCTGGTTGCGCTTCGGAGAGTCCATTGCGTTCTCCGTGTCCGGCGTTTTCACCCTGCGATACCTGATCAACTGCGCTTTCCTCACGGCCAGTACGCAGCTCACGCAAGTTTCGCAGGCGTTTTACCGCTTCTTCATGCAGAGGTTTGTGGCCGTCACCGATCTGGAAAGAGTAAGGGATGAAACAAGACAGGGAGGCGGCAAGAAACTTTTGCATCGTTTTCTCTGGTGGCGTACAAAAATGGTTCAAACGCTGTTTTGACAAAACAACACTTCGTAGGAGAAAAGTTGCTTGGCACCGCTGTCGGTTTGTCGGTTTAGCGACTGACAATGTGCCTGAGTAGTTTTCCACCTCCTACGAAGCGTTCCCTGAAGCGAGTGGGTGCGCAACTATTTGTTTCTTTTTAGGTAAAAAGTCAGGGCGTAATTTGGCAAGTCTTTACAACTTGATGGCGTTTACCGAACCGACACCGAGAGGAATGATTATCTCGCCGCTCCCTGCTTTTTCTGTTTCAGACTCGGACACACTGACTGCGCCGTGGCCGTTTGACTGGGGGTACTGGTACGCGTGGAGCTTGGTAATTCTGTTTCAGGGGCTCTTTTTCGGCGTGTGCGTTCCCGCGGTGCCCTTTTTGGCGTCCCTTCTTTTCTACATCAAGTATCGGACCGACAAGTACAATTTGTTCTACTCGGTGTACTATGAACTGCAAAAGCATCGTACTAGTATGAATTGCATTACAAATTAGCCCAGCATTACAAATTCAATTTGTAATGCTCATTTACCTTGGAAAAGAGATTTGTAATGCAGAAATGCAATTACTACGAGTACGATACTTTTGCACAGGATATGTACTCAAGCTATCAGGAGGAAGCCGTCGACAAACTGCTTCCTTTGGTGCTGCAAGCGATGCTGTTGGCGATTTCCTGGATGCAGTTTTTCGTGTCGGGCTGGCTCTTCGTCAAGATCGTCCCGGGGCTCTTCTTCTTTTCCGCCGGGGTAGACCAGGAGGGAACAACTGTAGTGTCTTCGAACGCCTTGCTCGGAGCTGCAAACAGGGCGGTAGATCAAGATGACAAAGCCAGCGACGATAAAGGTCCGTCATGGTACGAGCAAAGTCAAGTGGCGAACGCGGCAACGATTTTCCTTTTGTTTTCCTCCTTCTGCTTCGTGTTCTACTCCTACTACCTTTCCGGCCTACTGCAAAACGCGCTGACGCAGCACGTGCGCAGTGACACGGGCGACATAGAGGACACGTCGGCCAGTGAGGAGGAGTGGGAGGTTGAGTGGAAGAACAATCCGAAGCTGCATATGCATTGCAAATATGTCTGGGTCTGGAAACATGTAAACTTCTCATGCGCATTTGAGACCACGAAAAAATCTGTCATGCATGGACAGCAAAAGTTGCTCATTTCTTGTCACCCAAAGAGGGAACTTGTCATGCGGATTAGGCATCACTTAACCTGCCCAAAACCTGTGTTGCTAGGACTTGCATGCCAGACCTTCTGTGTCATGCACAAACAGCATCACCCTCTTTCAGACCCAGACATATTTGCATTTGATACTGCAACACATGCTGCAAAACGCTTATCTTCCGCCCGTGATGGACCAAAACACCAAGCGCTGGTCCGCTAAGCTTTTGCAGAACTTTCGCATTTACGACTTTCTGAAGTTGTACGAGTAATTTTTTTACGGCTCCTTGTCGTACAAATTCATGCATTCAAGCAATCGGGAGCGGTTCGTTTCTACGAATCAAGCAGCAGGAAGGTGCTTGTGTTCCTTGCAAAAACCAACTGACTTTGCAATCGCATGTTGGGTACATCATCGGTCTCGCTTTTTGTGTCGCGGGATACTTATTTCTCGGTCGTTTTTGGAAGTTTTCGTCGGTCGAAGATATTTTCTTTGGTCAGCAACGTTTCTTTTGCAACCGACACCGAGCGACAAAAGTGGAATTTTCTGCTCCTTGTGTGTACGATACAAAAACAACTGCAAACGAGAAATTGCTTGTGATCGTGTGCAATCTCCTCGTGGCATCGATCTCGCTTTTGTGCGTTTGTTTCATTACAGTGAAACTTTTCTTCCCGCTACCCATTCTACCCATAAGAAAAGTTTCAAGTAGGAGTTATGCCACTCTTGATGCACACTTAGACCACGCTTGTCTGTTCTCAAATGATCTTTTTCGACGTACACGCGCGTTGTTAAAAAGAAGTCTTCTACTACTTAGACATTTCTCAACCATGAATCACTTACTGCACACGGTGCGCGACTACAGCACCCTGAAACCAGGCGACCACGTTTACGTATGGGGTCCCCTCGCGCTGCACCAGCACCACGGCATCGTAACCGAAATTCTTGAGGCCGGCTCTTTTCAGGACGAGGAGGACGAGGCGTTCCAAGCCGAGCTGTGCGATCGCATACTGGTCACGCACTTCTTCCCCCTGGACCACGCCAAAGAACAAGTTTCCGAGGACAACCACGTTGGCGAAGTTGACCATGAAAGCGCGACTAGTGCGAGCTCCATTCCCGTGGAGTCGCGGACCCCAACTCCGGACGCGACGCCGAGTGGACCAACGTCGGCGCCGACCGCATCGGCGTCCCTGCCGGAGCTAGGGCGCAAACTTTTCATGGACGCGTCCTTCGCTATCCTGTCCGGCAAGCGGCGTGACGCACTCGCTTCGGTGCACCAAGTGACCCTCAGGGACTTCTGTAATGGAAGAGTGCTGAAGAAGGCGAAGTACGCGGCGCAACCATGGGAGCTGTTAGTGAAGCGAAGTGGTATTCGATTTTTTTGTGTAAGCTGCTGCGCTCGATGAATCTTTTTCATGGACCGAAAACCAATCCAGTACTGACGAAGAACACGACCATCTTCACAGAACGTCGTAAAGTAATCCCATAAAAATATCCGAGTGTCCGATGTTTGTGTGTGTATGATGATTGCACAGCAAGCAGAGCGAGCTACTGCGTAAAACTGCCCTTTTCTTCACCAGGTACGTGTTACGCAGAGGCTGCGGACACGGACGAAGAGACGCTGGTACGGGCCGCCTGCCTCCGCCAAGCGCGGCAAGAGCGTCCATACGATTTCAACACGTTGCTGCATGCGAACTGCGAGCACATGGCATTCTGGTGCAAGACGGGAATTTGGCGCAGCAGTCAAACCGCGTTTTTCGTCTGGGTGGAGCAATTGGTCATCCAGGCGACTCGAAGTGGGTCGCGGAGCACATCAGTAGTCGGCCGGAATAGTGAGGGCCAGCAGGGTCGTGCGGAGGCGAACACGAACGAAACGCAGCCGCAAGAAAACCCATCTGTACCCGCAGTTTCCGTGCACAATGCTCATTCCGGTCAGGGTTCCGCACCATCTGAAGACGAGACAGCCGTACCGTCAACCGAACGGGAGGATGAGACCGCGACAACAGATGCGGGGAATGACAGTTCCGCAGTAGAAATTCCGTTGTCGGCGCGAAAGATTAATATTTCTGAGCAAGAAGGCCCAATGAGCGGCCCCGCGCACACAACCCAGAGCGTTAGCAGCCAAGGAGATAACCTAATTGCATCGCATACCTTTGTCCCAGCGGGCGACAACTCGAGTCGAGCGGCAGAAAACGGCGTTACGGTTCCAAACGGCAGTCACTACACGCGTGCGGTTGTCGAAGCAACTGCACAAGCAGAGGGCCTTCCAAACATGGACGTGCTCGCCAATGCGCAACAGAGTGATCTCTTGGACGAAATCGCGCTGGACGATGAGGAGTACGTGCTTGTGCGGGACGAAGAATGAGCCAAGTGTCGGCTACCAGGCTTAGCAGGCACGGTGACATGAATACTTCGTATAAAAATGAACAGGAACAAGCACCTCTCAGTGATTCGTGTGTGACCTGCTGCACTGGTTTCGATTGCACTAGGCACTAAGAATAAACGCAAGACAACGTCGAAAGCACAAACTAAAATTCACCCATGAGTGACTATGCGGTTCTTGTTCTGCAGAAATGGAAGATCCTTTAGAATGAGCGTCGAATGCCTGCTCGAATCTTCAATGAACGAAAAAAATGAATGATCCCTCTGAAAATGATGCTGACTACGATCGAATAAGAGGAAAGACGATCTGGAAAGCAAGTACATGAGAGCAGGTATGCCGTGCGTTTCCCAGTAAACAAAATTCTATTTTTCGACACTGCAGCACAGGTTCACGGCAGAGCCAGAGAGTACCTAGAGTGTGCAAGGCGATAGTGTTACTCTTGCTTTCCGAAAATAAGGGGGTCCACATCTAACAGCAACAGGGCCGGAATTTGCACTCAGGTCTGTCGGCACTTGGTGGTCTAGTAGAAAGATAGGTATTTTTCGTCATCAAAGTGCGACAGAATCCGGCGGGTAGGAAGATTCTGATTTATACACTGCCACAAACCGTCCGATTCTCTTTTCTTTTCCTTTTGTAAAAATCGTAGAACCGATTTTCTATCACCATGGATCCGAAACTTGGTTTCAACTTGTACAATCTGCCCGGGCAGAGCGCGAAGCAGAAGAAGAAGGTACCCGACAAAGCAACCGATTTGATCAAGCTCACCGATGCACAGAACAAGACAAACAAAAATCAAACTGGCGTAGAATACATTTGCGGAAACTGCGGGAAGGACGTAGATCTCAAGCTCAGCGACAACGTTCGGTGTCGATACTGCGGACATCGTATAATTCTTTGTTTTTGTTGCAAAAATTGAATCATGGAATTCGTTGTGTTTTAGCTTTTGCGATGGCAGGGTCTCCGCACGTCTAATACCAAACATCAACCAAAAAAACAGGTATCTTGTACAAGAAGCGAACAACAGCGGGTATGATGTACGAAGCGAGGTAGGATGGAAAAGCGGCGAAAAGGATCTGCACTGTGGGTCCTTGCCAGCCTATCAACATTCGCACACGCCTACTTTTTTTTACACTGTCGACATAGCGCATAAGAATACAACACAAATATTTTGAGCCTAACGCAAAGAAGCGCGCAGGCGCAGCACTAGAATGCAGCAATGGTCATCATGTTCTGCCACGCTTATCTGAGAGGCTTTTTTTGAGAGCCAAAGAGGGTAGCGCAAACTTGGGCAAGTGACAAAGAGGAGCGAGCCGCGCACGCGCGTTTTCTTTCGTTTGTCTTTCTGTGTTGGGAACAAGAGAGGTACCCTTTGATTCCCCGAGCCCGTGTTTGCTGTGGAACAGCATGGTGTTGGCACTCTTATTTCGTGTCTGGTACTAGTGTTGCTTTTGCACTAACGAGTTTTTCTTCCTTCTGTGGTTTGTTTCTATTTTTCCCCGTCTTGTACACAGGTTCGAGTTCTTCTTCTTCTTCATTCTAAGACACCTCTTTCATCTGCAAAAAATGTCGGACGATATCGATGAAATTTGGGCGGCCATGAAGGCCGAAGCGGCTGTGAAGCCAACGAAAAATACCTCGTTGCCACAGTTTCAGAAGACCAAGAAAAAACCGGGGAACGAAAAAAGCAAGTTTCAGCTACAGGGTGGGTACGGGAGCATCGCGAATTCGCAAAGCGCGAGCAAGCAAGCAGCTTCGTTGTCGTGGCTCGCAAACTACGGCATCGCGAAGAGCAACTCGAGCACTAGCAGCAGCAGCGGCTCCGCCGGTAGGCAGAAAAGCTCCCACACGGCGGGAACTGGCGGGGCAAGTAGTTCTACCGCAGCGAGCACAGACGCTGAGCCTGAAACCACAACATCTACGTCGAGCGACGTGGGTGACGCGACGTGCAGCCTCGAGCAGTCATACGAGCCGATCGCGGAAAATGTGCCGCTGGATTCTCCGGAAGCGTTTCTGGCACACCTGCAACGAGATGTGAATGTGTTGGACAGTGGCAGCGAGGTAGATTTAAAAACGCGACTGCGGGCGCTGAAGAAGCTGGATCTGCTGATCATCCAAAACCATGCGAACCTGCCCACGGACATCCTCGACTGCGCGCTTGAGGAGTTGTCGAAGCCGCTGCTGAAACGGCTGCAGCGCGATTCCGCGGAGAAGATTCGCGAGAAGTCCTCCATCATTCTGAAAACGTTGGTTGAGTGCGCGCCCGCGGAAACGGTGGGAAGCGTACTGCGGTACGTGATTCCGATTCTCGTTTCCAGGCTGGGTGCGGAGGATCTGGACGGGGTCGCCCACCTGCCGCCCGTGATGCGCCCCAACCCAGAGCAACGGCCGTGCGAGATTCGCACGCCCGCGGAACCCAGCGAGGAGGTGCGCCTGCAGTTGGCGCTCTTTATCCAGGCCTTCGTGGAAAGGATAAGCACACAGCAGGTACTAATTTCCATCTTCGTTTTTTCATGCAGTGGCAGAGGTACTTACTTCTTTTTCAGAAAGCGGCCACCGATATTCTACCGATGCCAGTGAAACATAAACAAGTTTAGGCCAGAGAGACGCAAAATTTTGAATGACCCACCCGCGGGTGGATCATGACAAGTACCTCCCATAGGTTCTGTGTTTCGTGGACGAGCTCTGCGGCCTACTACGCGCGTTGTGCATGGACCCCTACGCGGGCGTGAAGCAGGTGGGCTGCGAAACTCTGAGCACCTTCTGCTACAACCACCACGAAGTGCTGTTGCACTTCACGGAGCCGCTGGGGCGGTCCGTGACGAGCTCGTTGGTGCACAACCACTTCAAGCTCCGCATCGCGGCGCTGCAAACCTTGACCGCGGTGTTGCACTGCGGAACGTGGAAGCACAACCACGAGGTCTTTCAGCTCCTGGTCGCGTGGAGCGACCCCAACTCCGTGCCGATCAAGTCCTTCTACTATTACAAGGAAAAGTCCCCCGGTCCCATATAACAAACTGAGTTTCTCATGCTAGATTTGCGTACACAAAGGAGGCCTGTCTTGCTGCAAGGAACTGCAGCGAGATTCTTAGCCGGTTTAGGGACGTAAGGGTCTAGCTGTTTAGCATGGGAAGCGCCTGCCCTGTAGGCCCGCTCCTCCATAGTACGGCGGTTGCCGCGGCGTAGTTTGCCTTCTTGCAACACAGATCTGTGGCCACAAATCTGCATCACGTTAAGTGTGGGGAGGGGAGATTTTTCCCCACGATATGTACGAACACGTCACCACCGTGAACTACTTTTCGTCGCTCACTTTCGACCGGCACCCCGCGGTGCGGCGGTTCTGGTTCGAGACGCTGGCCTATCAAATGTGTTTGGGTCTGGAAGGTTGCAACTTGTGATGCTGCATTTGGATGCTAAAAAGAACTGTATTGCGTGAACAGCAAGAGGATTCAAATTTGGCTACGCGGAGAGGGCATTTGTCATGCAGGATGCGCATCGATAGGCGCTCAAAAAATCTGTGATGCTATGGCATACATCACAGACATCATGGATCATGGAAAATGTGCATGTGTATGTTTTTCGCGGTTCTGACCCTAGATCTCTTGCGTCCGAAGCTGCTTGCGGCGACGGTGCAAAGGTTTTCGATGTGGCGCAGTCGGGTATGCATGACAAATTTCTCCTGTTCCAGACCCAGACATTTTTACATTTGATATGGCCTACTGGCTGTTGCGCCTGCCCGACCACGTCGACCACGAGCCGCACATATTTCCGTACCTCTTGTCGGGCCTATACGACGAAAATGAGGACATCGCCCTGGAAACCTTCTGGTTGCTCGAGGCCTGCGGCGCACAGTACGAGGTGGACAACGAGAAAGACTTGCGGGAAAAAAAGCAGTACGGGCTCGACGCCGCCTGGACCTACAAGGGCAAGGTCCTGGTCCCTTTCCCGCTGCAGGGCCGGTGGCGCAGCGACATCCGCCAGCGAACGCAGCCGCAGGGGCCGGATTTTCAGGGTAAGCGCGCGGAGGAGACACGACCGGCCGACCTGGACGTCGGAAGAGGGGACTCCGAGGAGCACATCGTGGAACTGCCAAAAAGAGAGTAAAAGTTTACTTTCGATTGTAGACTGAATATTGAAAGTTCACCCTCTCGGACAATCCATGTGCTTCGACAATTAATTTTTAGTTTACTGGTGAAGTAGCACAGTATATAAAAGGGATCCAGTTTCTTAGGAGAAAGATCAAAATCTGTGAACTTCCGCAAGACTTTATCGGACCCTTCGCACGCTCTTCATTGCGCTGGGTTTTTTGATTCTTGCAAAAGTAACGCGTTGTTTACTACACTCTCCGACCCACGCTTCGGAGCGGTGTTATGCTACAGCGCTACAACTTCTCCCTTTCTCTCTCTCAGAAATCAGGTCAGAAACGACCAGTGTGATCCTTATTCTTCCCCGAAAACACCAGCTACTCGTGGCATTACCTGGACTGTCTTTACGTGTCGCAGCGACTGCCACGGCCACGGTTGGGCGCGCGCATGTGGGTGCGGACGCACATTCGTCGATTCATCAAGGCATTGTTTAACAACGTGCTGGACTTCAGGGAGTGCAACATGCTCAATGCGTCGCGCCTGCTGACGATGTGTGTCGCCTACGCCGAAGACAACATCACCGAATGGTTGAGCAGCATTTCGGAGGCGCTAATCAAGTACAAATTTTCTCGCTTTGCTAATCCTGCACCCGCTCGGTTGCTGTTCGTGTGCATCATGCTTGGTTTTGTTTGATCGGAACTCGTGGCAGAAATTATTGGAAAAGACAAAATGGCTGTAAAACTAAATTCAGATTCTATTCCGGAAAAGCGTACCTATCCGGTTCCGCCGAATTAGCCGCCAGTTACGACTTGATCGGCAAATTGATTGGGAGCTACGTCGAGCCCAGTACGATCTGGCTGCAGTACGAAGACAGCTTTTCGATCGACACGGTGTGGTACCTGGAGCAGCGGCTGGCTGTCTTTCATCTGCTAACCCGCATGTTGGACGGAGGGATCACATCTCTCGAAAAGTTTTGGTTGACGGAAAAGATGAACTCACACACAGCATCGACACTCGGGCATTTGGAGGCTGTGGTCCCGCCTCTGATCAAGAAGCTCGGGGACTGCGACCTGATTCAGGATCCGTGCAACAGCGACGGGCTGCCGGTGGCCGAGACCATGTGGAACCTGGTCGTGATGGTGGCGCGGCTCGGTCCGCAAGCCTTGAGCCGAGAGCTGCGGTGTAAGCTACTCGTTCTCGCGGTCGCGCTGGTGGCGGGTTTGGAGGAGTACAGAAAAGCAACCACCATGGAGGAGATCCAAGAGTTGTCGGAGCAAATGGATTTGAGCAAAGACGGCACTGAGGGAGGAGCAGGAACAACGAGAACAAAATTTCCATCTACTGCGACACCAGCTGCCGGACCGGAATTCTTCGAAGCAAACTCGTGTCCGCTAACGCACGAGGGCAAGACCAAAACGAGAAAATCTGCCAGCACGCCGTTGGAGAAGCTGCTTCGCGTGAGCACGTGGCTGGAGGTCAGGGTGGACGACGTGGAGGAGGAACTCGTGGCCTTCACGAAGCACAACTTCGCGTCGTTTCGCGCCTTCTGTCGGGTGCTGCCGATCCAGAAGATCGTCCTTTGCAAGCCGATCGCGGTCGGGCTGCAGAACTTCGCGGACCCCGGCGAGGAAAGCCAGACCCGGCTGCAGGCCCTGCGGCTGGCCGCGGACCTGCTCCAGCGCGAGGACTGGTACTACCGAAACCGAGGCGCAAATACGGCAAGCAAGGTCGTCGTCAAGCTGGACATGGACGACATCGACACCGATGAGAGCTACGCGGAGGGGAAATACGAAATGGAGCGCAAAAACTTCATCGCCAACATGTTTTCCTGCTTCACTCCAGTTTTGGAGAACGCGACCAAGAGCCCGCCGGACAAACCCAAGAAGATGCCCAAGACATTAGACGAAGTCAACAAAAAAATCGGCGAGCAAGCAGCGGCTGTTGCCGCACTGGCGGACGGGCACGCGGCCGCGCCGGGAAAAGTCGCGGATGGCGCTTCGAAAACGTCAGAGGAAGAGGTCGAAGTGGTACCCGAGGATCCGTACATTGAGGAGCTGGACGAAGATGAGGACGACATTGTCGTGGAGGAAGTAAGTGAGGTCAACACGCAAGAAAACTCTTCGCTGCTACCCGCCGATGATGAGGAGCAGCAAGAAGTTACTACAACAACATCGTCTACTACTAACACGGTTCTCGTGCAAACCACGCCTTACTTCGTGCTGGCGCAGTCGCTGTCGGTGCTCCGCACACTGGTGATATCCAAGTTCCAGGATGTGGAAACGGTGAGCACGGAGAACAAGGCGTGGGAGGTGGAGAACCTCTCGGACTGTTTGAATCACTTGCCTGCCACAATTTTACACTGCCTCGCTGCGCTCGTGTGCGTATGACAATGCACAACTCCCCCTCCCCCTCATTTGTCATGCAAAATACCCAATCCGCCCTTTGTCTCTTGGCACTGTTTGCATGACAAGTTCTGGTAGCCCAAATAGCACTACACTCCAGTGCAAATTTGTCATGCAAAACCGGCACGCTTGCTGATGCTTGTATAGCAATCATGCTATACAAATGAGGGGGAGGGGGAGTAGTTGTGCACCGTCATACTGCGACGTCGAGTACTACAAACGAGTTGCTCGGTCTTTAGAGCAGCAGGAGCGGATCAACATGAACAAAACAGATGAGGACGACTTGACCGCCATGAAGATGAAGGAAATTCGGGAGACGTCCCTGGAAAAGGCGACGCAAGCCCGGCTGAACGCGGCGGAAATCTTGTTCCTGCTTCTGCGATATCAAATGTAAAAATGTCTGGGTCTGGAAGAATGCATGTTTGTCATGCTTGTCTGGCATGACTATTAAATCTGTCATGCACGTTGCCCAAGAGCCGCATTTTTCTGTCATGCGGAGACGCAATTTGTCATGCAGAATAGGCAACACCTACAAGCTCAGAAATTTGTCATGCTGAGCCAGCACTTGTGTCCTCCTCATGCTACGCCACTCAGCATCACAAGTTTCCAGACCCAGACATTTTTACAGTTGATATGCGATCCAAATACCACACAAACTGCGTTGCAACCGTGGTGAAGGAGAAGACCTCCACAATATCAAAAGGAAAAATCCCCCCTCCCCATATCAAAACGAGGTCTCTGATGCAGGATTTGCGTACACAAATAAGATTTGTCTTGCTGGAGAGGAATGCAGCCCCATACTAAGCCTAAGTAGAGAGGTTCTGGCCTAGGCGTCTAGCATGAGAAACGTCCGTGCTGTAGGCCCATCAGCATCACAAACCGCCTGCACAATGCTGCGGAGCTTGTCGAGTTGCCTTCTTGCAAGACAGACGTGATTTGAGGTCTCAAATCGCTTGCCGACGCTGCTTCGGGGGTAGACGGGGTCAGGGTGGCTATCGGAGCTTGCTCCGGGGCTTGCGGTGTGGGGGCGGGTTCATGGGGCTGTGCCCGGGCTCGGCAAGGGTTTGTCCCCTGTCGGCGCTCCCTCGTGTTCACGCTCCTGTGCTGCTTGACTGGTAGTCATTTTGGCTTCTGTTTTTCCTCCGCTGCTGTCGTTTGGTCCCCAGGGCTGCTACGGACAGGGCCCCCTGGGTTACCTCGGTCGAGTGGTTGTGCGTTTCGGTTCTCCTATGCCCATGCCTACCGTGTACTTGCCGCTGAGTACTGGTAGTGCGTCTCTTTCGTCAGCCTGTTTCGCTTCGGCGATACGACATGACGATTGTTTGGGGAGGTTCCTAACGGTCCCCTCAGGGCATTGCCTCGTCGCTGACCTGTGGATGCGAACGGTTCAGGTCAGCTTCGGGATGGGTATCCGGAGTTGAGTTAGCTTCGGCTTTCTCTTGTGTATTCGAGGGCAGTGGTTGGCGGAGGTTGTTGGGTTGTTCCTAATCAGTCATCCCAGAACATTTGTGTTCCCTTGTGACATCCTCATTTCCTGTGCAGTATTTTACTGCATATACAGGCGCCACCCTCGTTTATCACCTCCAGGGCTACGTGCGACCCCTCCAACGCTGCGGATGGAAGGAGGAAGTTCGGCGTGTTGGGGGTGAGGGACCCCCAACGAGGCCTACGGATATCATTTGGAATTAAGGCTCAAATCAGCAACACAAATTTCCGGAAACATACCTTTTCGATATGGGGAGGGGGGATTTTTCCTTTTAATACACAACCAGCGGAACAGCACCGACGTCCAAGCAGCAGCAAAATACAACTAAGTCGAACGTGAGCCCGTCTGACGCGAAGGAGTACAACGTCGTACCCCGAACCGGGAGCAAGAGCAATCTATTGGTCGTTTCCGCCACGCAAGACCACCCGCTTTGGGAGGTCCGCGACATTTTTGCGCAGATCCGAACCCTGTTGAAAACGAAGCACACCCCGACGCTGCAGCCGCTGTTTGTCCGGCCGACGCCACCACAGCTGCTACTGTTCTCCAGCGAGATTCTGCGGCTCTTCCTGCAGACGCCGGGACACCTGATTCAGACCAAATCGCTGCAGTCGCAGCTGTACGACGACGCGGCACGGAGGATTTTGCTCATGGAGGCCCCGCACTTTTCGGATTTGGACCCGAGAATCGTGCAGATGAACAACGGCGAGCTGTTTTTCCCGCTCGTCTCCGACAGTGTATTGCAGCTCATGGACCTCAACCTGTCCCTGCCACCGCAGCCAAACCACCCATTGACGCCCATTGTATCGAGCCACGACGGCGAGCAAAAACCAAAAGCGGCGATGGAGGTTGTGATGGCGGAGAGCAGCGTTTTAGGGGACGGCAGCATGAATGCAGATCCCATTCCCATCGGTTGGATCGCCGAAGAGGAAAGAGAAGCGATTGGAGTCGTACGTCTCGGCGCGGCAAAGGGTAAGGGAGAAAACGTTTTGTACCATAAGCAGGATTTTGATAATTACGACATCTTCAGCACACCTTTCGCAGAAGATTTATCGGCGCAGCGGATGACAACCCAACAATTTTTTGATTTTGTTTTTCATATGTTAGACAGTTACTCGCGGCCAAAAGAAGCGAGCAAAGGGTTGATTTTGTTTTTCACAGGTGAGCCCGTTTCCGGGGCACCAAGAGGTGCGAAGCGTTTCGAGTTTAGCTCAGAACCGGTGATGCGTGTCATGCAGCAAAGCGAGGAGTGTTTGAGATGGAACGCCGCATTGTCGCTGTACAAGCTACTGGGAGAGCTGACCAAGATAGATCCGACGCACCTGCTGACTGCCGCGCATCGTTGGGAGAACGAGGGGAAGCAGGGCAGGATCGGCCTCGTGCGACATCTGATATCCATGTTGGATCTGATGTCCATGAAATGAGCGGAGCAGGCGCACTGTGTGATCGGAGCTGAACATGCGAGCATCGAACTCTGTATTTGGGATCGCTGAACTACCTGGATTGTGTGTGTATTGCAGCGCACGCGCGCGTTCTTCCATTCAATGAATTGCACGTTTGCGATGTTTTTTTTTCAAGATATCTATGATCTATCGCTGAAAAAATGAAATCGGAGGAGGAGGCATGCTTCGTAGCAGCACTCTGTTCCGCTTCAGCAACAAGGACATGATCTTCGCTCGGACATAAAAATCTAGATCCTCAAATGATTCCGATATTAAGATCTAATGGAAGCAACCGAAAGAGAGGCCAAAAAAAAATTGCCTTCGCGATCCAAAATAGATTCTCGTTAGACGATGACCTTCCAGGGATTGTTCAAATTCTTCACCACTTTTGTGACGAGAGGTCCAAATCGATCCATTCCAAAACGTGGTCCGAAATCGCGATCCGAGCAGAAATTTGCGAGGTCTGAAAATCTAAAGAACGTTTATCCATTAGTTAGTAGCAGCTCAACACCTTGCGTCTCAATTCCACAACATTATCTAAACCGCAACAGGGACCTATTGGAGGAACTTAACTCTGATCGATAGGACAAGATGCAGATCTTCGTCAAGACTTTAACGGGAAAGACCATCACCCTGGATGTGGAGGCTTCCGATACCATCGATGCCGTGAAGGCCAAGATCCAGGACAAGGAGGGGATCCCGCCGGATCAGCAGCGTCTGATCTTCGCTGGTACAGAGCTGATTTTGTTTTTTTCTAAATTTCGAAATTATACGACTGCGTCATTTATTTCAAAGGAAGCTAAATGAACCGCAGCGTAGTAGATCGAACTAGAAGTCATCCCAAAAACACCGTATCTTTCACAGGTAAGCAATTGGAGGACGGCCGCACTCTGTCGGACTACAACATCCAGAAGGAGTCCACCCTGCACTTGGTGCTGCGTCTGCGTGGTGGCGTCATCGAGCCGACCCTGCAGGTGCTGGCCCGTAAGTACAACTGCGACAAGATGGTGTGCCGCATGTGCTATGCCCGCCTCCCGCCGCGTGCCATCAACTGCCGTAAGAAGAAGTGCGGACACACCAACCAGCTGCGCCCGAAGAAGAAGGTGAAGTAAGTGCGCATCTTGCACTACGTAACTCTTGTCGACTACGCTATCAGAGGTTCTTGTGTGTAAGAAAACACAACGTTGGAAAAGACTGATTCACAACTAACGAAACCACGAGACAAAACTTAAATCGGTTTTTTTCAGCTAAAACGTCCTCAGAAAAAAGCTTTCAAGTGCGAGCCCTGCTCGTTGCTGCGCATAAGATTCCACGCGCTGCCCGGAGGTTTTGTTCGGAAATTTTCATGTCCAGTGCAGAGTCCGCTCCAGTGTGAAAGTATCCGGAGGCGTGTAAAATTTTCATGTCCGCTCCAGTGTGAAATTTTCATGTCCGGTGTGAAAGTATCTGGAGGCGTCCTTTAGTTTGTCACCGCGAGCGAGAAGGCTTTAAATGGAGATCAGCCATCAGGTGAGAGAACACGTCTGTGGAAAATAGAAATCGTCCACCGGATCCGGCAGGTCCTTTTTTCGGTGAGAAATTCCCAAGATCGCAAATCCAGGGAACACAAATCACTAGATTCGTCGGAACGCTGATGCTGTGCTGGATAAATCGGACTCTTTTGTTGTGACGCTCCACACGCCTCGTCGTCGTCCTTCCAGGTAGCACACAGGTTCGGGGAGCATAGCAACGGGCGTGGTAGAATTGTCAAAGAAGAATAATAGATAAGTAGCAGCACTGTAGAGCCAGTAATTATAGACTTGTCGTCGTCTCCAGAAATAGAAACCTCTGTAGCCGGTAGAAAGGAGCCGCGTTGCGCATTAACGCTTGGATTAAACGCCCTCGTATTTCGAATCGAAAATGGACGCAAGAGAAGAGGCACATGCCAAGCAGGCTGCGCAAATGCAGCACAGCCAGGAACAGCAGATGGAGGTACCTACTTATTCAGCTTTTGCATACGAGAACAGTGCTGCAGATGATGAAGTATTTTGAAGTGCCGCGTTCTTACTCACCCTACAAATCAAAATAATCTCCTATCTGAAAAACAGGCTATGAAAGCGCAGCGAGAGCAGCAGGAAGCGCGAGAGAACCAGAAGAAGATGATCATTCGACAGCTTTTGGAGCCGGAGGCCCTGGAGAGGCTATCTAGGATAGGCCTCGTAAAAAAGGAGAAGCAGGATGCGATTGAAGAAGCAATTATCAGAAAAGTGCAGGCCGGGGCACTCTCCACGAAAATGGACGACAACACGCTCGTGAAGATGATCGTACTTTCGCTTTTCATTTTTTTTGTTTCTGCGACTGTGATCACATCAAGCCTGAATTGGGCATCCCTTGCAAGGATGAAATGTTTTTGAACGCTTGGCAACCGAAGCCATAGTGAAGACTCAATTGAAGAATCGATAGGACTGACTCGCAAGTTTGCATTTGACGCCTGACGACGTTATGATGAAATGTTTTTAAACGCTTGGCAACCGAAGCCATAGTGTAGACTCACTTGAAGAATCGATAGGACTGACTCGCAAGTTTGCATTTGACGCCTGACGACGTTATGATGAAATGTTTTTGAACGCTTGGCAACCAAAGTGGCTTTGTTGCTAAAGTGTGGACTCAATTGAAGAATCGATAGGACTGACTACGCACCCGACTTACTTAGCGCACTGGCACGAGGTGTGAAGAAGTGCATTTTTCGGGCTTTTCTGAAGTTTGTCTGATTTAAAACCCAATCCGATAAAACAGGACGAGCTCGACGCTTCTTCAGCCAATTCGCGCAATGTGAAGATACAGCGGAAGCGACAGGACAGTGACGATGATTTGGATTTGGACGATTAAAAACAAAGCAGTGCGGCTCGCGACAGCGACTTCTTCAACATGTAACACAGCCCCACATGATTCAGCGACATCAATATCGGCAGTTTAAAAAAATCGTGTCTGCTCTCCGCACTCCTTCTGGCCCAGAAGTCTTGCTCTGTTGAAGGTTCTTTGTTCGCCATACTGTTATGACGTCGTTCTTCGAAAAAATTGTGGAATTGAGAGTGCATCTTGACTAGTGTCTATCAAACGTCACTTCTCTATTGGCGTGGTGGAATCTGTAGTACCTCTCAGAAAAAGAATTCTAAAAATGGCGCCCGTCGACGAAGGGCAAATCATAACGTTGAGTTGCGAGGGCGCGACTTGCAAAATCGCAGTTCATGGTGCGCACGTGCTATCCTGGAAGTCTGCATCCGGGAGGGAATTGCTTTACATGTCTGAACTTGCGACTTTCGCCGAGGGGAAAACCGCTCTCCGTGGCGGTATCCCCATCTGCTGGCCTGCCTTCGCCGGCAAGAATCCGAAGATCGGAAAACACGGCTTTGTGCGCACCGCAACGGATTGGGAAGTCGTTCCCGTAGCCGGTGGAAAAACCGAGGCCGACAAAGACGCGTCTCTTGCGCAATTAAAGTACACGACGACGTTTAACCGATGCTTTGTAAACGGCACCGACAAGACCGATGTGACTGCTGAGAACAAGGTCACCCTTTTGATCACGTTCCTCCTGACCAAAAACACACTGGGGCTGCACCTTGCGGTGGAGAATGCGGCACCGGAACCGCTGCCCTTTTCCGGCTGTCTGCACACCTACTTCGCGAAGGACGAGGCGAAAACTGACGTCGAAGTTTCCGGGTTCAAGTGCTTCAAGAGCACCCGGGAACTGGGAAAGCAATGGGAAAACGAGGACGACGTCGTGAAAGTGGACGGCAAGCAGGAGGTGGAGCGCATGTTTTTTGTTCCGAAAGCAGAAAAAGACGTCGCAGACATGCAAGACTCGGCCGCCGCCCTCGACCCCAAGAGCTTGCTGGAGGACAAGACGACGATTCAAACGCACGCGAACCCGTGCGTGATGCGGTTTGAACCCTTTTCGACGCCTGAAGTGCTCACGTATCAAATGTAAAAATGTCTGGGTCTGGAAGATTGCCAGGTTTGTCATGCACATTTTGCATGACTCGTGATGTCTGTGATGCATGCCCTAGCATCACAGATTTTGTGAGGGCTTCCTGATGCCTATACCGCATGGCAAATACTCTTTCCGTGGAGCAAAACTTGGACTCTCTTCGCTGCTCATGCAATACAGATTTTTTTAGAATCCAAAACCAGCATGACAAGTTGGATTCTTCCAGACCCAGACATTTTTACAGTTGATATCACGCTCTACACGTCGAAATCCATTCCAGACTCGGTCGTGTGTATCATTTGTAAAAACGTTCCCACACCATAGTTGTCATGCAAATCTGCATGCTTAAAATGTTTCTCATGCGGAGCCCCATGAGAAGCATTTTATAGTCGTGTTTTGCAATTTGCCATGCTCCAATCAGCATGGTATGCTAGATCTGTGATGCTCCTGAGCTAGCTCAAACAGCACTACAATACGAGTCCAAATTTGTCATGCAAAACAGCCAAAACTTGTGGATTTGTCTAGCCGATTCCCCATCTTGACTATGGTGTGGGTACGTTTTTACTCAGGATAGTGTGGAACATTGGTTCTTCCGCTCCGGACAAAATCCCGAAGGATATGGCAGAAAAGGACGAACTGCGGTACCTGTGCGTGGAGCCCGGTTTGGTCGAACAGGATGCAGTCGTACCTGCGCAGGGGTCCTGGACCGGGTGGCACGTTATGGAGCTGAGTGAGTGAAAAAATGTGTCACGACGACCTCCGGTGTGAACAGTGCTTGCTGCACACATGTGAGCAATAAAACGATTTGCTGTCAAGTCGGACGTGATTTAGATTTTTGAGCCTCGTGTAACGAGTCGAATTGCCTGTTTTGACCTGATGTCCTTACAGTCTCACTTTTGCTAGTGTGTTGTCGTAGGATGCTCTCGTAATTCTCTTGGATCAAAATGAGATGTACACGAGGATTAACGAAGATCACGATTGATCGAGAAACCTAAACCGCGAAGCGATCTCCACTTCGAACATACTGTCTTGGATTTTCCTGCTCCGATCACGTGGATCCCTAACTTGCATTCTAAATTTTGCAGCAATTTGCAGATGAATTCGAGATCCGCTCCGACACGGGCGGAAACGCTCATACTAAAAGATCCATAAACTCACGAGAAAGTAAAGAAGATGTGGTCATTCCAAATTTAAAATCTGATGCGAATATATCCACTCACTTTTTGATGCTTTGTTTCCACCGCGCAACTAATTTTGATGTTTTGTTTCCACCTTTCTTTCTCTCAGGGACCTATTCCGGGTATATTGGGGGCAGTGCTATTTGTAGCGTAGTTCTCGAACCAGAAAACCAAAAAAATGGCTCGCCGCACGAAGAAAGTCGGAATCACCGGTAGGTACGGTACCCGCTACGGTGCCACCCTGCGTAAGTTGGTGAAGCGCGTCGAGGTGCAGCAGCGCTCCAAGTACCTGTGCCCGCACTGCGGTAAGACTGCCGTCAAGAGGAAGGCTGCTGGTATAATTGTTTATCTTTTTCGCATTTTTGCTACGCTAGTTGTTTTTCTCCTTCATAGTACCCATTCCACCTGATGTTCGCTTCAGGAGGCCACTGTTTTGATTGGTTCTTTGGATCTTCTGCTATCAAAATTCTAAATCTGTAACAAACTGGTAATGAAAATGCACGAACAGGTATCTGGTCCTGCAAGCCGTGCGGTCGTGTGTACGCCGGAGGATGCTGGCAGTTCAGCACGGCTGCCGCCGCGTCCGTTCAGGCCACTATCCAGAACTTGAAGTCCAAGTAAAATGCCGGGATGATGAACCGACGAGAAGGTTAGAAACAGCACACTGGAAGACTGACTAACGGTTACTCGCCTGCTTTTTGGTACCCTGGAAAAAAAAGAACTGCGCTTTTGGCAGGGAAAGTCTTCCCTTTTGAAATATGCGCTGTACTTGGTGTTCGGTTTAGCTTGTTCATTCTAAACGCTATTGTCATACAGCTTTTTTTGTTTTCGTGTGCATCTGGCAGTAAAAAGTAGCATCTGGCAGAGTGCCAGTTTCGAACTAACCGTCCGAGAGATGAGGGCAATAGATTCATGGTGAGAGTAGTGAATTTTCATTCTGAGACATTCATGTGTTTTTATCATACTTGAGACTTCGTTATGCTGTCTTTTCCACAAGATGGGGGAATCGTCAGGTCTTGTCATTGCTCGTCGCGTCGAGGCTTTTGGGCAAGCGAGGAAGGCCCATGCAACGACGACGGCGGAGGAGGACACTCAGCTTGTTTTGCTTTTTGAGGAGGTTCTGCAATGTGCCGATTTGTTTCTGATTCAAAAACTCGAGATGCTGTTCGCGCTGTTTAGCCGACTTCCCGCGCCGAACGGAGATGACAAGGCAAACCAAAGCACGCTTCTTCAGTTCGACCCGTTTCTTTCCTGTGCAGCGAGAGTCGCGAAAGAAAGGAATCCACGCGTGTCTGCAGAGGTCACAACGCATCTGTCGTTCCACGATTTTGTTTCATGTATATGCGACAGTATCGGCTGTACGGCATGGGTGGAAGGGAATGGTAATGCTCGTCCTCTAGCCACAGAAGTTTCGGGCGACAGCGAGGTGGGAACGAAGGACCTGCTGCGTGCACTGTTTCTGGGCAAGGGGTCACCACTATCGGGGGAGATGCGCTGTTTGGTGGAAGTCCTGCGAGAAAACCATGTGCCTTTTCCGGTACTGGGTCTACAAGGACTGCGAATCGTGAAGATTGCGTCGGGGTACGAGCACACTCTGTTCCTCACGCAGACGGGCCACGTGTTCGAGGCGGTTCACACGAACGGAGCGGAGCTGGAGCTTGGCCTGCAACTGCCAAAGCTGCTACCGGAGTTTGGTGATTCTTCCACTGCCGCCGTCGATATCGCGGTCGGGGTGCGACACTCCGTTGCTGTGGGTGCATGTGGGCGAGTGTTTTCCTGGGGGCGCGGTGACTACGGACAGTTGGGCCACGGAAGAAGCTCCTTTGTCTTCCAGGACGCAGATCATTATGGCGAAGATTATTGCACCACCCCTTCCTACAGCCTGCAAACGCCAACAGTGATCGCGTCTCTTTGGGGAATCGATGAGAACACGCGCGCAACAGCCTGTTTTTGCGGAAACTTCCACACAATTATCAAGATGCGCGGCTCGGCGGCAGCCGGAAAGCGTGACGAGCCAGTGCCAGAGACATCCTACTATCTTGCGTTTGGAAATCATAGTGAAGGGCAGTGTGGGGCTGGCGAAAATGGGAGCCCGGAGTGCGTTTGCGTCGACCCATACCTGCCCAAGACAGCGCTACAGGTTCTGTGGGAGCCTTGCCGAGTGGAGCAGCATCAAGCCGAGTGGCCCGTTCTTGCAGTGGGAGAAAACCATTCTGTGGCAATCGACGGCTTGGGGCGTCCCTGGTCTTGGGGGAACGGCGCGGCGGGTAAGGCAATTTCGCACTTTGAAATTTTGATCTACTGGGCTCTAAAATGATGAAAAAGAGCAAACCTTTCTTCCGACTGAATGATGACTCACTTTGAGAACATAATAATCCGTTTCTCAAACATTCGCAGTAAGTGTCCGAAAAAGTGTAGGGGGTCATGTTGTGACCGCTGGCACAAATGAAGACCGACTTTTTTCCTTAGATGTCTGACCGGTTGAAAGTATCGTACTAGTACAAATTTGGTCATTTGTAATGCGGATTTCCCTTAACACCTAGATTTGTAAATGCGTAATTGCACCAAAGACGGGCATGAATGATGATCGTAACAAGTGTCGCGCCATCCATTTTCGTAGAGCATTTCCCTCTGCCAGGAAGATGCGGTGACATCAACTCTTTGACACCCTGACTGCCCACGAGAGCCAAAGCCCAGCGTTCTCTTTGTAGCACTTATAATCTCCACCACAGCTAGCACTAGCGTGATGATTGTAACAAGTGTCGCGCCATCCATTTTCGTAGAGTTTCGGCCTCTACGGGGCGGATACGGTGACATCAACCTCTAGACACCCTGATTTGTGCTGTAGCCCGACAGAGAATTTTGAATCTAGATCCCCGACTAGGTTCCACTAACTAAAATGATGATTATAACAAGTGTCGCGCCATCCATTTTCGTAGAGCTTTCGCCTCTACGGGGCGGATACGGTGACATCAACCTCTAGACACCCTGATTTGTGCTGTAGCCCGACAGAGAAGAATTTGAACCTAGATCCCCAACTAGGTTCGACGAACTAAAATGATGATTGTAACAAGTGTCGCGCCATCCATTTTCGTAGAGCTTTCGCCTCTACGGGGCGGATACGGTGACATCAACCTCTAGACACCCTGATTTGTGATGCGCATTTTAGAGCACAGAAAAATCTCTCATGCATAGGTAGCAAAGCAAAAGCTGCCTTACGATGATGATTGCAACAAGTGTCGCGCCATCCATTTTCGTAGAGCATTTGCCTCAACGGGGTGGATACGGTGACATCAACCTTTAGACACCCTGACAAAGCACTGGATATTCCTTTTTTTTGTATGTACTGATGATGACACTCTTTGAGAAAATCGTATTCCGTTTCTCAAACATTCGCAGTAAGTGTCCGACTAAGTAGCTCCAGGGGAAAATAACTTTTGTGGCTGCACATGCTGGACAAACTTCCTTAGATGTCTGATCATTGGTTTTCTTGAGATTTTTCGTGCGGCCTTTTGGGGTGCCATGCTGCGCAGTATTTTTCCTCTTGCGCAGCGATATCGAGCGGTCGGGCACTGGAGCGGGGTACAATTCTGCTCCTCGTGGTGTTTCGAAGTCGATAGCATCCAATAGAGAGACTATAGTGGTTGACGTTTTCTAAACTCCCACATAGTCCTGCTTCATATTCCTTGTCGCGGCAGGAGCGCGGACCTGGGTTTCTTACTCCAGGTTGGTGCAGGGTCGCTCTGCGGCCAAACTGCCGGGTCAAACCATGGAGCTAACAGTAACGTCTTTTCGATAAACATGCTACTTAGACCTTATTCTCGGCGTACAGGATGACAAAGTTTGAGAACTTCGTGCAAGAACCGTTTCTCAAACATTCGCAGTAAGTGTCCTACTAAGTGGCAGCAAAGGCTGCTGCGAATGCTGGACAAACTTCCTTAGATGTCTGACAGGCTCCTCGTAGTCGTACCTCCGTGAGCTTATTCATACATTGCATTCTTCGGCGTCGTCAAAACAAGACGCAGACTGGACAGTTTGCGAGAAAGGCTATGAACCTGTGCTGATTGTCTGACTTTTATGTTAAAAAAAGGTAAGCTAGGGCAGGGCGATCAGCGAAATTTGCGGCAAGCCACACTGATCGACAGGCTGAAGGCACGCAGGTTCGTGTTGGCTGCGTGTGGTCCGAGCTCCACCGTGTTAGTTAGTCGCACTGGCGCGCTGGTGAAGACGAGCTTCTCCGTCTCTGCAACGAATAAATCAGGCGGAACTAGTGCTGTAGTAACACCGCCGGCGTCGCTTTCTGGGAGGTGGGCGACTGCGTTTCCGTTGCAGCCGCATCCTGACATAGTCGCGCCTTCTGCAGCAGTACTTCCAGACGGCGGCGCGAGCGCAGTTGCGACACCTAAACTCGTCAAGGAGAAGCTGCTCAAACTAGATTTGCCCCACCACCGCAAGGGATTTTTCGAAAACCTGTCCGCTTCTCTGAAGAAGGAGATCCCGCAGTCCGTTGTGTTAGTTGAGAAACCTTTACCGGTGGGGGAGTGGCTGGTGCTAACAGCCTCGGAAGGGAAAAAACAAGATTTCCGCGTGCAGTCGCTTGTTTGCCGGGTCACGCAGAAGGGCAGTCTAATCTGCAAGTCCCGCGCTCCGGTCTTGCTCAGGGGTAATGGGAACAGTCCCGGGACGGAGGCGTCGCTGCCCTGCGCTGCCAACACGACGCTGAAAGACACCGAGGCGAGCCAGGGCGCCGAGGCAACGAGCAACAAGCCCAAAATCTTCATTGTTTCCGCCGAGTGCTGGTCCCTGTCTGGGGATAAACCAGATACCGTGCTGACATTGGGCCGCAAGAAGATCAAACGCAGGCTACTTGACTTTGCCCCTCCAGGAAAAGTGAACTCGGAGGAGAGTGCAGCACCTGTTCGTGATGCTTCGGCGAAAGGCCCTGTTTCAACGCCGAATGACGTGTGTGTTTTCCAGATGCCGAAAGGGGTGGCTGTTGCGGAGGTGGCGGAGTGGTTCGACGACGTGGGAGTGCTGTCGCCTTCGTCACCAAAGCACACTGAAGTCGGCAGCAACAAGCCCGGAGGTGGTGGTGCAGCGAACAATACTAAAGTGGATCTGCTGACACAGTCGTCGTGTAAGTACCTCATTGGATATCACGAGGCAGAGCAGATATTCCAAGCCTGCAGTCTTACCACCGCTGCGGGGAGCGATCAAATCTCTTCGTCGGGAAGCCAGGAGAAGGATCGCCAAGCACTGCCGGCTGCCATGGCGTCGTTGGCGCTGCACGATGTGCGTGCGGATGCTTTGGATTCGCACTTGCTGAACCTCGTGCAGCTGAAACCCAAGGGCATTTTGCTGGCCCAGCGCAATGAGCAACAGCCCGCAGTCGACAGTGAGGGAGAGGCGGACGGAAACACAGCCGCGCGTTGGACCGGGTGGGAGACCTTCGACTTGCATGTTTCCGTGCAGACGGATCTTCCTTACCGTTCGGCACAAAGCGAATCACCAGCCACCAAGGCGGCTAACCATTGGAAGACCTGTTTTGTGGGACTGCTGAGCAACGGTGATGCAGCGCAGTTGCTGCAGTCTGGGCAAAGCGCCGAGTCGTCAAAAACGCCTTCGCAGAACCAAGGCCTTATCACGAAAGTCACGGTGGAGTTTGACAAACACGACTTTTTGTACACGTTCGGGGACGGTAATGCCTGGCCAGAACCCGTGGCGCTACCTTCTTCGACCACAAACACGCAGTATTCAGAGGAAGAGGCGCTTGTGCAACAGATCCATTGTTGGCAGACTGCGGAGCAGGCAGAAACGTGTCTTGGCGTGCTGTGCGGAGCTGCGATCGGGGATGACAAAAGCAAAGTCTACTGCGAAGTCACGAATTGCGGGTATGAAAATCAGGTCCAAAAAGTTTTGAACGTGGATCGAGATAGAGCAGAGCTATCGTCAATTGCCGTTGGGCCGAAGACGTGCTTTGCCATTCTGAAGTGAAGGTGTATTTGGCGTATTTTCTTGATGAATTCTGCTTTCCCGTTGGTGAAGAAAGAGAAACCTAAAATAGTAAATGAGAAAAGTAAGGATGTATCTAAAAATCTTCTATGTGGCAGCAAATGCCGGGTAAAGGAACAAAATCGGAATGCATCCAAAAACTCCAGCGATCTGCTTGGAATGGCGCGACTTTCGTGCGTGTCTTTCTTTAAATTGATTTTCTTCGCGGCAATTGCGCGGCATGGCTTCCGAATGGAGTTATCGCAAATCTACCCTCTGTCACGGAAATGTCGTCGGTTCTGCTTGAAATATCCGCTCACAAATCCTGGTGCTCTTTGCGGAGTTAAGTATCGAAAATTTGTCGTCCGATACTAACGATCAGAATTGAGCTACTCGGTCGTAGTACTCGTTATTGTTGCCGATCCAAAAATAACAGAGATCAGGAATTCTTCAACGGCTGCCACATGATCGAAACGATACGAAAAAGCGATCAATTTGATCGGTAAATTTTGACACGCCAGGAGTTGGTATTTTCGGCGGACGAAGAGATAGATTTGTCTTTGTGATCGTGGCCTTCTGGAAGTTTTGACGTTGAAGTTTCGCAACCTTACATACTCGTGTGACAGGAAACGAAGAAAACGAAAGAGCTTCGAGCTTACAGCTTGCACTATCAAATAAACTTGGAATCTGAATTTCGCCTTCGTTTTCCGGTTATTTTCGGGTAAATCGTATTTCCTTCAACGGTATTCGAAGCGCTTCATCTCGTTGGAAAGAAGCCAGTGCATTTAGTTCATTGCGTCGGCAGTAATTATTTCGTGTGGATCGTGTCGGAGTCGTAGGTATATCATTTTGCGGTACGCCGTCCTCTATGCGTATGAAGCGCAATTTCGTCCTGGGTGGGAATCCTGGGGCTTCGGGCGTTGTCGTGGCTCTCGTTCTGCAGGTTTTTGGTAGCGTCGCACTCGCGGCTGACGCCCCGATTCTCCGCCACGCGCCCGGACCGTCCACCGCTGCCCAGGACATGCAGCCCCCGACGGTGCAGCTGTGGAGTTGGCGCGACCCCATGGAGCTGGCACGAGCGAACCTCGGTGCAGATGCAGTGCCGAGCTGGGACTACGGCGGGTTGCGCTTTGGCCACGGCGACAAAGAGGCTTTCAAACGTGCATTCGAGAACGGGATGGACAAAGGGGCACTCGAGAAAAACGGTATCAAGACGTTCCACTACTTTGCTGTCGAGAAGGTGGAAACCAAAAGCGCTGATCAGTGGCAAAGGGTGGGTGGAAGTGGGCGGGATCGGCAGAGAAGCCTTCTTGGAAATTACTGGCTGCGTACTGCAGTGTTGCGGGCGCTCAGCCTCGGACTGTGGTCAAAGGGCCAGAGCAATTGTTATATTTCTCGCCATTGGGTTGGGCCTGTGAAAGTCTACCAGCCGGGGCAAAAAAGGGTGATGTACCTCATGTTTTACCGTTACCCGGTCATGTGGACGCCGGTCGAAAAGCTGGAAAGACACCGCGAAGTAGAACCAGAAGAAAATAGAATGGAGTCCTGGAGGGAGAAATTCCAAGCCGCGTCCCATGCTGAGGTTGACAAGATCGGCTTGGATACCTCTGTAGAAGGTCACTTCAATGCTGACGACGCACAGACGACGAAAGAGAAGAGAAGGAACGCCAAAAGAGAAAGCCGTTGGACCAAAAGAGAAAAGAGGGAACGCCAGAGGGGGAGCCCGGCCGAGCAAAGCCGGCCAACAACAAGACCAATGGCGCCAGGCCCGAGGCCGGAGCAGAATCGCGATGGTCAACGACATTACTAAGCGCCTTTTTCCGGAATCAGGATAGCCATGGTATGGACGGGGGGACACGCTAGCAAGTGTGATCGCTGCGCCACTGGATGCATGTGTTACAATGAGTACTGTAATTGATGTGTGATCGTGTTCTGCCAAGCCAAATTAACAAAACAAGAAATCATTTTTTTGTTGCATACGATGCCAATCAAGAGCCGATAGATTTGCAATGTTGGAGGAATTGCAAATTGAGCTCATGTTGTTTATCGTGATTGAGCACAACTTTTTTTTCCAGTCCGCCATTTGGCATCGCAGCGCGCCGCAACGTTTTGCGCGCTTTGTGGTTGCTTGTTTTTGACTACGTGGCGCGATCTTTCGTGGGCATTTTCGGGCACTTAGCTTCAACTCGGGTCACCAGATGTGTTTCTTTTCCGCGCACAAAAATTTTTGACACTTGATTTTAGTCGCTGCGCTACTGGGTTGTAGCGGGCGGGTTGATCTGCACAAGTTAGAAAGTCACTTTCCGAATGAGTATTCGTAGTCAGGAGCCGGCGCATGTGTATTCGTAAGCTCCGTCCTTTAATGACCAGTAACCCCTAGTAGCCATCGCCCACGCTAGCCAGAAGATGACGATGATTCTCCAATCGAGACTGGAATGCGTTTCGTTAAAATGATACTTATTGGGAGAAACTGTCTAGAAGCGCTGCAGGAGAAACGTTCTTTGCATTTTGCACCAGGTGCCAGCTGTTGTTCAGTTCCGTAGAATTCTTCGCCGGATCAGTTTTGCCCCAGCTCCGCGTTCCCGTGTTGCAAATGCAGGTCGAAGAGAAATAGCAATAGGTCCCGAAATGGAGACACTAGAACCTTAGGGCAAAACAACACCGCTGTTCGAATCAGAATTGCAAATGCTCTTCGTTCTACAAATCGCACTCCAGTAGCGCGCATTCGCTTGTTCCGTAGATGTTTTGCCGGAAGACGACTTACTAGAGAGGGGGAGAGAAATTTACTGCATCGAAAAAAAGAGAAAAGTTCGTGCAGATATGAGACAGAGGAATACCCCTGTGTTTCAGGATGCTTTCTTAGATAACTTTTATGGACACGAATCGGAAGATGAGAGAGTCGGCGAAACAGATATCAGAGTTGAAGCAAATTCATGCCCTCTAGAGTAAGCACACCGGAAGGCGACGGGTCGTCTGCCCCGAAGCGGCGCAAGGTTTTGCAGTGGCGCGACTCGCAGTACCCACCTGATGCCTTCGCGGATACCGCCACGGGCAGTCTCGGTCCTCGGCAAGCGCGCTTGGACAGCATTCTGCTTTCGAACAAACCTGGCAACCGAAGGAGAACCACCGACGGTGGCGTGAGGCCGGAAAAAGCCCCGAAGAAAGAACAGCACCGCGGGCAGGCAAGTGAAGGCGTTTCCGCCGGGTCCGCGCTCGGCCCGGCACCACCCCCTCAGGCAGAATTATCTTCGCGCGTGTCAGGACCGACGGAGTCGGAGTCGTCCGCCCCCTCTTCGCTGTTATCCTCGTCTGTTCCCTCCTCGAGCGCACCAGCACCGACGCCACGCCAGCAAAATGCCGTCGCTACCGCGAAGGCACCAGAGGCACTGCCTCAGCCTCTTGCTAGAGATGGAAGCAGTTGTGGAGGTGGACACCACGCCAAAACCGACCACTGCGAGACCTACCCAGAAGTTGTTCCAGTTCTACAGAAGCCGCCCAGAATTGCTCTGCGAAGGTTGCCGTTCGCAGTCGACGTGGAGGGCAAGAAGAACGCAGCAAAGCAAGCTGCCGCGCCTCCACTTCTTGTCCGGAAGGGTGAAGGTGTCTCGACGGAGGGGAAAAGGCAACCGATGGGGGCAGATCCAGCAAGTTCCAGTTCTGGAATGATCTGTACTGCGACGTCGAGCAGTGCTGCTACTGCAGTGGCCCCCGCCCCTGTAAAAATATCAACTGCTCATTCTGCGAAGAAGAAGCCAGGGCCTCGTCGTAAAAAGGCCCCGACATCTTCTTCACTGGATGGTCACGCAAATAAGTCACAGGCCGTTGACGCGCTCGTGCAGCAGCTTTACGACAAGTCGAACACACTGAAACTGAGCCTGAAGTGGGAACCTTTCGCCTGCATTTATGCGGGAATCAAACGAAAGGAATACCGGGACGTGTCGAGCTTCATGGAATCCCGGCTGTTTGCGGACGCGAAAGAAAAAGTGGGGCGGCGCAGGTATGACTTTGTGGAGTTTCTGAATGGACGCAACTCTACCGCGCCGTTCATGAAGCTGGAGTACAGGGGTTTCGAGAAGAAAACCGTGGCCCTTCCGCACACCTACGACGACCGAGCGACGAACGGCAAGGCGTGCGTGACGATCCCTCCGGGCACGTTTTACGTAATCCACTTAGGTGATTTGCTCGAAACGAGGAATGTCCCGCTCGAGAAGTTAGACGATGTCTTGCTCGCGACTCTAGATCCAGGCACGAAGCAGGAACTCTTGGCCAAGGAACCCTAGCGACAATAATTGTTTATGGTGTGCGAATCTCCTAAAGCATCCGATTTTTCTCATGATACACATGAATAAAAGTGATGAGGCGTAATTGGCGCCTGCCCCGCTCTGGCAGCTGTTCTCGGCCGGAAAAAATTATGAACGCTTGGTAGAAGCATGCGCATGAGTTGCTGCAAACAAATCGGTCACTTCTTTTGGTTCTGAGAGGGAAATAACACAGTGAATTTCATGTTTTAGATAGGGTACTAGATGCGATTGAACATGCGAAATCTTTCTTCTCTGCGATACATTTGCAGGCACCTCCAGGTTCTCAGGTCAATTGTGTAGATTGACGCAGCACGTCGACAGTCCCGCGAATTCACTACCTTTGCTCTGGGAAGTTTGGTTTTACGCTCGAACCAGATAAGTATAAGATGTACTTGACCCGCTTTCACTGAGTGCTCTAACATCAAGTAGTCGGTCCACAAGTAACCGTGATTTTTGCAGAACGTAGTTTTGATTTAATTAATAGTTACGGCAATTTTTTACCGCAGTGTCGCACAGCTCTTTGCAATTTCATTCGGAATCGTCATCATGAAGGAGTTCGTGATCGGTGGCCCGTCTTCGGGCGCATCCTCGTCCTCGGCCTCGTCCTCCTCTCCGTTGAAGCTTTCAATTGCGGATGAACTCTTCGATTTTTTGTCAAAAGAAGCGCTGCCGAACCTGCTATCAAATGTAAAAATGTCTGGGTCTGGAAGAGTGCATGTTTGTCATGCTTGTCTGGCGTGACTCTTGAATCTGTCATGCAAGTTACCCAAGAGCTCCATCTTTCTGTGATGCAGAAACGCAGTTTGTCATGCAGAAAAGGCAACACCTAGAAGCTCAGAAACTTGTGATGCTGAGCCAGCATTTCTGGCCTCATCATGAGACGCCACCCAGCATCACAAGTTTCCAGACCCAGACATTTTTACATTTGATACCTGCCGCTGAACAACAATTTAACGGTGAACCCGAATTTCTTCGACCAGCTGGGCCTGTTCCTGTATGAGTTCACGGATCGACAAAAGGCGCTCCTGAAGAAGCGCGACGAGATCCAGCGGTTGATCGACGAGAAGGGGCCCACGGCGGCGTCCGATTTGGAATTTTTGAAGGAAATCGGGTACCTGGTGGAGGTCTTCGAGGGCAATTTGTCGAGCAAAATCGATTTTCAGGTCCAAGTGGAGGACGTGGATGCGGAGCTGGCTCTGCTGAACGCGCCCCAGCTGGTCGTGCCAGTGGACAATGCGCGGTTTGCGGTGAACGCCGCGAACAGTCGGTGGGGCTCGCTGTTTGACGCCCTCTACGAGGCGGACGTTTTGCCCCAAAATGCTGCATCGTCCGCGGTTATTAAGGGCTACGACCCGAACCGTGGGCTGCAGGTGTTCGCGAAAACTTTCGAGTACCTGGACCTGATTCTGCCTCTCGGGTCCGAGCAGGAGGAGGCCGGCAGCTGGCGAGACGTTGCGCAGGTGAAATTGACGGAAAAAAGCTCCTCGCGCGTCTCGGAGGCGAAGCACGGCGACTCCTCGGGTATTAAGGGCGGGACGACATCCTGCCGCTTCAAGGCACAGCTTGCGAACGGCGTGGAACTTTCTTTGCGGGACCCCGCGAGCTTTGTCGGGTACAACTTACTCGACCCCCCGGGAACCAACAAAAATCGCTGCGAATACTTCTTCCGGCACAACAATTTGCACCTGCTGCTCAAAACGGATAGTAGCTCGCCCGCTGGCAAGCAGTCCAAGTGGAACTTATCCGATGTCGTGCTGGAAGCTTGCCCAACGGTCATAATGGACAACGAAGACGCCACCGCCAGCGTCGACGCGGCGGACAAAACGAAGGGGTATCGCAATTGGCTCAAACTCATGAAGCGGGAGCTGACGGTGAAGTTTTTTTTTGATGGTTTTTTAGTAGACCGCATAATTTTGTTTCTGACCTTATTTCTAGTCGACTCTTTTCTTTTGGTTCAGTCGTGGTCTCCTTTCAACTACATCTAGTTTGAGAACAACTCTATGCATGTTGAATCCGAGCATCGCAGTCGTGGACGCTGTATTTTGTCTTCCTTCTGTTTGGCGAATCGTCATTTCGTGTAGTACACATTCTGATATTCATAACCTATCAGTCCCACAACGCGAGTGGGAAGCTGCGGAAGATGAATGACGACCTGGAGTTCACGTCCGCAAAGGACAACACCACGAAATGCCATCTGCCGGGCACGTGCGTTCTGCTGAATCGAAACGTCGGACTGCACATCTTCACCGACGCAGTGCTCTTGAACGGGCAGCCAGTGCCGGAGGGATTGCTGGATCTGTTTCTCATCGCTACTTTGTCGATGCACGACGTGTTCAAGCTGCGGAAGAACAGCAGGACGAAGAATCCCTCCGTCTACATCGTACGGCCGAAGCTGCACGGCCCCGAGGAGGTCAGTTTCGTCAACGAGGCCATGAACCGCTGCGAAGATCTGTTGGGGTACAAGCGGCATTCCATAAAAATTGGCGTTATGGACGAAGAAAGGAGAACCAGCGCGAATCTCGTGGAGTGCATTCGCGCGGTCAAGAACCGGATCTTCTTCATCAACACAGGTACTGACTGGAAAATTAGAAAATGTCCGGACAGGATAGATGTCGTTTTTTTTTGTTTACTTGCAAATGCTGGTGCTGTAGTAGCGATGATGAAAAATGCCAAGCCTTTCAGGAGATCCGATTGGAAATTTGTTGATCATCAACTGCGTCACTGCAACTTCAGGAAAAAGGATCTCGCAAAATTTCCATTTCGTTCGTAGCGGGTTTCAATTTTGAATGATGATCGTACCAAGTGTCGCGCCATCCATTTTCGTAGAGCATCTGCGTCCACGAGGACGGTGCGGTGACATCAACCATTTGACACACTGACAAGTTTCATTACCCGTTTGATAAAACGTATTGCATTTGCAGCACACAGAAAACAAAAGTCGCGTCGTTCATATCGCACATGATGACACTTTTTGAGAACAGCAAACACCGTTTCTCAAACATTCGCAGTAAGTGTCCGACTAAGTGGCTGCAAGAAAAATTTTGCGGTTGCATATGCTGGACAAACTTCCTTAGATGTCTGAATCGAAATTGAAACAAACCAAAGATGGCGCAAAAAATGTTTTCCGAAAAATTGATTTTCGGATGCCATGCTGGTCAGTATTTTTCCTCTAGTCCAGCGATATCGAACTTCTGAGCTCCGAAGTGAATTTTTTTGCTTCCATGGCGTCTCAGTTTCGGTAGCATCCAAAATGAGAACCAAATGGTCGATGACTGATGATTTTCATCTGCCTCCCACTTGGTTCTGCTCCATATTCCTTGTCGCGGTAGGTGCGCTGAGCTTAGCGTTTTGCGCTTCTCGTTGCAGGGTCGCACTGCGGCCAAACTGCCGGGTCAAACCATGGAGCAGACAAATCGATTTTGAAATTTCTTCATCATGTCTACGTTTCTCCAAGGATCAAAAAACTAATCTTATTTTACGGAGATCAAAATTATTCGTCTGACTCTGACCTTGCTCCCTGCAAATATTGGTCGTGATGCCGGTAAAACATACTCTCTAAAAAAGGTTTCTTGGATCGTGTGGGTGACGAGATCCACACAATGTTCAAGAGCAAGAAGTGTTTGCGGAAAGCGGACATCAAAAAGTCGACTTTTCTGAATGCGTATGAGCAGCGAAACGTGCGGATTGGTGTGTCCTGCGGACTGCACAAGTACGGGCAGATCGGAAAGGGGATGTGGGCAGAGCCAGATAATATGAAGGCAATGCTGGAGCAAAAAATTGGCCACTGCAAGGCAGGAGCTAGCACCGCCTGGGTCCCAAAGCCGATCGGTGCAACTCTGCATGTGCTGCATTATCACATGGTACTATTTTTTTAGCATATATTCATTTTCATTTTTAAGATCGCGCTCGCACTAAGTAGAAAATCCCTCTTGAAGACTCAACAGCAGCAGCGTGAAATATGGTACAATACGAAGCGGTAGGGGCAAAAGCCTTTTCAGTGTCGTGATGTTCCTTGAGGACTTCTAAACTCCAAAAGGTCGACGTGGGTGCGATTCAAAAAGAGTTCGAGCAGTCCCCTGTCGCCCCAGATTTTCTGCTGGCGGAGCTCCTCACTCAGCCTGCCTTGCCGGACGGCAGGATTGAGTTGTCCAGGGAGGAAATTGACGCGGAGCTTCACAATAATCTGATGGGGCTATTGGGCTACATCTCCCGGTGGGTGCAGCTCGGGTTGGGTGCCTCGAAGGTGCAGGATATCAACGGAACGCCACTGATGGAGGATCTGGCGACCTTGCGCATTTCGTCGCAGGCCATTAGCAACTGGCTACACCATCAAATACTCGACTGGACGCAAGTGGAGCAGGCGATGGACACAATTGCAAAGAAAGTGGACGCGAACAACAAGAACGAAAAGCTCTACCAGAAGATGGAAAAAGGGGAAACCTCCTACCAGTGCGCGCTGGAGGTGCTGAAAAATGGGCCGGACGTGTCGAGCGGTTACGTGTGCAACACGCTGGCAAAGTACCGAAAACTGCGCAAAGAACAAGATCAGCAAAGTGTCGCGGTTCAGGCAAAGCTGTAGCGCCTTATCTCGGAACTACTCGATAGTTTCGTGCCGGCCGCGCGGGCTGAATGTGAATAGCAGCAGTTGTTTATGCCCTGATTTTCCTGGTCCCGTAGTACGACAAAGGGTGGGAATGTGTGGTGCAAGTGTGAAGCAAAAGTGAATTGCTAGTCGTCAAGCAAGCATCATCTTGATTCGACACCGCAACGGAATTTGGCATGATTTTTTTCGCGGGACTCGTGTACCTTGATGAAGACAAGCTTGTGTGTGAAGTCGCATACTGATCGAAAGAAAAATCCCCTGACGCAGAATATCCGTGAGAGTTCCGCGCGAGCTCGCGCACGGTACTGTTTACTCGCCGATCAATTTTCCGCATGAATTTGCTAGTATCACTTTTACACATGGAAATCCTGTTTGTCACGCTCGATGCTGTGCGTGATTCTGTTTTTCCCATAGGAGACAGTTTCGAATTATACACAATTTTGCAACAGGTTGCCAAGCATAAAACTCAGAATCAACAAATCAAAAAGAGCAACACCGTGACGACTGTTTGCCGGTCCAAAAAGTTGAGCCAAAGTCCGCCGGTCGGCACCACCAGTTCGAATTTTGTTGTTCTCCACTGCGAGGTAGCGTCATCATGTGTCGTACTAGTTAAGTACATGTTGTACTACAAACGAAATTTCTTGAGGGCTTCGGAGTTGAGGGCCCTATTTCTACGGTCGTCTGCGTTGCACCCCGCGACAAAAAATCTTTTTTGAACAAGAGAGAGAGAACATCATCCCCGAGTGCCTGTTCTTGAAGAAAAGCCAGGTGGTCAGCACTTTTACTTTCCCTTCCACGCGCTCTTCGTTCTATTTTAAATGGCTGGTGGTCTCGAATTCTGGAATGTAGTTGTTTGCAGTTGATTAATGAGGAAGCTCGGGTTCTTGTTTGACACGTTCCGAAACCGAGGGATCGACCACGCGAGCCACAGTGGATAGTCGACCACGCGATGCTCCAGTCGTTGCTTAGGCAGCGCGGAGCTGCGGCGACCGGGTGTTCCGCTGCTAGCAGCCTGACGGGAGCAAGTAGTGGACTAGCCAAAAATCCAAAAGCGGCACTGGTGTTTCTGCAACAACCAGGAAATGTTAACATCCTTCCGGGGACACTACAACGCGGAAGCCGAGCCTCTCAAAACCTAGTGCCATCTTCCTTTTGCACACGAACAGCCACTCGGTCACTCTTCACAGCCTCGAGCGCTCGGCTGAGCAACGTCGGACCGGTCTTCTCGGTGCCCCCGCTGCCTCCACCCGAGTTTGAAAAGGATGGCTCGCCAAGAAGGTGATTGTGTGCTCGTGACAGTATGTTGGATCGCACAATGTTTTCCGCGGCACGGGTAGTTTGCATGTTGTTCATGTTCGACGTGCCATATCGCCCCCTGTTGCGTTTTTTCCGTGGGAGGCGAAAACCGAAGCCGAAATTTTGATCAGGTACCCACTTCATCAAGCTGTGTACAACCACGGCTACCACTGGGAGCACTGGGGCATGAAGAAGGAGGGCCTGTTCCACAGCGTCTACTGGGGTGATTTGGCCGTAGACTACGAGGCCTACCAAGCCTGGCTGCAGAGTTTGCCGTTATGGGTGGGTCTACCGGGAATCTTCCTCTGGTTCATGATCTGCATCTCCATGTTTCTGCACGCCGGGTCCATCGGAATCAAACCCAAGCGGTAAGAGAAAGAACAAGAAGTATCGTCTTCCGTGCGGCATGACATGTGAGAAGAAAAGGCGCAACATCATACTTACAATTCGGTTCATTTTAGTTTTTCTCTTTCCATTCGTGTCGGTTCGAGAAGACGAAACAGCTAATGTCGCATGTGCACGAAACAACCATACAGCTTCACCGTGGATTGGGTGATGGCAGCAAAGGAACGCGAACGTTGCGAGAACAGCAATCCGGTGACGAGATACCTCGACCGCAGGGTGTCAGAACGCGGATGGCATATTGTCTTGGGTACTTCTACTTACTACACGTTAAGGCAGTCGGTTGTGTGCAGCTGTTTTTCTTCCTGTGAGCTGTAGGTTGTTGCATCTTGTTGTTCCAGAACGGATCTGTGCCACGGCTGCCTGGGGAAAAAATTCCAAAAATTATCACAAAAATTGAGGCGATTACCTGCCGCATCATCGGTACTTCCTGTGGATGAATAACGCGTACGATCACGAGTGGCGAGAGGCCCGGGGCTTGCCAGACCTCACAGAAGAGGGAGCAGTTTGGACGTACCTAAACCCCAATAAAATCGCAAAGGACGACGACGGAGAAGACGGCGACGAATAGAAGAGTCGCTCTTGTGACGCCGCGTTCTAATTATTTGATATTTCGTCTCTTTGCGTTTGCGATGGATCTTCATTTTGTTCCTGCAGAGCAGTTGCGCGGCCGTACTGGTACGTAGCACTAGTGGCTGCGTGTGGTGAAATAATAATTGCGTGCTGTCCTCTCCTTTGTACATACGAACCACCTGCACTACTTTGTAAAAGCTTATAGAAAAATTCTCCGGCACACGAAAAACAAGCGTGTGAGTGAAAGACAGGTTTGTTTTTGCGGATGTGGCCGTGACGAGCTTGCATTTGCTGCAATTAAAGAGCAGCAGCACTGACAAAAAGAATGCAGAGTGAAAGCTAAAAGGTAGATCTTATACGAGTGTGTTGTAAATGAGTGAACGAGAGGCCTGCTCTTCTAGCATCGGTAACAACTTTTTTGTGCTGGAGGGAATAAAGAGTAAATGGCGATGAATGATGTTGAGAAAGCTCAATCCTGTAGATACTTAAGTCTTGAACAACTTCCAATTCAAAAGCAGGGAGACTTAACCTCCAACTTCTCTATTTCGCCTAGCCTACTACTCGCATTGATACACGCATTGGCATTTCCATGATGTGAAAATTTTCAAGACGAGTTCAAGGATACACCAGTAGTGTGAAGTAGTACTTCCACGATTTTTTCTGACCCCGTTCTTTTTTTTCGAAACACTTGAAAGTAGTCTGTTTGCAGAACTCGCGTTCTGTTCACGATTTGCGATTTTTCAAAGTGACCCTGTGAAACAAAAGACATTAACAACACAGTAGTTTTTGGTTTGGCTTTGGCTGTGAACAAGTTTGGGTATCTCCTGTAACTACACATAAGTCTGGGTTCCCAGCATGTTGTCTACGTTGCGGCACGGCTTCGGTGCGCCGCTGCGTCGCGCAGGCACCCGAAGTATTAGCACAAAGCAACTCGCGGGCTACACCGTTCACGACCACTCGTATTGCAGTTTTTTAGTAGGATGAAAATCAAGATTCTTCATCACGCAGAGAGGTACCAACTCTGTGCGGGTCAACATCTTTCCACTTGATATGAGTTTGATCCGAGTAACTTACTAAACAGGTTTGATGCGGTGGTTATCGGCGCAGGTGGTGCGGGTCTGCGGGCGGCCGCAGGGCTGGTTGCCAATGGTTTAAACACCGCGTGCATCACCAAGGTTTTCCCCACGCGATCGCACACCGTCGCAGCCCAGGGTGGAATAAATGCGGCCCTGGCCAACATGACGGAAGATGACTGGAGGTGGCACGCTTACGACACAGTGAAAGGTGCGGACTGGCTTGGGGACCAGGATGCCATCCAGCATATGTGCAGGTACTCTCGTCTTCAGCAAGTTGATGTATCTGGCACAAAGTGAGAGCAGGACTACGACTACTAGAGGTAGATTTTGAAGACATTGCTCTTGGCTGCAGGACTGAATCAGGTTTGGCGGGTGAGTAATGAAGCGATTTAGACAGAGAAATTTTTGTGGCTCATGCGATTCCAAACCGGTACCTATCACACAACTCGCAACAGGATGGCACCGAAAGTGGTGTTGGAACTGGAGTCCTTTGGACTGCCGTTTTCTCGCACGGAGGATGGTAAGATCTACCAGCGAGCTTTCGGGGGGCAGTCGCTGCAGTTCGGGAAAGGCGGTCAGGCCTACCGCTGCGCCGCCGCGGCTGATCGGACGGGGCACGCAATTCTGCACACACTCTACGGCATGGCGTTGAAGCACGGTAAAGATTTTTTGCAACTGTGCTTGCTACAGGATTATCTTCGCGACAGCCGTGTCGTCGAGCTGGACGATGTGGATTTTTTTTTCGGAATTCCTTCGGATTTTCATCGCACACGCAATTCATTTTCCGATAACAATTGCCCTCCAGATTGCCTATTTTTCGTGGAGTACTTCGCCTTGGACCTGATCCAGGATGACGATGGCAAGGTGGTTGGGTGCCTCGCGCTGTGCATGGAAGACGGCAGCCTCCACCGATTTGGCTCCCACGCGACGGTATTGGCTACGGGCGGGTTCGGGCGAGCCTACCAGTCCTGTACGTCCGCACACACCTGCACGGGCGATGGCGGCGGTACTTACCATCCTTCAATGCGATGTTGGCTATTGAAAGTCATACGGATCATGCATCCACTTATTTCAGCACGTTTCACGATTGATTGTCTTGATTCTTTTGTTGGTACGCAAGAAACGGCTTGTCGTGTATCAAATACTACAGCCATGGCATCGCGTATCGGTCTGCCGCTGGAGGATTTGGAGTTCGTGCAGTTCCACCCAACTGGGATTTTCCCAGCTGGCTGCTTGATTACGGAAGGCTGCCGTGGGGAGGGAGGCATCTTGAAGAACAGCGAAGGTACAGACGTTCTTTGGTTCGCCGCGTGTCCACCTCTATGATGTCGGTGGCATTGATTATTTGAGCACGGTCACGAATCGCTTTCTGGCGGTTCTGGAGAGGCGAAAGAGGCACGAATGAGAAGCCTTAGCCTTTTGAGCTGCATTTCCTTCGCAAACAAAAAATGCAACATCAACTACTACTCGTTGCAACATCTTCCCCGTGCATATAATGACCACAGGTGAACCCTTCATGGCAAGATACGCCCCCACCGCGAAGGACTTGGCCTCGCGCGACGTGGTTTCGAGAAGTATGACCATGGAGATCCGGGAGGGGCGAGGTGTGGGCCCGCACAAAGATCACGTCTACCTCCACTTGGACCACCTGCCCGCCGAGACGCTGGCCCAGCGGCTGCCGGGTATCTCCGAAACCGCAAAGATTTTCGCCGGGGTGGACGTGACGAAGGAGCCCATCCCGGTGCTGCCGACCGTCCACTACAACATGGGCGGCGTCCCCACGAACTGGAAGGCGGAGGTGCTCACCAAGGACGAGAAAATTGTGCCAGGACTCTTCGCTGCAGGTAGGAACAGAAAGTTTATGTGTCTTGTGCGCTACTTCTTGTTCGAAGCCTAGGCGTAGGAGCTCACTCTTGTCAGAAGACCTTGCATCAGCTGAAGTAGCTGTCGTAGTTTATTCACGTGTAGTACTTACGAAGAGTAGAAACGAAATTTGATAAGTGACGACTACGCCACTGTGATTCTTCTGCATGTCCTCTTCGTTCACACTCGCGGGAGCACGCGTGGTCGCTCCATCCGCGTGCTCGAATACTAAAGCCATGACATACTTACTACAGGTGAGGCTTCTTGTGCGTCCGTGCACGGTGCTAACAGGTTGGGAGCGAACTCCCTATTGGATTTGGTCGTCTTCGGCCGTACCGCGGCAGAGACAGTGTCCGCCTTGGTCAAGCCGAACTCACCACCAGTCAAACTGAAGGAAAACGCCGGCGAGGTGACGCTGCAGAGGTATTCTTGTTGTATCCTCCTTGGTGCAAGTTAAAGTTTCGGTCAGATTTACAGGCAGAGGAACAAGCTATGCCGTGGCAGAGTCGATGTTTAGAAAAAAAGGACTAGCAGTGTGGCGGATTAATTGACGTACGAAAAAACTCAACATCAGACGTACGTAACAATGCAACACGAACACAGGTTTGATCAAATCCGCAATAAGTCTGGGCCGATTCCCACAGCGGATTTGCGTTCCGAACTCCAGTCCGTTATGCAGACGCACGCCCCCGTGTACCGAAATTCAAAGGACCTGATCGAGGGAAAGAAAAAGGTTGTCGACGTTTACAAGATATCAAATGTAAAAATATCTGGGTCTGGAAGGATGTAACCTGTGATGCGCATTTCAGAACACACAAAAATCTCTCATGCATAGGTAGCAAAAGCTGCTCGCTTTCTGTCACCAAAGTGGAAGATTTGTCATGCGGGTTCGGCAATGCGGAAGCTTCTCGAAACCTGTGATGCTAGAGCTTCCACGCCAGACCTTCTGTGTCATGCAGAAACAGCATGACTCTTCCAGACCCAGACATTTTTACATTTGATACAAGAAGTTTAAGGATGTTGGTGTGAAGGACAAGACCATGATCTGGAACACCGACCTGATCGAAACTCTCGAGTTGGAAAACTTGCTGACGCAGGTACTTCCTACATTCTGTTTCCAGTCAGCTTTTCTTGCTCAATCGATTGAAAGAATATGGAACGATCATGCAGCACGATCATGTGCATGTTTCTGCCCTTGCGAAAATAAATGACATTGAAGTTAGTAGATGCGCCCAGTCTAGGAGCGTTCGATAGTAGTTACAGTTTGAAAGAAAACTTCTTTCTTCACGTGTTTATCCTGTTTGTCGTTCGAACAGGCGGCACAGCTGATGTTTTCGGCGGAAGCGCGCAAGGAGAGCCGCGGTGCCCAGGCGCACGAGGCCTTTTTTTGGGCCGGTTAGCTTTGCAGCAGTGGGGCATAGATAGGGTCTTCCGCCCAGCCTTAGCTACAACGCCGGCAGTTCTTTCGCCGTCTTCCGTGTCCCAGGGCTCCTTGTATGTGGTTGCCACATCCAAGAAAGGAGCCCCTCCTTGGGTGTGGAAGACTGCGGGCTAACCGATGGAAAGGCAAGGAGCCTCATCGTCGTTGCTGGGAAGTCGTAGCAGGCTCTCCATGCAGCGGCTGCTAGAGCGCGGGCCAGCAGTGGCAGCTAGAGCGCGGGCTTGGGTGGTTGTATCTATTATACGGCGGTTGTTGGGCGGCCACCGTTAGCCTCATTAGGTTGGTAGGGAGCTCGGTTCGGTCCCCGCGGGTTGCTGCTGGTTATTAATTTCGTGGCCACACCTCTCGGGCAGCCCCGCCGCGTCTAACTTCGCGGGCGGGCGACCTTCTCTGGCATTCCCGTCCAAGTATCCGGCTGAGCGCGCAAGGTCGGCCCGTTTGTTGACTTGGCTTGGCTATAAAAATAACATCAAGAAAAACGCCGCGCAGCGAGAGGAGGGCGCGCAAGAGAGGGCTACCGCGGGGCTTAGGCCCCCCTCGCTCGGGGATTTGTTTTGCTTCGAAAGTCGCCACGCTTCTAGCACACAGCCGAGATGGCTCGGCCGCCTGTGCGCCCCCCGGCCGGGGCTTCTCGGGCTTTTCTCCGCTTCCGCACCTGCTGCACGGCTTCGAGTTCCGTTCTCAGTCTCGTCTCTTTTTTAAAAAAAAACACGAGAGCAGGCGGGGAAGGATCCAAGAGTCGCGAAAAAGTTCCGTTATCAGTTTAGACAGTTCCAAAAAAAGCCATATCCATTGCAATATAAGTAGTTCTTGCGGTTTGGAAGAAAAGTCCTTTCACGCGTTTCTGTTTTTCTTCTGAACAGGCGGCACAGCTGATGTTTTCGGCGGAAGTATCCTGAGTAAAAACGTCCCCACACCAGAGTTGTAATGCAGATTTGCAAAGACAGGAAGACTTGTAACGCGCATCCCCATGAGAGCCATTTCCAATCGTGTTTTGGAATTTGTGATGCTGTGAACAGGATGAGGAGGTGGATTTGTTATGCGGCTTCCCTTGCTAAACTGCACTACACTGCAGAGTGCAACTTGTCATGCGTGACTCACAAAACACCTAGGTTTGTGTTGCAAAATCCCCATCCGGACTCTGGTGTGGGAACGTTTTTACTCAGGATAGGAAGCGCGCAAGGAGAGCCGCGGTGCCCAGGCGCACGAGGACTTTCCGGACCGGGACGACAAGAACTTTATGAAGCACACCCTCAGTTGGCAGAAGGGCTCCCGCAACATTGAAGATGCCACCATCGAACTGTCCTACCGACCGGTCATCGACCAGCCCCTGGACGATGAGATGCACCATGTCCCCCCGGCGAAGCGTGTCTACTAGGTTTTCTTCGTCAAGGTATTCAGCACTGATACCCATCTCAAAATGATCCCTGTGAACAACAAAGTTCTTACCAGACCACGAGCGAGACCGATTATTATACACGAACTTGCGATCATGGGGAGACGCAGAAGAAGACCTAGACCTAGAAGACGCGGAAAGTTCTTATTGCCAGCATCTCCGCTAGTATTGCTGTCGACAACGCTCACGATACCGGTACGCTCACACGAGTTTGAGGAGTCCATGAAAAACCGGTAGGAGAAATTGAGAGGACAGGTCGTATCAATGCGAAAAATAGCGATCATGGAGATAGAAATTACAATTTTATAAATTTTTGTACCGATTAAGTTTCGAACACAATAAACACGTGGGATTCTTCGAAAATTGATTCAACCGACGTTGCTAATGCATGAATAGGACAGACCTTGAAAGACTATATACCATTAATCTTTTGACACAGTACCCAGTTTATATCCATTTTCAACACGACGACGAGGACCGTTTGGAAGCCGTCAATGGACTGTTTATCCTCGGCGGATCAGGACTCGGTTCGGCTGAAAAGCGCGACTCTTGGGAGGCCATTCGCGGAAGGCCTCCTCATCTCTGAAAAATACAATTACATGTACCCAAAATTTATCAAGCACAGCCCGTCAAAAGAGAGGGATGAAAAGCTGAGCAAGCTGCTACGGTGATTGCCTCACGTGAACAGGCGAAGAAACTCGATTGCAAACTAAAAGAAACATAGGAACGCACCTCTACATTGTCTAAGAAAATAAATAAGTCGGTCCGTCGAGGACACTATTTATGCAAAACCACTTACCTCTTCCTTTTCGGTCGTCTTGTATTTCAAATGTTTAGTTTTTGCAAAGAAACCACGAAGCTTCATTTTCCGCAAATACAAAAAGCAACCAATCATTGCCATCAGCCGCATTCCTTGCGGCAGCTTGTTGAGAAGGGTTTGATGAGACGCTCGTCGGCCACTTAGCGACAGAAATGTATCACGATTCTCACGTATGTGCAGCGAATGCAGACGAATGGCACAGGAACAATTGCACGAAAGACACGAAAAGCGGCAGCGCCGGCGTTGTCGCTTGTGAAAGCGTTTCACTTTCTTCGCCTTTCTTGCTCATCTGCCTCTTTTGTTGTTGTCGCAGGCAGCAGGCACCTAGGGGAAAGTTAGTGAGTTTCATGTGACAGAAAAGCGCAAGGATCCACCTTTCTTAGCATGAGTTGCGCGCAGTGCGGAGCTCGTTGGATTTGATCGATCAACACATATTTACACCTGACGTTGTGATCCCGTATAATATGGCCATGAAGCTTTAGCTTTTTGTTTTCGTTCTATTTTTTTTTAAACGCGTTAGCATTTGTTCACGTTCAGCAGGCCTTGATACATTACTGGCGCCAGAAGGTTTATTTCTGAAATGTTTATTTTCTTATTTTCAAATTCAAAGCAAGAGGCGAATCTTAATATCACATAATCTTTTCCGAAATGCAAATGGGGTGCGGCGACCGAGAAAATTAGCATTTTGACTACCTTGGTGGTTCGGTCATCTGTTCTATCAGCATGCTGCGTGCCAAGGAGCTGTCGCGGTCGCTGAAGCGAGTCTCAGAAAAAGACGACGACACCACGTTGCAGAATATTCTGCTTATTGATGACGACGGAGCTATTTTGGGCGCAGCAAATCCAACGGATTCACGGGACGAACATTGTTCCGCTGTACTAGCCAGCATCTACAACGAATACAAGGTGAGGGTGGTTCATTGCGCAGCTAATATTTCTTTTGATCATGAAGATGTTTGTTCTACTTTCGCCGATCTTGGCGAATTTCAGCTGTGAATCACTCTGAACGAGGCGCTCAGAATAATATGTTTGAACCTGAAGCTAATTATTTTTGAGGTTTGTAATACTAATAAATCTCGTTTCCCCAACGAACTGTATAACAGGCAGCAGAGAAATGCATGGCCCCGGGGGACGGCTGCCTGAAGACCGTAATATTTAACACGGAGAGCATATGGAAGCGTCAGGATCGAAATGGACAAAATCGAAAAATTTGTAATGCATAAAATCGATACCAGTTGGAGCCTCAGTTTTTAAGTGGCGCATGACAAATTTCGGGAGCACCAAAATCCAGTCTGTCATGCTGTTTGGGCAAAGAAGGCTGCTCCTGTCGTGCTACTCTGGCAGCGCGTCGTCTTCCCCTAAACAGGCTTGCAATCGGTCTCATTTGCCTGCTGCCCAATACAGGCCATACGTGCCCTACATTTTATGCATCACAAATTTTTTGATTTTGTCGATTTCGATTCTGACACTTCCATAGAGCAGCAAGGTTGTCGTCCGCGAGCTGTTCGAGGAAAAGGACCAGATTGAGCATCGGATACTGCTTGCCGTCCTGGGTGTATGCAAGAAAAAAACTGTGTAAGTGTAAATTTGTGTTGCAGAACATGCAACAGAGTTACACCTGTCATGCCAGACAGCCACGAAGCTCTCTTTTCAGGTGTGTTTTGCCTTACAAGCCACGCATGACAGGTTTTCTCTGTCATGTAGAGCAAATTTGTGATGCTGTTCCTCAAAGAAAGTTACACTTACACACTTTTTTTCCTGGATAGGGTGAGAAAGATGGCGACGGCATGCTGCTGCAGCGGAAACTTGAGGTTGCGCGCGTAAATCTGCAGTGTCTGCGCGAAATATTTCTCGTACCGTCTGGCTGAGGCACAACAGCCTGTGCGTTGAAAATCTCCACACGTAAGAACGGTGGAGAGATCCGACCATGCGCAAAAGATCTTTTGCGTTCTGCGAAGATATGATCCAACACATCAAAGTATGCGTCGATTAAGTAATATGAGGTGTTCTACCGCCGGCGATTTGGCTGCGCTCATGTCGCGCAAGATCACGCGCATTGCTTTCTATTTCTTGTCGTTTGGCCAGGGAGCGCCCCATCGTGCAGAAATATCTGCGTCGCAGTTTCTTTGTTTCTTGTGCGCGTTTCTCTTTCGGCGTTTTTTTAAATGACACAGGGGAGAATAGCATCTCTCGAAGCAAGCCCGCAATTGGAAGAGAGTCTTCGAGCATCACTGCAATTCTGCACTTTGCACGAGCATGGAGCGGTGTTTTTCCTGGAGGGAAGGGCGAGGTGTCTTCGGTGTGACAGCTATGACTAAGGGTCACCACTGAGCAAAAGAAAAAGATCGTTGTTGAGTGATACTCAGACTAGAACGAAGAAGGAGCTCCTGCTGCTAGAGGCTCACTACTGGTCGACAGCATAAGATGGACTAGCACTTCCTGCAAGCCATTAGGCACACGCACGCCTCTGACTCAGCTGCTAGAGGAGTCATTTTTTTTGCAAGGTGAAGCGACGAGGAAATTCTCAGAAGCAAAAATAAGGCCTGCCGGACTACTACCGAAGACACGACACCATGGGTTGCCAGAGTAGTAAAACCCACCGGAAGGTGGAGCCGATAACGCAAGTGGGGGCGGAAGGTACCTGTGTATTTGATAGGAACAGGAAGTACATGATGTTAATATCCCACGAGCGATAACAAGGATAAGGTGCTGGAAGTTTGCGAACGAGATGCTCTGACTTTTCACTGTGGTTTAGTACTTGTCGGACTGGCACGGACATCCCCGTCGCCAGGAGGAACATAGTTGGCAATACGGTACACTACAGGCGGTAAAGCACGGGACGGAGAGCAGTTCACGGAGCTAGAAAGGTTCGACGCCGAGGGACAGGATATCTCGCCGGGAAAAGGTGCCGGTGCAAATAAGGTCGAGCCTAACGCGCCGTCAACTGCGTCTTCGGCGCACGATGTGCCGCTGCCAGGCGCCGTGGTCGGTTCCACCACACGAAGTCCGACGACAGACGAGGACCCGCAGAGTAAAACGCAGCCGCTCGCGCCCCCCGCCGGCAGTAGCGTCGTGTCGACGCCACGGAAGGGCAATGTTGCCGCACAGAGCTCACCCTCGGCCGCGAACGCAACCGCGTCGCTTTCTCCCGACCACAAAAGTATCACGGAAGAGCCGAGCGGGATCGTGGTCGAGTCGAAGTCGCCAACAAAAAAGCTGATCGTCGACGGTGAAAAGAAGAGCAGCGCCAGCAGTTCGCTCAAGATAGACTTGGCACCTGTAGAGGCAGTGGATGAAGCCGACCTCCAGAGCAAAGTGACGGAGTAAGAAAAAAATTCGTCTGCTCATACGTGGTGCGGAGATTTTTCCTTCTTTCCTTATGACGCGGTGGAGCTGTTGGTGCTAACGCGAGATGGTGCTGATGCTGAATTTCTTTTCTGCTATAATCAAAATGCAAGGTATCTCACGTCTGACACCAAGATTCATCCCACGTTGAAGAAAGCCGTCGGGATGCAAAAGTGGGGGCAGCTGGAGCTGGAGCTGCGAAAGGACTCAAACAAACCTGGGGCGAAAGACAGTCCGCTGCAGTGGCTCTGGATAAGAGAGGCGGGAGGCAAGGAAGATATCGGACTCCTGGTCTTCCGCGTGTTGCGGTTGACTTTCTCGAATTCAGTGGTCATCTTCCACTTTTCGTTGCTGGAAAGTTTCATCTCGCGACAGCCCGACCTGGTGGCCGGCTTTGGGGGCGTGCTCGCCTCGCTGCGGGGGGATTTATTTCAAAGACTAAACATAGGTACTTTGATCTAGATTTTTTTGAATCACCATCACATGACGGTCGTTCTTGGACGCGTGAAAAAAGTTTCGAAAGTGATTCTATTTCTTCATCAGTGTATGATGACTATCGCGACATACACAGCAAACTTGCGGCTGACACTGAACTACTACGAGCAAGAGGATCTGCCTGCGGACAGTGCGGGAGAAACCGCTTACAGTGTGCACAAAGGGTTGGAAGCCGTTTGTAAAGACCTGCAGTTTCGGTGGTTTCAGTTGACCAACACGGCAGACGGGACGAGGGGGCAGGTTATGAACAGCAAACGCAATCCAGAGATTGATCCAGAAGAGGTCACGGAGGACGACGCCGTGTTTTCCAAACCATCTAGGCAGGCGACCTGTCCGGCAGACGAGGTAAAGACCGAGGAGGAAGAAGAGGACTAGCGAGCGTGCTATGACCAAAATTACCTTGTTGCTGTTGATGAGGTTGTGGCTGTCCCGGACGCGCAGTCTTAATTTTTAGCGCGTCTTAGCACGACCAAGCATGCGCTTGCGCTTGCACCGCACGTCGCGCTGCATAATCACTACACGATCCTCCCTGATGTTCCGCTGTTGCGACGAAGCTCACATGTGCCTGGAAGGAAACTTCGTGAATCGGTCAGGTATTTGCCGGACGCTTTGCATCAATCAGTGAAGAGTCAACTCAGACTATGATCATTACGAAATCGTGAGCAAGGACAAAAGTCAGATGCGCCTCTGACTTATTTGGCCAAGCTGACTTGACAGATCAAGAGATTCGGTCGTGCGTAGTCGTGATAAGAAAATAAACAGCTACATGCACTAAGAGAAAATGAACGAAAACTTTTCAGAAAACCACGACCCATGGAAAGTGAACAAAAAGAACAAATGAGGATCCTAAGTATCTTTGAATCACGCTACAGAAATCAGCAAAGTGCGGATCCTGATCGTGCAGAAAATCCTTGACAGATCCCTTACACTGCTCTAGAAAATTCCCCTATCAAATCGTGACTTTCACTCGGTTGGTGAACGAAACTTGATTTTCCACCTCAACAACAGTGATGAGTTCGGCGTAGATCGAATTTCATTCACAAAATCTACCGACAAAGAAGGTACTATATTCGTGAAAAAAGCAAAAGCCTTCAACTACACTGCTTGCATCAAGTGTTTGTCGCATACTATTTAGATCTCCTAGCTAGACATTGATTACGAATAACGCATTTAGAGTCACATCGTAGACCTACTTGTGCTTTCTTACAAAAAGAATTATTTCCATATCTTTCCACTACACGCATCCATTTTTCCACTCCAAAACACTCGTTTTGCAACCGCGAAATTATCGATTCTGTTTTGACTGTCTTTTTGAAGTACAACTGCTTTATCAAGAAACGCACGAGTCAGAAGTCATGTTGGTATTAACGGAGACGGCTGCTGGTTACGGTCTGTTCAAGATCAAGAACGAGCGACTTCTCAGCGCGGAAAAGGAGGACATCGCAGCGGCATTCGCCTCCGAGGAACTATGTCAAAACTCCGCGGAAATGGTGGCCTTCAGCAAGTTCAAGGTAAGAAAACGGAGTGTATTGTGTTTCATCTTTTTTTTCGATTGGCTGACTAGAAATTATTACTTGGGCAATTTCTAGGAAATAAAAATTTCCACCTTGCAACCGACACAAAAAAACTACCTTGACAGGACACGAAAATGGCACTGGAGGAGAGCGCAAGCTTGATTGAGAGCAAAGTTGGGAAGGGACTCAAGAAGTTTTTGAAGAAGAATATCGTCGAAAAGAGTCTCTCGGACGAGCTTGCGGTCATTGATGCAAAGCTCGGTGGGGCAATCAAGGAGAAGCTTGGTACAGTTTATAACTGACTGTCGTATTATTTTGATTTGCATGCATGATTGCTTCTGCAAATCCAAAGCCATGCGCACGCTGTTGCTAAGCTTGGTTTAAATATGGCAGCAGAAGATGTTTCTCCATGATTATCGCAACAGGTATTTCCATCGCTGTCTCGGAACAGACAAAGGAATTGCAGCGAGCTTTGCGGCTGAACATCGAAGAGCTGATGGCCGAAATTGGAAAGGACGAGCAGAAGCAGATGCAGGTCTCCCTGGCGCACGCCATGAGCCGATGGAAGCTGAAATTTTCTCCGGATAAGGTCGACATCATGATCATTCAGGCAATCGGCCTCCTGGACGACCTCGGTACAGAATATATCAACTGGCTCTGCTGAATGATATAAGTATGTGTTGTTCCCAGAAGACAGACTGTGACTTTTTTCTTTTCTCTTTTTCGCTTACGAATGTACTTACTAGGTTGTAGTTGTTTGCCTTCTTTATCGAATCAAAGCGGCGACCGGAATAAAATAAAGTGTGAAATGATCTCACTACAGACAAAGACCTGAACAATTTTGCGATGCGGCTGAAGGAGTGGTATGGGTGGCACTTCCCGGAGATGGCGAAGATCCTGACCGACACGCTGGTGTACGCGAAGGCGGTGAAACTGATGGGCATGCGGACGAACGCGAAAAACTGCGACTTCTCCACGATCGAAATTCCGGAGGAAATCGAGACCGAACTGAAGCGAGCGGCAGAAACCAGTTACGGCACGGAAGTGACCACAGAAGATATGGACCACATCAACACCTTGACGGAGCGCGTTATTCAGCTCCTCGAATACCGACAGCAGCTCAGCAACTATTTGAAGGTAGAAAGAAGTGAAATTCATAGTCGCATTTTTGCTTTTGTTGAGAAATAAATATGCTTCATCAGGTAGTGGTCTTTGGATGAAGTTGTTCAACATCAACTCTTGCATAAAATCAACCGAAACTACACAACAAACAGACCCGTATGAGCGCTATTGCACCAAATTTGACGCACCTGGTCGGTGAACTGATCGGCGCCCGACTGATCAGCCATGCCGGGTCCCTCTTATCGCTGTCGAAACACCCGGCATCTACCGTGCAAGTTTTGGGAGCGGAGAAAGCGCTTTTCCGAGCCATGAAGACGAAGAGCAACACGCCGAAATACGGTATCCAGCTGTTTACAAGAACTGTTTGTAGGACATTGGGAGGTTGATAATGACGATCATGAAAAACAAAAAGAACTTACGCGGAACGTCGTTTGTGTATCGTGTTAAGTTCTTTCGACCGCATTTGATTTTTCCAACGACATGATAGAACTTCATCACTCACTGCAGGTTTGATCTACCACGCGTCCCTGGTGGGGAAGTCCGCATCGAAGTTCAAGGGAAAAATCTCGCGCGTGTTGGCCGCGAAAATGGCCCTCGCGATCCGAGTGGACGCGCTGGGTGAAGACACGGAGGCGACAGTAGCGAAAGCGTTCAAGGAGTACGTGGAGCGTAAGGTGTGTGCCTGCGAGGATGGTGATGACATCAATGCATCCAGGAAACATTTGAAGAACGCGGCAAACCTGAGTGCGCAAACCGCCAAGAAAACAGACACCAGCAGTTACAACCAGGACGCGGACGTGGTTACGTCAAACAAGAGACAAGCAGAGAAGGAGGGTGAGGCCGAAACCGCAGAGGAGCCAGAAAAGAAGAAGAAAAAGAAGAACAAGGAAAAAACCTCCACGGCAAAGCCTCTCGCAGCGGGAGCCTAGAAGAAGATGGAAACCGCCATTGTACTAGATCAAGATATTACGAGATGAAAAATATAGCGAACACTTTTTTTACGATTACAAACGAATATCCTAGGAGATTACGCCGGGAGGACATGGTGGTCTTTTGTTTTGTCAAGTTAGCATTTACCTTCAAAAGGTGGATATTACGGGGGTAAGCCCATCTTTGTGATTTCTGTCATGATAGAGCGCCACTCTTGGTGATAGAATCCTCTGGAAGATGGGCTTGCTAGAAGAAAAATCTACGGAAGAGCGATCTTTTGTCGTTGTCAGCAAGGAATATTTATACCATACATGATCACGATGAACGTGAGCGGTCAATTCGATCGGGACCGAGAAAAGCGAAGCGGGATGATGGAAACGTGCACACAAAGATTGTGAAAGTGGAAGTTGTGGAAAGAAATTCTCAAGTACGTCGTCTTGCGAGGCCAGAAGTACGTACACCAAGACCGAGCCCGCTCTTCATAGGACTGTGTGTTTATGTCCTGCATCTCCAGGAAAACAGTGGATATGACGTCTACGTGAGTAATATTAACCGTTCCATCGGTACTGCATTCCACCGAATATAAGTACAAAATCTTGATGCGCTGTGAATGTGATCGGTCAAGCGCTCTGAAGGTTGAAGTTTTACAGTCTTCGGTGACATATTTTTTGTCGGTTTCTGGTAACTTCTTCTCTTTTGAAAATTCGGTTTTGTGACTAAGTACCTGCACTCGGTGTGCTTCGTGATTTCTGAGATGTATCGGTGACTTTCATGAGCACGCTGCCCTGCATCCTCGGTCAGCACTGCGCATCTTCTTATTATCGTTTGATTGTCGTAGTCGATGGCACCATTCATTGGGCCACCGGTATCTCCGTTGCTTTGCTGCCGAAAGTTAGCAAAAATAAAGTACCCTTCCAGCAACCCTCGCAGAAGGTTAGTGTCCCCTCTACATTGGCAAACCAGATATCATCAGAGATGACTGCGACAAATCCGATGGGCCGAGCGCCCTCCGTGCTGCTACAGACAGCGGTGATTCACCTGTTAACTTTTATATCTCTACCGACACCATTTTTTCAAACCGTCTCCGCTTCCGAACCTGCAGGAGCACGCAACTCCACGAGTCTTCCGCAGCTCCGATTCCTGGGCCATGGCGGTGACCGCACAGCCACGGCTGCGGATCGCCAAGCCTTTGAGCAGACGGCGCAAAACAGCCTAGCGGCGCAGTTTTTGCGGTCGGTTGGCGGGAAGTGTGGTGTCTCTATCAAAACGAAATACGACCCCGGGTCGTTGTGCGCTAACGAGCCGTGGCGGGAGAGGTGCAAGAAGGGCGCCGTAACACCGTTGAAGCTGCGCAAAGCCGCACAGGCCGGCGGTCTGACCTGGCTGTACAACTGGGACGGCACCCTCATCCCCGGCGGCCCCCACTCCGCCAGCGACGTGCACGCCGTGACGGGAGCGCAGTCCCCCGATGCGTACCGGGACAACAAATTGTTCTACGCGCCGATGTTTTGGGGGGCGGGCAGCGGCGACCCGAGCGCGAAGAACTACGGCTTCGGGGCGGACGGCGGCGCGACGAAGGTGGCCAGCGTGGACGCGAGCACCATTGCAGCGGGGAATCTGGGCAAGGACTGCAAATACATCCTGCCCTTCGTGTTCGGGCAGAACGAACCGGACCACGACCCCTCGGCGGGCGGCTCCGCGATGACCCCGGCGCAGGGGGTGGCGGAGTGGAAGGTCCAAACCAAGCGCGCCTACGAAACCGGGGGCTACAAGGAGTTTGTGGGCCCGCACGTCGCCTACGCACTGCCGCCACGGTACGGCAGCAACGTGTTCTCGGGATATAAAACATGGTACGAGGACTTTCTGCTCCTGTTGGCTAACGACGCGTCTTCGCCCGGGTTTGGGGGCTTCGCGCACTGGAAGCAAACCATTCACTACCTAGGGTACCACACCTATCAGCCGACCTGCCAAAACGACGAAGGCGGGGCCCACGGGTACGCCAGCGTCTACGAGGAGTGGGACTACGAGTACCGAACCGGTAGCGTGAAAAATCTCGCGATCTGGTTTAACAAAAATCACGGCTTCAACCTGCAGGGACTGTGGCTCACGGAGACAGCGCTGGGCCGCGGCAGTACCTACCTGAACTCGGCAGCAGCCTGCGCGCCGCGCGAAACGCAGATGCACTACCTGGAGAAGATTTTACCGCGGTACCTGAGTGACCCGTCGGTGATCGGCATTGCCTGGTTCAGCGCAGACGCGTTCCAGAGCGCCTACTACGATCGGGACTCCACCTTGTGGAACATGGAGACCGAGGAGCTGACGAACTTGGGGGCAAAATACCTGCAATTGTGTCGCGAGAACCAGGGCAGCGCAATCCAAAACTACTGGACGCAGCGGGCGGTGGGAAGTGGCTCCACTCCGGCAACCTGCGTTCCAGCCGCGGCGACGCCAAGCCCGAGCCCAAGTCCGAGTCCGAGTCCGAGTCCGAGTCCGAGTCCGAGTCCGAGTCCGAGTCCGAGTCCGAGTCCGAGTCCGAGTCCGAGTCCGAGTCCGAGTCCGAGTCCGAGTCCGAGTCCGAGTCCGAGTCCGAGTCCGAGTCCGAGTCCGAGTCCGAGTCCGAGTCCGAGTCCGAGTCCGAGTCCGAGTCCGAGTCCGAGTCCGAGTCCGAGTCCGAGTCCGAGTCCGAGTCCGAGTCCGAGTCCGAGTCCGAGTCCGAGTCCGAGTCCGAGTCCTCCTGCACCTGCACCGGCGCCCGCACCGGCGCCCGCACCGGCGCCCGCTCCGGTGCCTGCACCGAATACGCCGGCGCCTGCACCGAACACGCCCGGACCTGCACCGGCGCCTGCGCCTGCACCGAGTACGCCTGCGCCTGCACCGAATACGCCCGGACCTGCACCAGCGCCCGCACCTGCACCGACTATGTCGGGAACGCCCGCACCTGCGCCTGTACCGAATACGCCCGCACCTGCGCCGCCCGCACCCGCGCCGCTTGTTGGAAGCAGCGACAAGGATGCTTCCGACGACGGAACTGAGCCCGGCGTGGTGGTTGCAATCGTCTTCGCGGTGATCATAGTCATGATGGGTATCGGCTTCGCGTTCTACCACTTTCGGCAGAGCGAGCGCGATGTTTGGGCGCCCGACGGGGTACAGCCCTGGGTCGTTGTCGATGAGGACGGCGGCACCTGGAAGGAGCCAAAGCGCCGGCGCTCCAGGTCGAGCCGGGCGAGCCGGTCGAGAGATGCCGATGGGACCGAGATGGTCGAGTCCTTTGGCTGGTCAGAGGAACACAGCGTTGGCTGGCCGAATGCAGATGAACTTCCACCTCCGCCTGCTGCTCCGCGCTCTCCTCGGATGAAAAAGGGTAAGGGGAAGAATGCCGCGAGACCCTGGTGACGAATTGCGCAGCGCTTGCTCTCCAAACGCGTTGAAGTGTATGTACGTGAATACTTTGTGTCAATTGATGTCAGAACTAGAACTAATTTGGAAAAAGCAGGCTTGACAGGCCCGTTGAGGGGTAGAAGAAGCTATCCCGCACTAAATAAATGTACAATTATCTACTAACTCAGACTTCTACTTTTGAATTTCATATTGGTGCTCAGACCAGTTCATTTCAGACCTGCCACATGGCCAATTTAGCCATGTTTTGTGAAAAAAGGCTCGGCTCTTTTTTTCTTTTAATGTCGTTCGGTTCTACAAATAGGCGGCACAGCAAAGTTACTGTGTGTCATCTCGGTGCTAGTTTATTTCGTTTTCGAACGGTCGTTGCTCGTCGGTTGATAGGTCTCGTCGATTTCTTCATCTCGGTCGTCAGCGAAAAGGCCAACGAGATGTTTTCCCTCAATCGTTTATCGGCAGCTTTCGGCACTTCGAAAATATTATTCAAAACTTGCAGCGGACAACGTGGCTCCCCCCTCACCATACGAATTTTTTGTGCATTGTAATAGCTTGTTGATCTAAGTACCAACCTTGCGCTTCTAGCTTGCACACGCATCCAGCATCATGGCGACATAAGGCGCCGTGCAAACTACTGTTTTCTTTGGTTTCCAGCACACCTCTACGTTTAATTTTCGACTTCTACGTTTAATTTTCGATCCTTCTTCAAAAAAATGTAGATCATTGAACTGGCACTAGACTGGGGAAGTAAAAAGCGATCACACGGGAAGGAATGTTTCGTGGATTCCGCAGAGCTAGGACGGCAGGGGCGCCTTCGGGTGACACCAATGCGGGACGCGGTTCCTCAGATCCTCCACAGCAGGGTGCAGGTTCGGGCTCGTCCAGAAACAATGCCAATGCGCCGGAGCCGAGAACAGATCAGGGCGACGGCTTGGGCAGCTGGACTTTTTCCTGCGCGGAACAAGTCCGAACGTACCACTTGGACATACAGTGGAACGGATCTTCACAACTCAAGATTCATGCCGACGTTCCGCGTCCATTTGTTTCGTACAAGGAGGTCAAAATCCGCATTGGCTCAGACAACTGCCGGGCGATGGCCGGGAACAAGCTCGTCCTGAAAGCGGTAAGTACTACTTGTTGTCTTGTTCTACTTCGGGCTTTGTCCTTCACCATTCGACTTCGTGCCCCGACGACGCTCGGCTCTTGGTAATTTGAGGGCCCCGTCGTTACTTAAGTACTTACGTTTCATTCCTGATTGCAAATAAACCCCAGGTGCTTCCAAACCAGAACGTTGGCGAATGGGAGGAGCAGGCGGGCGCGACTGGGCTGGGGTCTGTGGAAAATATGACTCTGATCTTTTCTAACGACGGAGCGCGGGTTTTGGAGTCCAGTAGCTTTCAGCGGCAGCATGAAGGGGCACTGGGCGTGTCAGGGATTCTGGTGGACGCGGTGACGCGGGGCATGCGGTCCGATTCAACACTGGACCGCACTCCGCAGCTGCAACACGCCCTGCCGCTTGCCGGCACACAGGTTCACCAGGGCAGCACAGCTCCGGGGCAACTACCCGGCCCCGATCCTGTGCAATCAGTGGAACACCTAACGCAGCAGATTGAAGAGCATCGCGACCACGTGACCGCGCTGCTGCAGGAGCACGATCGAGAACTAGCCGCGATGGCGGAAGAGTCACAGGCGCAGGCGGAGCAGCTGCGCGATATGACAGAACAGAGTCGCGCGCGGCGGTTGGGTCGAGAGCCCGCAGAACAACAGCCGTCAGCGTCGAGCCAGTTGTCGCCCGAGGAGCTGGCGGAGCAGCGACGGGCGCAGTTTTCGCAGGTACAGTACCCAACCGTGGTGAAAATCCGCGTGTGGGCAGGGGATCTGATAGATGCCATCGAGTTTGAGCTGTCCAACGGCGTGGTGAAACGGTACCCGCCCAACCACGTGGTGCACGGGAATCAAGGCGGGGGACTGCAGTCTCCCGTGGTGGAGATGCACCCCGGTGAGAGTCTAGTCAGGATTGAGCAGCGTAGTACGGGACCTACTTTAGACTACGTGACTTTCATCACCAGTGAAAACCGCTCCTTCAGTTTCGGCAACCCGAATCACGGGCTCCCGCGAAACGACCTGACGGCGCCCGTACTGGAGAATCCGGACAGGTTTCACGCCTGGTTTCGGGCGACGAACATTGGGGCGCAGCTAGCGCTGGAGCGGGTGGTTCGCCGGAACGGGGGGCTGCAAGCCAATATCTTTGGCCTCTCTCGGGAGGCAGGCTTCTGCGAGCCAATTCTTGACATCAACCCGTTGCCGCACCGGGATGTGCCGGGGTTTTTGCTGGAGGACGCGGAGCAGTTCCAGCAGCTGACCCGCCTAGGCGCCGCCTCTCAGACGCCGGCAGACGCGTCCCAGCTTGCTGTGAGTCACTTGTGGCAGGACGCCACGTCCATCATGCCGCACGACCCGGAGAGCAACCAGATTCGGTTGCGCGTGCGCAACGCGGTTCGCGACGCTCCCTTGCGGGCATACAACGGGATGCATGACGTTTACACGATCAACCCGGAGAGCCTGGAGATTGAGCCGAATTTCGAACTTCTACACACCTCCCAGCGGGCCGCGGAGGAGGACTATAATTCGGATTCGGAAATAGACCCACCGCTGCCGGACGAGAGCAGCACTAGCAACTCTCCGGGTGTGGTCCGCCGCCCTGGAGGCACCAATCGGCGTCGCGCGCGGGCGGAGAGGGCGGCGCGCCGGAGGCGGGGGCAGCGCCCCCGGGGCATGGTAGAGAACTTCTTTGCGAACCTGTTTGGCCGCGCGTTCGGAGGTGCCAGCCGTAGTACGGGGGCGGAGGACGAGGATAGCGATCGTGAGTTTGGCTACAGTTCCTCCTACTCAGACAATTCCTCGGACACGAGCTCCGTGGTCTCGAGCGCCGACTCGGGCGACAGTGAGCTGAACTCGCGATTTTTGGACTTGCCGAACGAACTGCCCGACGAGATGCAGATCCGTTTGATGGACATGAGTTCGTGCCCGATCTGTTTCGAAGACTTCAGCAACGACGTCGAGAAGTGCGTGACCTCGGAGTGCGGACACGCGTACTGCCGGGCGTGCGCGTTGAACATCTGCTCGATGGAGGCGCCGCGGTACACTGGAAAGTGCGCCGTGTGCCGCAAAAACTTCTCCCTCCGAAACATGTTTTGCGTGACCACGAAGAAGGACGGTTCGTCGATGGCTCTAGTTCGGTGCTTTGAGCAGCTTGCGCTACCAGACGTGGAATCCCGGACGAACCGACGAGATCACCGGCGCGAGCCCGTTGACGACGCCGAGTACCTTTCGCTGGAACTTACCGACCGGGCAACGCAGGTGCTGCGGGAGCGGGAGCGCCGGGCCCAAGGAATTGCGTCGTCCGATGAAGAGTCGGATCTTGATTTTTTGATTGGTCGTGGCGACCACTCGGATTCCAGTGAAGGTGGCGCGCGCCGGCAGGGCCGGAGAGGGAGTACGAGTAGACGAGTGAGTTCGACAGCCCCGGTGAATCGTGCTCCAGGTGTCCTGGGGACTATTCAACGCTTGGCAGTAGACACTTTGGGTGCAGATTCCGGCGGAGCTGCGGCCTCGGAGCCGCAGAATAGTGAGCAAAGCCCTGCTGCCCGTCGTGCCACCTCCAGCACAGCTGCGCCGAACCAGCGATACCCGCGACATCCGCTTCAGGGACACACGAGCCGGACTCGGCGTGCATCAACGAATGCAAACTATGAGCACGTCGATTGAAAACAGTTAGCTATGACGTTTGTTGACAAGCTCTCTTTTTTGTATTAAGTGTTCGGGACGCGGACGACTCATGTTCATCTTAATTGGTCGCAGAGGAATGGCGCACTGCTCCGGGATTTGCGAAAAGTGCGTCTGCGGGAAAATTGGATATGAGTGTTCAAAAGCTTTTCGGCCTGCTTTCTTAGGCGTTCAGGATCTGTTCGTGAAGAAAAAGAAGCGTGCTCGTGGTTTCGGAGTGGATGTTGCTAACGATCTCGATTTCGACCATTAATTTCTATCGTCGTTCGAGTGTTAGTACTTAAACCTAATTGCGATGACGGTCACGACTTGTTGGTGAGCCGCGTGACTGCGGAGCAAACACGTCTGTGCGATTTCGTGTACTCTTGCTTGCGTGTAAAGAAAAGCAAAGGCTTCGAAGAAGTCGATCGCAATTGGCGTTAGCAAAAAGCAAGTCTAACTCGGATCGTTTCTTGGTGTAGACCTCCGAAGTTTTTTCTACGCCCACTGACTTTCGCAGGGAATAGACATTTTGATTATTACTTAGCTAGGGAAAGTGGTGGGTCTGGGTCTCTACCCACTTGTACTTACGAGTTCACGACACGTCTTATCTGGTAGCTTCACCGACTAAAGAAGTTATGGCAACTGTTTCCGTTTCTACTGGAACCGGTCCCGGCACTGTTGACACCACGACAGCAAGTAAATCGCGGTTGGAGAAGTTACGTCAGTGGCAGGCCCAGCGCAAAAAGAAAAACGAGCTTCGGCCCAGATTTTCTCCAGAGGGCCGCAGCGTTGCGCCTGAAATCCGTGGCGATGACGCTTGTGGTGGCGCAGGCAAGTCCGGTCCGTCGGAGCGAAAGGTATCATTTCTATCAACAAAGGAGGAAAAGGGTACAATTTTTCGAACGAGGCCACTTCAGAGCGCTGCTGCGAAATCACCACGGTTTCCTCCGCGCAGTTCGTTCGACGCTGCCGCTTCCTTGCAAAATAAGGGAGGCTCGTCCTCCAACGGTCCCGGTGCTGCCTGCAGAGAAAGAACGATTCAAGGAACAGGCTCTTCGCTTTTTCGCGAGCAGGAGCTGGCGCGTTTGGCACAGGTGCCGCAACCAAGTTTTTCCTACACCGGAAGCAAGTGCGTCGTCGCGTCACCCCCGAAGAACGTCCAGGACCGCGTGGAGGAGCCTTCCAGTGGATCGACCCTGCTGGATATCAAATCTCACTTGGAGGAGACGAAGCCATCTCTGGCTTCCGTTGCGGCACGAAACCTGGCATCGGCGTCTTTTCGCAGAGGAGCTCCCGCTCGCAGTACCGCGTCTGGTGGCGCCGAGCGCGTGAGCTTGATCGGCGGAACTAGCAAGAAGGTGCCGAGGTTGAATTTGGGTACGGAAAGGAACCAGGAGCAGGATCCGAGTTCGCCCGACGAGAAATTTCGGACTCCGATCGAATCCGCGCGCCCAGAGAATTATTTCCACGGGGATCTTGCGGCGCCGCGGTGGAGGGACGACAGATCTGCGTCCAGCGCCTCACGTCGGCTGACAGACCTACTCGCTGATTCGCGCGCAGCGTCGGGGGCGGGGTATCCAAGTAGGAAAGTAAGTGGCCGCAGTAGCGCTGCAGGGCTGCAACCAACGGGAGCCAATTTGGTCGTGTCCTCGTCATGTTCATCCTCTTCCAGCACGTCTCGTCCTCATTTCAACGCGTCGACCTCCGGAGTTGTACCACCGTCGAGGTCATCATACATAAATGCCACTACCGGAAGCGGAGCAGCGCCAGCGTTGTGGTCGTCGCGATCGTTGTCGCCACGTGTGATGCAACGGGGAAGCACAAGGTCGCTGTCACCCCGAGATTTCTCCTCGAAGATCGGCGGCTGCTCTTCTTCTTCAACAATGGCCCACCTACTTTCAGGTCGTGGATCCTCTGCTTGGACGTCCTCCTCGAGAACGAGAAACACAGCGACCAGAACATCCATGGGGGACATGATCAATAAACCGACTTCTTGCAGCAGCTCGTCGTGCTCCAACGGTTTTCGGTCCGTGTCCTACAAAACTGGCGGTGGTTCGTCTGTCGGCGGTCCGCGGCGGCCAACGCTCTCATCCTTTTCGGGCTCGAGGTACGGCTTGTCGCCAAAGTTTTCCTCTTCTTCGAGGAGCGCATTTGATGGAACGAGGAAGGTCGACGCGGTGAGCGCTTCGTTTGCCTTGACGGCGAACACATACGCGTCCATGCGGCCCTCGTCCTCCTTGGACCGCCTTTATGGCACTTCATCCCACAGCGCTCCCACTTCGCCCCGCGCGGAGCTTTCTGAATTTGTTGACCAACGAGCGCAGCAGCGCCGTCTCTGGGATCTGGAGTGGAAACTGGAGCAGGCGAAACGCGAAGCTGATTCCATGAAGCGAGAAAGGACCACGTTGGTTCAAGACCAAGATCGCAGCATGCAATCGCTGCGTACTTCCGAGCACGAAGCGAAACGAGCATTGCAACTCGAGGTGGAGGAACTGAGGAAAAAGCTACGCATGGCCGAATCAACATCCGCAGGCAGGAGTGGAACCTCATCCGCTTCGAAGTACCAGCGACTGCAACAGCTTTCTTACTCATTCACTCCACTTTTACCTACGGAAACGGATCAACTTGGAATATTCTATTAAACCAAGCGCAAATAAAATTCTTGTCTTTGCGAATGTTGTTTTTCAGAAATTGAAAAACTTTTCACAGGTTGGCCGCCGAGGTGCGCGAGCTGCGAAGTGAATTGCGGCAGCGTGAGCGCGAGGCGCAGCAGCAGCGCCAGGCTTATGAGAGCGAGCTGCAGCTCGTAGACCAGACAAGCAACGAACGGCTACAAAAACTGCAGGAGCAATTGACGACGTTGCGAACGGACAATACGCAGTTGCAAACAGAGTTGCAGCAGTACAAGACGGAGTTGCGGCAAACGGAAACCGATATGGACAGCGCGGAGTCCGAAGTGCAGCTCCTGCGAAAACAAGTGACAGACTTGAACGCCTCGATCGTAGTCCAGCAGCAGCAGCAGCAACACGTGAGTAAGAAGGACGGCGTCACTGGGGAAAGTGAGGATCAGCAAGTTTTGTTTGACGAAGCGGTGAAAGACCTCGAGGAGCGTGAGCAGGAGCTTTCGAAGGAGCGCGCGTTCCTCGAAGAGCACTCCGCCGCCCTGGAGGGGGAACGGGCCGAGCTGGTTCGCGAGCGGGCGGAATTTCTCCAGGAGCTGAGCGCGTTCGAACAAGAATGCTCGAAGCAAGAAGATATGAGCAACAATTTGAATGTTCTCTCGGAACTCGAAGAAAAAGTGGACACCCATGTTGCGGCAGAGGAAGAGAGGCAGAAGCAAGTTTTGATCATCGAGGCTCTGCAGGAGCAGCTCCGCGAAGCCAATGCGGTGCGCCGCGCGCAGACGGTGCAGCTTTTGTCGGTGAAGTCGAGCTTGCAGATATTTTGCCGGGTGCGGCCGCATCGAAACCACGCACTCTTTGAGGAGAAGCGGACGCCCAAGAGCTCGCCGCGCGTGCAAGAGCGATGGAAAACGTTGCTCGGTGATCGGAAGCTGTCGTCTCCCGCCCTGGGAGTTCATCAAGCGCACCAACACCCTTTTTCGTACACGAACGGCATGACTGCCACTGAGGCGGCACGCGCTTCGTCGCTGGAACGCGGAAGTGCGAGTGTTCTATCGTTTGGGCACGAGGCCGCTGGTGCAGCAGGGGGTGCTTGTTCGAAAGGCTTAAAAACCGTGTACCTGCACGATGGCAGTCGCGGATGCGGCGGGACTAACGGGACGACCTCGAGCAGCAGCTCTGGTCGTGTCGGAAGCCCGCTCGGAGGTACACCAGGTCGAGGGCAGCTAAAAGTTTCATCCTCGTCTAGCAGCAACAAGCATGCCTTTGCCTGCTTCGACCAGGTTTTCGGCTGCGAGTCGCAAAACAGTGACGTGTTCGAGTCGGTGCAGGCAACCGTCGAGGGCTGTATCGTCAAGAACGCGAAGGCGTCCATTTTCTGCTACGGCCCCTCCGGCAGCGGGAAGACACACACCATGCTGGGGAGCGCGAAGGATCCGGGTGTCGCGGTTCGGGCCGTGCGGTTGTTGTATGGCCACCCCGATTTCGCCGCTAGTCTGCACAGCTTCTCGCTGGTCTGCGTTGAGGTTGACTGCACCGCGGACGGAAACGCACCGCTCGCGGGAACTGCCGGTTTTGGAGGGGGCGTTGCTCCTTCGTCGAGCAGCAGTAGTACCAGATTTGGCGCTGGGGCGAGTCGGCAGGCGTCCCCGCGCGACCACCACGCCGGCGGCACGAGAACGACGCTCGTGGACCTCTTGACAGGGACCACAGTGGAGATGTCGCAAAATTTCGTGGTCCACAAAAATAGTTCCTCACAGCAGCCCGTGCAGCTTTCGCCGGACCCCGCGGTGTACCCGAAATCGGAGCAAGAAGCGGTGGACTACTTGGCGCTGGCGTGTCATCGGCGCAAGACACTGGCCACAAAAACCAACGTTTTTGGGAGTTCGCGGAGCCACGCGGTGTTCCAGCTGCGATTCGCGGCTCCGGGTGGAGGAGTGCTGAATCTCGTCGACCTAGCGGGTTGCGAGCGTTCCGCAGCAGCAGGAGCGGGCGATATTGAAACGGAACACACTATCAGTGCCCCCGTGCAGGGTATGCTCTCGAATTCCAACGCGAATGCAGCAAAGTTGGACATGAAAACCACGATCGCTATCAATTCGTCGCTATCGGTCCTGGCACGTTGCTTCCGCACGGTGGCACGCGAACACTCGGCGGCAATCGCGCCGGTGCGCGAGAGTGTGTTGACCTTTTTGCTGCAAGACTGCTTCAAGCAACCGGGTTCTGCAAGCGGTCAGTTGAGTAATCGTTCCTTCGTTAGCCTGATCCTATGTCTGGCTCCCGAAGAAAAAAACCGCTCGGACACGAAGCACGCCTTGCAGTTTGCCAGTCACTGCAGTGTGAAATAAGTTTTGCTGCTGGATCAAATTCGTACTTTCGTGTACCTTAAAAAAGGCCCTCATACGCGTTCGCTCCCCCTGGAAAAACGATAAAACCAAAATCAACCTTCTTCTGATTACTTCTCTCGGTTTCGATTTTCACCGTTTGGTGGTGCATGAAAGAACAGCTTCCCCAAGTTGAACCCCGTCTTTGATTGTAAAGTGAAGAAGACTTCTCATCCCCGTATTTCCTTTGCCTTTTCGATGAATGGGAATGGATGCAGCTCGCTACAGCACCCCAGCGATTGAGCGGGTGTGTGTTTTCTTATCCAGTGGCTTTGTTGTTCTTTCACTTCCGTTCTTGTCGCGATAGACCGAGCGTCTTCTCCTTTGGGAAGAATAAGCGAATGAGTCTCCTTGTGTGCAGTTCGCGGCGTGATCAGAAGCAAGTGCAAAGTGTTCGTACCAGGCGGCCTAACCGAAATTGAGCGAAGTCGGCATCTGGTGCTTGGCAGGCGAGTCGTGGTGAGAAGCTGCCCGTTTGGCTACCGCGTGAATTGAGATCGGTGCAGCTTATTCTTGTCACGTGTATTTTGATTTTCCGGTGGCTGCTGTCCCTCGAAGTAGGGAAGATCAAGAGGATGAGCTTCTTCATCGCGTTATACGAGACTGCGACCGCGTCGCCACGGCGAACGCGCTGGGCCTCGTTTTTGGTGGGCCTCTGGGGGGCGTTCTGGGTCTTCATCATGGAAAAGAGTAGATCCAGATCCAAGCGCGGTCCTGTTGTTGTCCCCTCTTCGCTGAAAAATATCGTCACTCCGCCCGCAGCAGAAAGCGAGAGGAATCAGGACGCGGCCCAGTTGCATCCTAGGTCGAGGAAAAATGTTCCCGATGACAAGTGGGCCAGCCCTAACGGCGGGTTTCTCGGATCGTCGCCGTTCGACGGCGTTGCGGCCCCGTATACCGACAACGAAATGCAGGACTGGAAGGTGGGCCAGCGGAAAACGGAAACCAGGAAAGCAGACTCGACGTCGTTTTTAGCGGCCGGTGGCACGAAGAGCAATTCGAAGGAAAAACGCGTCTCATCGAGTGCGAGGGTAGCTTCGTCGTCTTCAATGCGCCGCGGGGAGTTCAGTGGGATGGGAGGGTAAACGCGTCAAGACTCAGCCTCATTGACATTCACTTAGTTTTTGAAAATTGAGTGATTCAAGAATCACAACAACGCAAATGCATATAAGTATCTGGAATACGTTTCGCTTTCGTCTAATGTATAATTTGGTCGTAACGTCACGATCCTAGCATCGGAAACAGAAATAAAAGCAAAAAGGACTAAGCCCCATAGTCAAGACCTTCACCAAAGGTGATGCTTGAGCGAACGAATGAAATGAAGAATAAAGATGCTTGATTCTCGACGGAAGTATTGCCCTGTAGTTCTGCTCTGTGTTCTGGGAACAGTTTTTTGTTGAAGAGCAAAAAGAGCCTTTCCCTGTCGCTGTCCGTACGCGATTATCATATGGAATTCAGGTTGACTCGGTCTACTCTGCGATCAAATGCAAACAAGAGCGTTTTCACTCTTAGCAAAGTTTTAGATCCATTCCCGTTTATGTCGATCAATCTCTCTGCTCGGTCGTGTTTGATTGACGCCAGTTCTCGCGGTGGTGCCTCGCCCGGATCGTAAAAAAAGTTCGTTTTTTCCCACTCGTTGTACTGAAACCCCGTTCTCATCACGTAAGTTCCTGTCGCTCCCCTGTAAGTAAAATTCGCACGACATCAAACTACGGGAACAAAAAGAATTGTTTACCAATTCGTAATCGTATCGATGGCCACGTTTGGTAAAATACACGCCGGCCTGCGGGAGTTTTTCCGTAGCGGCAAGACACAACCGATCTCTTACCGGATTGAACGACTCGAGGAGCTGCGGCGGCGCTTGTTGGCAAATGAGGAAAACATCATCAGGGCGGTTCAGGCGGACATGCAGCGGAATTATCAGGACTGCTTTGTCTCCGACTTCGTGATGCTGGTCAGCGAGATTGACCAAACCATCGCAAATCTGCCGGAGTGGGCGAAGCCAGAACCTCGTGCCACACCTCTGATCATGCAGCCCGGAAACAGCGAGGTACAGTTCCAGCCTAAGGGCGTGGTCCTGGTAATCACGCCGTGGAACTTATGCTGTGTGTAAACGTCCCCACCGGCTGCCGCAAGCACACATTTCTTGATTCGTATGAAAACAAGTTTTGGCCTGGAAAGGATTACCTCAAGGATATGACTATGGAAGCCATCTGAATAGAAAAGTTTGTCATGGTCCTTGCAAACTTACATTTCGTAGGGCTCCTACCCTGAGAGAGTTAGCACTTGCAGCTGTGCGCTTCACAACATTTCAGAAAAGTATCGTAGCAGTGTAGCGGTTGGGAAAGAAGTTTTTGCACTGGACAGAGCTATCCAGTATCAACCTGCGTCACCGGAGCTATCGCAGCCATCGCTGCTGGAAACGTATCACTATCGATAGAATTTCTCACCACGAGTTACGTACTAGACACAACTTCGGACTTACTGTTGATCGCGTTCCATGCAAGTTTGCAGTTGCGATTTGGGCTGCGCAGCATCTATTTGAGAATAGAAAGAGAATCCGGAAAAGAAGCAAGTAATTGCATGATGTATTCAGGCTGTGCATCTTCAACCAACACTCAGGTACCGCTTTTGAAGCCTTCAGAAGTGACGGAAAATAGTTGTCGTGTGCTGGTTGACAAGATATTCAAGGACTTTGAAGGCGCCGGCATCGTGGAAGGGGGCCCCGCCGAAACGCAGGAGCTCTTGAAATTGCAGTTCGACCACATTATTTTCACTGGCGGAAGCGGAATCGCAAAGCACGTCTACCGTGCGGCTGCGGAGAACCTGACCCCCTGCACGCTCGAACTCGGCGGCAAGTCCCCCGTTTTCCTCGATAAAAAGGAAAACTTTGGCTCCGACCAGAAGTTTGAGGTAAGGAAGTCATGGATTTTTACAGTATAATTGTTTCTAAGAACTACTCTAGGTGTACTTGCTCGGCACGCCTTGTATGGAGTTCATGATGCACTACGTGAGCTGTAATTACAACGTGTAGTTTGTTCGTAAACTGAAAACCAGATCGCGCTGAAGCGAATCCTGTGGTCCAAGCATTTGAACGCGGGTCAGACTTGCGTGGCGGCAGACTACGTACTTGTCCATGAAGAGGACTTGCAGAGTACCGTAGAGCAGATGAAGGCGATCTGGAGACAGTTTTACATCGATCCAAAATCCAACTCTCCTTGCGCCAACGCGACGCCCGCAAGCTGCCCGGACTACGGCTCGGCGGTCGTCAGCGAGCGTCACTTCGACCGGGTGTTTTCGATGCTGAAGGAGGACCACGGAGGAAAAGTCGTTTTGGGAGGCATAGCGGAGGAAAAAAACTTTGACCGAAGCAAAAAGCATCTGGGCTTGACCATCGTCGTCAATCCTAAAGACGACTGCCGGTTAAGTACGGAGGAGATCTTCGGGCCCATTCTGGTGGTGCGGACCTTCGGGACCGAGGTCGAAATGACGGACTACGTAAATGCGCGACCGCACCCGCTGGCCGTGTATGCGTTTTCCGGGGATAAAAACGCAGCCTTCGTCAATTTCATCAAGGAAAACACGATCAGCGGTGGCTTCGTGGCCAACGACGTCATCATCCAAGCTGCACACGCACAGCTGCCCTTCGGCGGCGTGGGAAATTCAGGGTTTGGGAAGCTGCACGGCCAAGACGGCTTCAAGGAGCTTTCCCACTGTCGGGGGGTGCTTAACCGTTCCTTCTTCATGGACTCACCCGAGCGGTACCCGCCGTTCTACCAGGAGACCCTTGGCTTCTACCGCCGCTTTCTGGTGGACAACAGCCTGTTGGGGGCGTTGCTTTGTAAAAAAAGGTCACGGACGCGGTTCTTGCCAGCCGCGGCTGCTTCATCAGGTGGTGCATGAAATTGCAAGACCTGCGGGTCGTCTTCTGCACCCACTAGTGTAGTAATAGTGTGAAATAACAACGACCCCATCTTGACGATGGAGCATACCACCCCAGACCCGCATCCATTACCCTGCATCTAGTTTGAATGAATTCTTTCTGGAACAAAACCTCTACTGCAATGATAAATGAGTCACCACGATGTCAATCAATAGAGATCACGCGATTTTTTTGATCCCTGGTGTACAACGACACACGGGTGTCTTCTTCAGCGACGTTTATGAAAGCCAATCGCGTTCGCGTTTCCTTCGAAAACGAAAATTTTAATTTTGCGAAAGTGCCTTCGGTGTCGTTTACGTGTGTCTTCTGCAGTATGTTTATCACCACCTGATCCTGAGGATGATGTTCATGTTTGCGGACTCCATCGTTGTGTTCCAACTGCAGGATCTTCCGAGTTCATCTCACCTGTGTTTAGTAATTCATTCGGTTTTTCCACTGGTAATTTGAAAATGGACCACCGGGGATGCAGTGGCCATGCGTTCCACACGGTTAAAGATCAAACATTTGGACCGCAACTTGGTGGACGCGGTCACCGTGTTTGCGAAGGGTGGAAACGGAGGGGAAGGGGCGCTGTCGTACCGAAAGCACACATCCTCCAAGCTATTCGGGCCAGGTACGCCGTGGGGCGGTCCGGGCGGCCGAGGCGGCGACGTAGTTTTGGAGGTGTGCAGCGGCACCGTCTCCTTGCGGAACCTCGTCAGCCCCACCCTTGCAGCCGAGCACGGCGGGCACGGGCGCAAGCGTAACCGCGTGGGTACCAATGGCGAGCCATTGATTGTGCGTGTACCGCCTGGGGTGATTGTTTCAGAAATCGTGGGCGAGACGAACAAAACTTCGTCACACGCAGCCCTTTGCGCGGACGAGGACAAGGCGAAGAGCGACGCGGACCAGGACGCGGAGACAAGAACGCCAGGAGCGCTACGACCGTCCGACGTCGCAGCATCGACAAAATCGCGATTGGTGAAGCGTGCCGACATGCTGCAGACAGGCGAGCAGTGCATTCTCGCGCGGGGCGGCGAGGGCGGGTGCGGAAATGATATGCACGACCCGCACTCCGCGGGGGAGGGACAGCCCGGGGAGCACCGGAAGTACCTCCTAGAACTCCAGTCCATCGCGGACGTGGGGCTCGTCGGGTTTCCCAACGCCGGCAAGAGCTCCTTTCTCCGGTGCGTGTCACGCAGCCAGCCCAAGGTGGCCTCCTACCCCTTCACGACGATCGCCCCGTACGTCGGCAGCGTGCAGTTCAAGGACGGCTTTGAGCTCTCGGTGGCGGACGTTCCCGGGCTCGTGGAAGACGCGCACCTGGACCGAGGGTTGGGTCACGAGTTTTTGCGACACTTGGAGCGCACGAAGGTGTTGCTCTACTGTCTCGACTGCAGCAGTCGCGGGGCGGGGGACGTGTCGGTTGTGAAGCAAATCGAAATCTTGCGCGCGGAAATCGGGCGCTTCAGTGGGGAGATGGCTGCGCGGCCGTTCGCGGTGCTCTGCAACAAGTGCGATCTTGGCGCCGCCGCATTGGCGAACGCAGATCTGGTATCGCAAGAAAAAACTGTTTCACTGTGAACTTGTGATGCAGAAAACGAAACACCAAAGTGTTTGTCTTGCTACACCTGCAAGACATCGGATTTGCAAGCGTGTTTTCCCTTGGGAAGCGCGCATGGCAAATTTTCTGTCACATGTGTAACAAACTTGTGATGCAGATATTGCTAAATCACCACAGTGAAACAGTTTTTTCGTGGGATAGCTGGTGCAGAAGTATTTCGAGCAGGAGGTGGACGAGGGGATAGACGACGAGGCTTGTAGAAGTTTCTCTTCCTCATCAAGTGAGCATGCAGGGCCAAGGCAGCAATTTTTACCCTCATCAGTTTCGTCAGTGCCTATTTTCGCGATATCGGCGCGAACTGGTGTTGGGATCAGTGGCGTTGTGGCAGGGCTTCGACGTTTACTCGGAGACGCCACGGGAGGACGGCAACGACAAAACGGCACGGAGAACGTTCCCGCAGACGAGTTTTGTTGAATCGCGAAAGATGGGACACTTATCGATACAAGTGATAGTCCTACATATGTTCGTGCTGACGCCAGCAGTAAGAAAGCAACCAGTGTCGACCTTCCTGACTTCGCAATGCGTCGTCAATGAAAAACGGGACTTGGAGCAACCAGCCGGAGGCAGAGACAGAAAATGTTTTACCTATGAATCCGACTCAGGAGCCGAAATTTTTAGCGTGCGATCGGAATTGTTCACTAGCGGCCATAGCTGCCGCAGATCGTGATGCAATGTTCATCTTGTTGTCGGGATGCAAAATGGCTGAGAAAAGGGTTTTCTCCAAGTGTTGATCCGTTAGCAAAATCAGTTTTAAGATCATCTTTCAGAAGATACGTGGTCCTCTTTGTAAAATTTCATTTTTTCGATTTTCTGATTGCAGCAGTTCCCCGTCCCCCCCTGCCCCGGGGCATTGTGTGTACTTTCCCATGTCATTTCGATTTCTTTCCGTTGTATGTCAAAGTTTTCTTTCAAGCGAATAGAAACAAACTTTTTTTCCGCTCTATGTGTACGCCGCCCGACCAATACCAATCGCTTTTTTACCGACAAACCTCTTCCATACCCGTTATTTCCTTGAAGCGTCTCACTGAAAAAGAAAATCAAAATTCGGTTTCTGTGACATTGCCATAGATTTAGCGACTAAATTAGCACTATGTCGGGGCGAGACCAGTATTTGATGCCTGCGGGCGCCAAAGAGGCGCATGAGTACGACCGCGATGGGCAAAATTTCACGGCGGCGCTGGGCCTCCAGAACAAGCTCCGGGATCGCGACAAGAAAGTGCTGGAGACCATGGGCTTCGAAGTCAAGGGCGACGATGGCAAGAAGGGGAAGGGCAAGGGCAAAGGCAAGAAGGGGAAGGGAGAGGACAAAGGGAGCCGCATCCCAGGCGAGCAGAAAATGGTACAGCACCAGATAAACCCGGAGATACGGCGAGATTTGCGCGAAGAAATGGAAAAGCCAAAGGATTTGGACCAAATGGACGCCGGGGAAGGTACTGCTTGATTTTTTGTTAACAGGACATTTAGCATCAAACGCAATTTAGATGATTCCATGAGTTTTTTTTCAGCATGGTCAGCTTGTTGTGTAGTACAAAGTTGAATCTTCTGGATCGGTGTGCTTGTTGACGTCATCACTGTGATATCTGCAACACAATTCCACTTTTCAGGTGTCCGACAGCGCAAGGAGGTAAACATGAAGATGCAACGCACGGAGCGCGGACTGTGGATTCCGAAAAGGCAGTTAAAAACAACCGTGGAGGAGGAGACGGGGAAGTCGATGCTGGTGAACGAGATCAGGGATGACGTGACACGCGCAGACTGGCAGTGCACGGGCTGCGGCACGCTGAACAGCCGGCTGCGCAAGCACTGCACGCGGTGCGGGGCGAGCTATTCCAAGTTGCAGGAGCTGCTGCACGTGGACGCCAAGCTGCAACTGAAGGATCGACTGGAGAAGACCGGCAGTAACTACCGCCTCGACTTCGCGCAGGGCAAGGTGAATCGCGTGCCCACGGGCTGGCAGTGCGGCGGATGCAAGCTGATTAACCGAGTGAATTTGTCAAGATGTCTGCAGTGCGGGGAGAGCAAAATGATGGGCGAAGCCGTCTACCAGGACCTGTACAAGTACAACACATCCATTACGATGGGGAAGGGCGGCGCCGGGCCGTCGACCGGACCCACAATGGAGTTTCAGGCGCCGGGCACCTTCGAGGATCATGCAAAGAAGCCCACAGAGGAGAAGAAGCCTGCGACCGGCAGTACTACCGCAGCGAAAACCACTGCTCAAGACAAAGACGTCGTCGAGAAAAAGGGGGCAGAAGCCGCGAAGAGCAAGGCCGGGCCAGAGACGAAGCCTGTGGAAGACCCGTGGTTCGAGCAGTTGAGGCTAGCGAACGAAGCTTTGCTGGCAGAAAAGGAGCGTGAAAAGGAGAAGCAGCAAGAGAAGGAAAGGGAAAAACAGAAAAACGACAAGCGACAACGCTCGCGGTCGCGGTCGCGGTCACGGTCGCGTAACCGCGATCCTCCGGACGAGGAGGAGGACGAGAACGAACTCGCTGAAGGGTTCTTTTAGCGCTTATCGGACCTCCAGCAGATTTTCTGCTGCATACTATACGAATAGGCTCGCTCTCTTTCTCACATCGCCTTCTATGGCATCAAAACTGCCTCGATGCGGCATAAAGAATTTTCTTCAAGTTCTTGTGTTCCTTTTCTGTAAAATAAAGAAAAAAGTGAAACAGCGTCGGGGATGCATAAGGTGTGACAGAATCGGTTTTGGCTTGCAATCACGTTGAGCGATTAACATGAATTCGGTTCATTTCACTACGGTCGGAGATGCACCTGTGCGAAAAGATCAGATGGTAAAGATTATGAATTCCTCTTGATTGAGTCGCAAGGAATCGGTCCGTCATCAATACCGCGATGGTACATGCCCAATCTCTGGTTTTCTGCGCATGAAAAACAAAAACAGAGGCGGAAAAGAAGATTATCCCCAACGATACTTTTTCCTGATTTCGTGTTAGGAGTAGGATCTCTTTTCAAATACTACATACAACACCGAAGATCTGTCTCGGATCACCCACTGCTACAGCACAGAAACTGATATTCCTACCTTGCATGATAGGAGAAAGCATCTTCTCAAAATTATCTACTACGTTTTTTTCTAGTACTGAAGTTTGAAAACCCAAAAAGCTACCAGAACAAATCTCATCTGTTAATACAACAGACACATCGTCTACCCCACTGAAGAATTTCTTTCGAAAAATAAACCACAAAAAGGACTGCAACTTCCGCCCCGTGTAACTAAACAAAAAACAGCTTTCCAGCAAGACAGCACAGGAAAGTATGGTGCTGCACGACAAGACGCACTGGATCGAGGATAAGCCCTGGTTCAAGCGCAAGGAACGGAACTCGCAAGACGTCAAATCGAGTCGGCGCGCACCGCCGAAGAAAGATGGGCACGGCGGAGGCCACACCTGGTACGGCTATTTTTCTGAACTGATACGTTTTCAAGACAGTGTTTTTCAAGTAGAATTTGAATTTGCACTGTACTTGTTACTCTGTCGCAGCCACGCAGTAGTTGTAAGTAGGTAGCAAGGAATGGCGCTTTTATTCCCTACAGGTCTGGTCCGGAGGAAGATGCTATTCCGGAAGGATTCTTGCCGCACGCGGCGGATCAGCAGCTGGAAAGCAGCATCGTGAAGGAGCTCAGCAGTGGGACATCCAGCACGCAATCCTCGCGGAAAGGTACTGCACTGCGTGCGTTTATTTTCATATCAAAACGATGGGAAATTTGAATTTCAGGGCTTTTATACCCGTGGAAAAAAAAATGTGTTCCAATAAACTATGCACAGGTTCGTTCGAGATGGATGATTTTCATTTCGATCTGAACGATTTCCCCGCGCTGGGTCGTACTGTCCCGAAATCTCCGAGTCGGCGCAAAGCGGAGGACACCTGGGCGACAAACGTGATGAAAGACATGGATCTGAAGATCTAAACAATTTGTCATGTAAAGAGTAAGTACATGTTTATCTTTATGTTTATGTTTTTTCACTACATTGCATCAACAAGCCTCTGTATTTCGACCATGTTTTTGTTGTGAAAACTTTGCAAACGACTTTCTAAACCGATAATAAATTGTCACAAGCTGAGACCGCGTACCTTCCTACAGCTCTTTGTGCAGCGACAGAAATGAAAAAGATGACAGCATCGAAGTTTCGAACCATGAAGGCATCGATCCTTGCACCAAACTGTTACTTGAAGCAGACCTGGAAGTGGTACTCTAGAGCTGTCGTGTACCACTGCTGTCGTGGAAAGCACACACGAAGAAGATGACACATAAGAGTATGCGATTGGTCGAAGAACGAAGAACATTTGATCAGAATATTGTATCACCCTCTCATGCCAAAGCAAAGCAGCTCCTGCGCGCTTTGGTTCTTCGAAATGTTACCCACTACATCACTGAGTTACATTTACACTCTCTGACTTAGTGTTAGTTTTGGCCCTTTTGGAACTGAATTTTTAAGAAAATCCGCAATAGCCTAGAGGATTCAGGTGGACTGAGGAGTAGTACTCCAGCATCGCTGGAGCTTTGCAACGAATGCAAGTCCACCCAGATGAGTCAAAGGTGAAAGGATCAGAAATTAGCCCGAATCGTGTGTCCGTTACGGTTGACTAATATTCATGCTTAGCGAACCAGGTACGGTGGAGTCTTCGCCTCTAATGAGTTTTGGAGAGTTGCAGTCACACATGCCTCGAAAGTTGAAGCTGAAACGCCGGTCGCGTAACAGTTTGGCGAGATGAAATTTTGAAGCTTCAATCACTGAAGCAGATGATCTCTTGATCAGAATTTATCGAATATATAGCTTAATGTCTGACTGTAGGCGTAGTAAGCGCCCGGAAGTGGCACTGCTAATATCAGATGAAAGACCCTTTTTCTGCATGCGAGAGCTTTTCTCGCAACCGGATTAAGGAATTCCTCATGGCCAGCAAAGTGTTCTTCTGGAAAGGTGGATCCCAAATTTCGACCAGAATATATGTGAGGTCTCTTTTTTTGCTTTGAATGGATGCAAATCGCGCAGATCTCAAATGGGTGCTTGCAAAGCGGAAGTTCCGAAGTGCCAACATGCAGATCTGATCTTGCCGATCGTAAAGCGAAGTTTTTCCGCGTGAAACCTGAGTGCGAATCGCAAATTTGAATACTGAACTTCGTCCGTTTTCCAAATCTTTTTCCAGCGACTTCTCATTTTCCGTACAGTCCTTTCACAATTGAATCATCTTTCTCCCCCCGCCGAAGTTTTAGAGCATGATGACGACCACTTGATTCCATTTTCCCATGAAGGCGCAAACGGTTCCCATCACCGTAGACGAAAACACTTTTTGATCCTTATCGGCAGCTACTAAAGATGATATCGTTCTTTGAAGTAGATTTTCGAAGCTTGTTTTTTCAGTAGAAAGTTTACGAGAATTTTCATTGCTCAAGCAAGAGAAATCCAAATCCTATCATGACCGCCGCTGAGGGTGCTGCCGCCCCGGCGGCGCCGGCAAAGAAGCCGGAAACTGCTTTGCAGAAGGAGACACGGCTGACCGCAAATCAGGATCTCGTTCGGTTTGTGGACGCCGAGCTGGCGAACTTGTATCAGAATCTGCCCCAGGTTTCCGGTGGCGTGCTTGGGCGGAAAATAATATCTCGATGGTGCCAATCGAAGACGGTAAAGGACTTCCAGCGGAAGATCGGAGACTACTGCGGCCAGGGCAACGATTTTTCCGCTTTGGCGCTTTTCTCGTCGATCGAGAACCGAGTGAAGGCTATTGACGCCGAGCGAGAAAACCAAAAGAGCGGCGGAGGCAACACCGACGTGCTGGAAGGCAACGAACACAAGAAGCTGTTCGGCGGGTTGCAGAAACGAAAACTAAAGCAAGACACCCCCGCCGCGGCAGGAGCCGGACCCAATGGCACCACATCAAGTGCAGCGGACGGCGGACCTAACCGGGACCACGTGTTCGTCCAAAAGGGGTCCACGCTCGGGCTGGACCAGCTTGCACGGCAGAAGCGAGAGAGGGAGGTATTCTGAGTAAAAACGTCCCCACCCCAGAGTTGTGATGCAGATCTGCAAGCACAAGAGCGTTTGTAATGCGCGATCCCATGAGGGGCATTATCGATCGTGTTTTGGAACTTGCAATGCTGTAAACAGCATAAGGAGATCGATTTGTTATGCGGCTTCCCTTGCTAAACTGCACTACACTACAGCCTGCAATTTGTCATGCGTGGTTCCCAAAACTTCAAGGTTTGTGTTGCAAAATCCCCATCTTGAGTCTGGGGTGAGGACGTCTTTACATAGGATAGGAGGCAGAGGTGGCTGCGAAGGACGTGAAAAACATGTTCGCCAACGTGGTCGGTCTGGAGAAGGTATCAACTGTAAAAATGTCTGGGTCTGGAACATTCCGACACGTGTCATGCACGTTTTGCATGAGCCCTGATGTCTGTGATGCATGCCCTAGCATCACAGATTTTTTCGGAGCTTCTTGATGCATATTCCGCGTGACAAATGCCCTCTCCGCGTAGCAAAAATTACATTCCTTTTGGTACTCATGCAATACAGATTTTTCTGGAATCCAAATGCAGCATGACAAGTTCCAACCCTTCCAGACCCAGACATTTTTACATTTGATAGAAGGACGACGAGGAAGAGGACGAACTGGGTCCGAATTTAAAACTGAAAAAAAAGGCGGCGCTCCCGGGCTACAACAACGCGAACAAGTCCTCGACGAAGTCCGCGACCAGCACAGGAACTTCCACCGCTGGTCCGCCACACAACAAGAACCTCAACGAGGAGGCGGGCGGGAGCGCGGCCTCTACCTCGGGGCGCGACATCGACCGGTTTCTGAGCAAGCAGGAGCGCGAGAAGGGCATCAGTGCGCGGGTGGACCTGATGACCGCGGGGAACGAGCAGGACGACGACGAGCTGTTCCCCGGCCAGGCCTCGGGGCGCCTGGACTCGTTCGACAAGGCGAAGAAGGACAAGAACAGCCGCGGGGAGCGGGTGGGCGGCGGCATCCGGGCCTTCCGCGGCATGCAGACCGGGCAGGACGCGAAGAAGGAGGCGCCGGTACTGATGCGCGGCGACAGCAGCGACGAGGACAACGACAACGACATCGACAAATTCAAAAACGACCCGCGGTACCGGGACCTGGACTACGACTGGAACGCCGGGGTGGAGCGCGACGAGAAGAATTTCTACCGGCTGCAGGCCGACATCGTGAAGAACACGGGCGACGAGTTCAACGAGTCGCGGCTGATGCACGAGATCGAGATGGACGAGTACGACGAGCAGGCGCTGGACCGCGACTGGTACGACATGGACGACAACGGCGGGTCCGGCAACTTGCAGAACACGTACGGCGCCCAGCTCAGCGCCAACGAGCTGTTCGAGAAGGAAATGCAGAAGAAGGAGGAGTTCAAGCAGATGCAGAGCAAAAAGCAGTCGCTGATGGAGAAGGAGCGCAACGCCGCGATGGAGGAGTGGGAGAAGGCGTTGATGCGGCAGGCGGGCGTCAAGGGCCAGCACCGCGAGATCGACGTAGACAAGTTCCACGAGGAGAACTACGCGGCCGGCAGTCGGCAGCACATTTTGGTGCGCGAAACCGTGCCGCCCTTCCTCGACGGGCGCATCAGTTACACCACGCAGGCGGAGATGGTCTCGGTGGTGAAAGATCCCACCTCCGACATGGCGAAGCTCGCCAAGAGCGGCTGCGCGAGCCTGAAGCTGCTCCGCGACCAGGAGGGGAAAGACAAAATGAAGGACCGGTTTTGGGAGGCAAACAACAAGAACACCGCGATGGGCGCGTTGGTCACGGCCGAGACGCACGCGGGCACGGCCAACATTGAGACCAACGAGGAGGAGCAGAACAAAGCGGTGGTGGAGGAGGCGGACGAGGACCGGCTCGACTACAAGAAGGAGAACCAGTTCGCGGACGCGATGAACGCGATCAAGCAGGAAGCGCAAACCGAGTTCGGGAAGAACCGCACGCTGCAGGAGGTCCGCGAGGCGCTGCCGGTCTTCTCCGTGCGGGACGAGTTTCTGAGTCTGCTGCGCGAGCACCAGATCGTGATTGCCGTGGGGGAGACCGGGAGCGGCAAGACGACGCAGCTCACGCAGTACCTGTACGAGGCCGGCTTCTGCTCCGAGGGCGGGCTGATCGGCTGCACGCAGCCGCGGCGGATGGCCGCGATGAGCGTGGCGAAGCGCGTGTCGGAGGAGAAGGAGGTCGAGCTCGGCGGTTTGGTCGGGTACAGCATTCGGTTCGAGGACTGCACTTCGGAGGACACCCGGATCAAGTACATGACGGACGGGGTGCTGTTGCGCGAGACGCTGAACGACTGCGACCTGGAAAAGTACGCGGCGGTGATTATGGACGAGGCGCACGAGCGGTCCCTGAACACCGACGTTTTGTTTGGGATTTTGAAGGAGGCCGCCTCGCGCCGGCGGGACTTCCGCCTGATCGTGACCTCCGCAACGATGGACTCGGCGCGGTTCGCGCAGTACTTCGGCGGGGTGCCCGTGTTCCACATTCCGGGGCGCACCTTCCCGGTGGACACGCTGTTCGCAAAGGGTGCCGCGCAGGACTACGTGGATGCTGCCGTGCAGCAGGCCCTGGAGATCCACGTGCAGCAGGACCGCGGCGACATTCTGATCTTCATGACCGGGCAAGAGGACATCGACGCGACGTGTCTATTGCTCGCGGACCGCATGCAAGAGATCCCGAACATCAAGCCGCTGAACATCCTGCCCGTCTACTCCACCATGCCCTCGGACCTCCAGGCAAAGATCTTCCAGCCGTCGCCCCACCGCAAGGCGATCGTGGCGACGAACATCGCGGAAACCAGTTTGACCGTGGACGGGGTGAAGTTCGTCGTGGACAGCGGGTTCTGCAAGCTGAAGGTGTACGACCCGAAGATCGGTATGGACTCGCTGCAGGTGACCCCGATCTCCCAGGCCAACGCGAACCAGCGCCGGGGGCGCGCGGGCCGGACGGAGGCGGGCATGTGCTGGCGGTTATACACGGAGCGTGCGTTCGTCGCGGAGATGTACGAGATGTCGATCCCGGAGATCCAGCGCACGAATCTGTCCCAGGTGGTGCTGCTGCTGAAGTCGCTGGGCGTGGAAAACTTGCTGGACTTTCAGTTTCTCGATCCGCCACCGCAGGACACCATCATAAACTCCATGTACCAGCTGTGGATGCTCGGCGCTTTGGACAACCTGGGGTATTTAACCGACATTGGGCGCAAGATGTCCGACTTCCCGGTCGACCCGCCGCTCGCCAAAATGCTGCTGCAGGGCGCCGAGCTGCAGTGCCTCCAGGAGGTGATGATCGTGATCAGCATGCTGCAGACGCCCAACATCTTCTACCGCCCCAAGGAGCAGGCGGAAAAATCGGACGCGCAGAAGGAGAAGTTCCAGGTGCCGGAGTCGGACCACCTGACGCTGCTGAACGTGTACCAGCAGTGGCGGCGGCACGGCTACAACGCGAGCTGGTGCAACACGCACTTCATTCAGCCAAAGTGCATGAAGAAGGTGCGCGAGACGTTTATGCAGCTGGAGGACCTGGTGAATCAGCAGAAACTGCTGAACACGAGCTGCGGCACGGATTGGGACACGGTCCGGAAGTGCATCACCTCCGGCTACTTCCACAACGCCGCCAAAATGCGCGGGGTGGGGGAGTACATCAACCTGCGGACCTCCGTGCCGTGCCACCTGCACCCGACGTCGGCGCTGTACGGCATGGGGTTCACGCCCGACTACGTGGTGTACCACGAGGTCGTCTTGACGACCAAGGAGTACATGAACTACGTGTCCGCGGTGGAGCCGGTCTGGCTCGCGGAGATGGGCCCCATGTTTTTCTCGGTGCGCGAAACCGGCACGGACTACAACGCCATGCGCCGGCAGGACATGGAGAACCAGCGCAAGATGGAGTACGAAGCCAAGCTGGACAAGGACCGGCTGGCGGCGCTGAAGAAACAGGAGCAGGATTCGCTCGCTGCGACCCGGGCCGCGAAGCAGACGGTGGCGGGCGTGGGAATAAAACGCTCAACCTTGGTCAAGGCCATGAACAGCAACAATAACACGTCGCCGGTGAAGCCCAAGCGAAGTCAGGACGAGGAGGAAGAAGTAGGTGGAAATAAAATTAGTACCATCCCCGGGGAGGAGATCGATGACGGGCATGGGAACCGACAGACAACGATGAAAAGCGACCTAGGGGGCAGCATGACGTCGGGCGTGTTCTTGATGCCTACGAAAAACCAAGTACGCGGGAAGGCCATCGAAGAAGTCGAAGACGACGTTTTTCACAGCTCGCGAAGAGCGCAACAGGGCCAGACGCAGGGTCGGAAGAAAAAGCGAAAAATGGTCATAGACGAAACCGTCAAGTCAAACGACTGACCACAGAGTTTCCCATTTGCAGCTTGTTCAACATTGTCTCTGTCAAAGTAGCGCGGGCTCTAACGGCACATCCACATGATATGAAATAAAATTACCACAAAGCGAATCGAAACGAAAAAGCGACAGGATTGTTTTCGCCCGCTTGCTTCAAAAGAAACTATGGCTCGTTGTGTGTTCGAAAATAATGCTCTTTTCGCGCTTCTGGATTGCTGTGAGTGTGGTAGGTCAAATCAAAAGAAAGAATAGTTGCGGCTTCGTTCTTTTTAGCGTTTATTGTCGGGCTCGGACTGCAAGTGAGAGGTGTTTTCATCCGAGCGATCGACGAGTGTAATCCTACCGTACGGGGGGACATGTGCCGTAAAACTATTTTCGAAGTTCCGTGTGAGACTGAGGCGAGCAAGAGCGCGAACCGTCGAGCTGTTACTCGGTTTTTCGAAACCGGGGGGTGGGGGTCGTCGGACTTCGATAGGTGTTGTAAGTCAAGCTGTCACGTGCTGTGCAATGTGTGCTTTAATAGGGACGGAAGAAGGTTTAGTGTTACATACAAATCAATTCATGTGAAACGCAACAAAGCTGGGCGCACGACCAAACGCGCAGCGGGCTCGTAAAGCCAAGGAGGTGCACAAGGTTTCGGCGGCAGAAAGAACTGTTTCGTCCAGTGGCCGACTGCTCGCACACAGGTTCAGCGTATCAATGTCGTGCTTTCTAGGAGTTCATAATGACATGTTGAATGGGTCAGGTGGGCAGTCACGCTCGTCGTGAGGCCTCAGCCGCAAGTGCATCTTGCTGGGAAAAAAACGAAGTATACAACAAACGTTAACCAAAGTAATTTTCGCACAGGTGACGGTAGCTGCGCATATAATCCGGCAACAAAATGACGGAGGTTCTCTGGAAGTGGGTGCAGGAGTACGGCGGCAGTGACGCGAAGGAGGAGGCCGATCTTGCGAACGGGTACAAGATTGGTGCGCTGCTGTCGAAATTCAATCAGCAGCTCGAGTTCCCCGGCCGGTTTCGAGACACCGATCTGATCGATGACCAAATTGCGAACTTCACGGAGCTGCAGCCGAATCTGAAGAACCTCGGAATTTATCCTCTGCAAAAGTATCGTACTCGTATTGCAGTCATGCATTAAAGGCAAATCAGCATTACAAATTTTATTTCTCTTGCTGAGGAAATTTGTAATGCATTTATACGAGTACGATACTTTTGCACAGGATAGAATTCGCTTCCTCCCGCACGACGCAGAAGCGATCATGAGCAAAAAGCGGGGATGCGCACTCAAGCTGCTGTACCAGATCAAGATGGTGATAGACCGCGTGGCAATGACGCAGCGTCCCAGCATGCCGGCGAGCCAGCACAGCGATAGTCTGATAGTGAAAGATCCCAAAATGCTTGCGCGGTCGTTTCGTCTTCCCAAATATCGAATGCAAATATGTCTGGGTCTGGAAAGGTTTTGTCATGCTAGGCTAGCAAGACTCTTAAGTCTGTCATGCTCGTTTTTACCCAAAAGCCCTATTTTTCTGTGATCCAGAAACGCAGTTTGTCATGCAGAATACACGTAGAAGCCTAGGAACTTTTCCATGCTGAGCCAGCATTTGTGGCCTCCACATGCTAGCTAAGTCACTCAGCATTACAAGTTTCCAGACCCAGACATGTTTGCATTTGATACCAAACCCTCGGCGGACGCGCAAGAGTCCAGGTTCTTCGTCAACCGACTGCGTGCCCAATGCGCCTACGCAACTTTGCAGCGGCGGGAGGCGCGGTACAACCGATTCGAACGCGAAAAGCTCTCGCAGCAGATGCTCGCAGCGGAAATGGACAAAGTGGATGCAGAAAAGGCGCTGGACGACCGCGAAACGCACCGCAAGGTGTGCCTGGACATAGTGGAGCGGAACCGGGCCTTCATGGACCAGTGGAACGAGCAGGGGGTGATGGACTGGAAGGCGAACCTTTCCCGGCAGCGGCACCGGGAGCGTCTGGAGGCCAGTTACAAACAGCGCCTCTCGACCCGCCGGCGCCAAGCGGTTCACCACCTTCGCGCGACGAAGACACAAGAGGTGACGCAGGGCATCGCGGACTTTGAACGAAATCTGCGCAAGTTTACGAGCGGCGAGGCGGAGAGCAGCAGCATTCCCTTGGACATGCAGGAAGCTACAGAGCAAGACTACGACGACGGTCGTTCGGAAGACGACGACGAAAGCACCGGAGGCGGCGCGGCGTTGGTGCAGCGAACAACCAAAGCCTTTTCTGCCAAAGACCTGATGTCGTCGATGAGCGCGCAGGTCCCCGCTCCGGAAGTGCTGTTGAAGGACGCAAAGGATTTTTTGGCACGGATCAAGGACAGCAAGGTCTCCGGCAACCTGGCCCGGAAAGAGCGGGAAAAGCGACGGCGGCGATTCCTGGTGGATCTCGCCAAGGAGCACGAAATGGAAGAGGATACCTACCTCCAGGAGCATTTGTTGCAGCAGCTCACGAAGCCTTGCGTGGAAGAGGAGCGTATCAACTACCTGGTCTGGAAGACCAGTCGGTACGAAGCCATCATGCGGGAAGACCGACGGCTGCGGATGAAAGACTACGACGCGCAGCGGAAAAGGGAAAACGAGGCGGAGAAGACGCGCGACGGGGAGCTGCGGGACCTGCAGGTGGAGGAGTTGTTCGGTTCAACGCAGGTGAACGATGCGAAGTGGTACCGCGCGCTGGAACGCGGTCGAGTTGCTCGTCGCCGAGCCTACCACGTCACCCTGGTGGAGAATATAGTGACTGACAGCATGATCGAGCTCCTCAACCTGGCGAACGCGCAACAGGAGTTGACGGACCAACGCGCCCTCGACGACCGAACGTGGAAAAACTGGATGGATAGCTTCATTAACAGCGAACCGCTGGAGGACCTGTATCGGAAGCACCAGGAGCCGGCCACGCGGCCCTACCAAGCGGGACCATATGACGATTCCCAGAAGCTCGATTTTGAGTCTGCGGAGCTGCTCGAAGGAAGTTTTGAAAGCTACCTGCACGGCAAGGACCAGTGGGCAGTGACTGGATCATCCATTTTTCGCGCGAACAGGTTGGAGGATGCAAAGGCCCCCCAAGGTGGGGCGGACGAAGAGCAAGTGAACAATCCGTGGGGGAGAATACTGACGGAGGAAGAGCTGGAAAAGCTGCCGGAGGCCTACAAGCTGCAGTTAACACCGGAGCCTGACGTAGTGAGCAGCCGCGTGACAAACTTCCGGGTATCGACGTTGCTCAAGGAGATCATCACGCAGCTGTACCCAGAGCCGCAGCAGATCATTCCTCCGGCGGATCCACTGCCCGACGTGCCGCTGCGAATCGTTCTGCAAGGCAAGCCTATGGCCGGGAAGAAGACCGTGGCACGAAAACTTGCGGATGAATTCGGCGTGGAAGCGCTGGAGTGCACGGAAATTCTCCAGCAAGCCATGAACCTCGCGGGCCGGCCGCAAGAGGGGTCCTTGGACTCTCTACACGCCAATGCACACGCCCCGCGTGTGGACGCCAGCGCGAACGAGTACCTGATGCAACTCCGCGAGTGCGGAGTGCGCGCGGTCCAGCTACTCGACGAAGGCGAGGTGATACCGCCGGAGCTGTACGTCCGCATGATCGTGTGCAAGCTGAAGAGCCTGGAACCGACCATGAAGACGGGGTGGGTCTTGTCTGGCTTTCCTGCAACGCTCGAGGAGATGCGGCTCTTGGAGAAAGCACTGTGCGGGTTTATCGAACCCTCGCAGTGCGAGGAGACCGAGGGTGCGCAGCGAAAGTTGGCCGTCGAGCTGCTGATTCCCGGGCCCGCAAAGGTGCCGGAGCCGTTCGTCCCGCAACAAGGAGGGTACGACCTGTACCTGTTGCTCGAAGCGAGTTGCGAGGCGGTGGTGCTGCGCTCTGCGGGCCGGCGGATCGACCTGACAACGAGAACCGTCTACAACGTGGCAGATGATCAGCAAAAGAAGCCTGCCGATATCCGGTACGAAAACCTGCGTGCCTTGGATCTGAAGGAGAAGGCGCAGGGTACGTTTGTGGAGCGTATGCACTTCTTCGATGTCAATCAGGTCGAGACGCTCGACTTTTTGAAGCTCTTTGCGCCACTTTCGGAGATGCCGCGGCTGCAAGTCGTCGGCGAAGACGCACCGGAGCACGTGTTTGAAAACGTGCGCGAACGATTGCAGGGGTTGCTAGAAGCTCGAACGAGTGCAAAGGAAGCCGTTCCGGAAACCAATCAAGCGCCTGCTCTCGAAGCGAGCAGCTCGGGGCCACCAGCAGGGGAGGAGGAGGAGCAGGCGCAGGCAGTCGACGCGGTCGCTGTAGAAGCCGCCCCAGCTTCATCGCCGGAAGTAGACGCAGCGGCTGCAGGACAGAGTGAACAAGACGTGGCCGTGCCGGAGCCGGAGGCTGTGTCGTTGCTGCTGCCGCTGGAGGATGTACAGAAAAAGTGTGGACAACTGGAGCATCGGTACCTCGAACTTCTGCACGGCCAGTGGCTGGAAATCCAAGACCCGTATGTGGAGAAGTGCAAACTGGCCCTGCAAAAGTACGAACAGCTTCTGCGGGAGTCGGCCCAAGGATTGTCGCACCTGCGGGAATCGTTCGTGTCATTTTTGGAGCGCGAGAAGCCGGAAAAACAGGGCCTCCTCAACGAGTACATCGTAGCGTACAACTCATGGAACGCGGAGTACCCACACATGATTTTGGACGATAAACCGCGAGCAGAATTTCACCTCCGACTGCAAATGATGCGGGAAAAGTTTGCCTCCTTCCGCGAGGAGAAGCGGGTAGAGACGCAGGCCTTCATAGAAGACATCAAGACCAGCGGGTTTGTCGATGGTGCCGTCAACACTGTCTGCCTTGCCAGCGAGCTTCTGGTAATCGAGTACATCTAGTATCTATGATTTGAAGACGCCACACCCACACGAACGAAGATATTAATTTGCACGATCGGAGACTAGATGTTGTCCTAACCTTAATTTCTTTTGCGCACTGATCTTAAGGAAAAAAATAATTGGCCTCCTCGGTATTCACCGCAGTCTTTGTTTTCTACATCGATCTCGACGTGGATGAAGACGGAGATCTTAAGCAAATTTTAGCCGTATAATTGCAATTGCAGGTTGCGGTCGAGACAGAGCGGTATCACCTGACCAGCCAGCTGCTGTGCAACGTTTACGCCTTGATGCAGAACCGGAATATCCCAGAACCGCGTCCGCTTCCCGAGAAAATCGCTATCGCGAAGGGCACCGCGGAGGACGAGGCGGAGCCATTCTCGGCGCGGGAGCGGAGCGAGGACAGTGCGACGTACGAATTTTCTTTTTTGGCGAAACTGGAGGAGTACGCGAACAAGTGTTGCTGGCCCCTGGAGCCGATGATCACCGAGGAGGATGGGCCACCGACGCCGTTGCAGCTGGATGAGCAGCAGGCGCTGGTGTCTGAGCGGTTGGTGTACTTGACAAAAGTGGAACAAATCCGCAGTTGGGCGCGCAAACAGTGCGAGGATTTGTGCGCGGAGGAGTCCAGGATGTACACCTCCTTCTTTGAGCTGTTGACCGCGCGCGAACACAAAGAGGGGCGAGTGGAAGCGAAAGTCTTGCAGAAACTTCACACCGCGATCGAGAACTGCTTGCCCGTCGAAAACCGGCTCCGGTTCGTGGACTCCACCCAGGTTGCGGGGGTGATCAACGAACGCATTGCGCCGGAGGCAGCGCCGCGTGTCGAAAAGCCACGAAAGTCAAATGTGCCTCTGGAGTGGAATTCCGAGGAATTCAACTCCAATCTTGGATTTTTCTTCTCGCAGTACAATTAGAAAAAATAAAGAACTGTGGAAGTTAATCGAGCAGCGTAAAATAAACATAGGAGCTGACCACGAAGGTTTCTGTGACCTGGAAGAGCGGCGTATCGCAACCCTGTTGAAAACAAAGTCAGAGTTTTGACCAATATTATTGATTTTAGCAGTTTCCCACGACCGGAACCAAGAATATGATGTCGCAGCAGCGGGGACGGACACAACGATGCTGCAGTGGTTTGTACAGTGCATAATTTTTATCTGTCGTCTGATATTGCTCCGCACCATCCGAATCAATTTTAAATCGTAGTTCATCCTAGCTATTCAAGCCAGCTACCGGGGCAAGAAAACATAAAGGACAGAGAAAGTCGATAATGAGCCTGTTCTTCAGGTGGTCTTTGAACCCTTGACGCCTCTCACGGGCATTTTGAGAAAGACGGCAGATCAAGGTGGCAAATGGAAGAATGCGCTCTTACCTGTAAAAACGGATCCTCTGGAAATGAATTTTTCGTGCAAATTTGATCAATGACTAAGACGCCGTTCTTCATCAAATGTGCAGGAGCTATAGGAAAACTCAGGATCAAGCAGTAGATACGGGATCTCAAATGTGGGTGTGATTGACTGGTCCCATGGAACGCATCAAATGCTCAGCTTGATTCTTGCAAAATCATTCGAGTTCTCATTAGAGTTGAGAGCAATGAATAAAATAACACATCAAATAAGTACGTAGCCCTGGTTCGCATTTGAAAACAGCAGAGGATACTTTTTTTCAGTGGTTTTTCGCGACCCCTTTTCTCCGTACCTGGACGAGGCTCTCCATTGACTGACATGGACGTCGTGATAGTTACCTCGCGCAGCCCTATTACGTAGTCCCCTGGATGAAGATTCCCATACTCATCGACCGATTTTATTTTCTTTTGTAAAAGCGCAATGGAGTGGTTTTTCGCGAAGGCTTCCGCGACGAAGCGGGAAAAGGACATTCCGAACCTGGAAACATTGCAGGCGCTGGTGAACGAAGAAGTGGAGCAATTCGTTGTTGCCGACCCCAGTGGAGGACCACTCGCAGGCACGACCGCAAACACCGAGGGCCAAAGCCCTTTCATTGATGCACTCGACCAGGTCGAATGGTCGGCCAAGGACGCGTTGGCGGGACAGCACCTGGCTGAGGTGATGGTGCCCGCGCTGCTGCGCCTGCACGACTGTCCGAGATTCCAGCTGCCCGTGCGAACGAAGTACTGGCCCCAGCTCCTCCGGAAAAGTGACAAGGCGAAAGAGATTATCTTTCTGCTCGAGCAGCAAATGCTGCCCTCTGCGAACAGCGAGACCGGAACCGGTGGCGCCCTGGGGCGGAGGACCTGGGAGACGAAAGGGCTGATCGCGGAATCCTTGGTGCGACAGATTCGCGTACTCCCGGCAACGCGCTTCCGTTCACGGATCGTGTGCAATTCGCTACCCCACACGTTTTTGCTGTTCAAACACGCAAGTGTTTCGACGACACTGAAGTATCTCGCGAGACCTGCATTCCAGCTCGCGCGGAACCTCGTGCTCACGCCAGACGGGAGGGAGCTGCAGCAGGAGCAGGGAGCCCACGAGGACGTTTTACCAGAGACGATGGCCACCGAGGCGATTTCGACCTTTGTCTTCGCCCTGTTTGAGAAGATTTTTATGGCGAGTTGTGGCGAAGATAAGGAGTCACGACCCGTGCTCTCGTGTTTTGGGAAAACGCTAAGGGGCGAGGCAGACTTCCCCGAATGTCCGCTGGTAGAGGACACGGGGGAAGGGGAACAGCAGCACACTGCAGCATGCGAAGACGTGCTGCAGTCGAGCCGCACGGGCGAGACCGAGGCCGAGATGCAACTGTCGACACGACAGCAGATGGATTACCTGTGTCGCGCCGCTGCGTGCTTGTCCTTCAGTAACCGGCCCAGCATTGCTCCTCGCCGGACAACTCAGAGTGGGCCCGAGCACGAAGTTTCCCCGTTGGGGTTGGCCAGCTTCGTGTACTTTGCCGAATGCAGTTCGCTGGTGTGGGGTCGCAAAAATCAGAGCACGACATCCGTTGTCACTTCCGCCCCTTCCCCCGAGACAGCCTCCTCCGGCACAAGCAAAGCAACGACCGCTGACTCACTACAGCCACTGGATCCCCCACCGCCCAGTGATAAGCACGGATCGGTTTTATCTTCGGCACGTGCGAATATCAAAAACGGTAGCGTAGAGGTAGACGGAAAATGCGGTCCCTACCTCCCCTGTGTGTGGAGCCATGCGACTCGATACGACTATCTGCGGTGCGCCACCGAAGCGTTGCTTGTGCATCGCAAGTTCGCAGCCGCCTTTCATCTGTGGGACAGCCTCCTCCGACCCCTGCTGAAGGTGGTCATGTGCGACACTCCGCCTCCGTCGGGGCACCTGTCATTGCTGCCGCCAGCGTTTTACCTCGAGTTTCTGAAGGCACTTGCTACGGCGGTCCCCGAAGACCACGGCGAGCCGAAGCGAAAGATAAGTGCGGCGACGACCGGGGCTCCTTTGGTTTTGCAGGAGCCGGCCCTCCTCCAGTCCGCAGACGCGGACGTCCGCGATGCGCAGACCCGCACGGTACTGTATCGCGACATGGAGAAGGCCCTCTATGAGGTATCATTCAGGGCGGCCGCTAACGTGCGTCAGCAGTCAACATCCGACAAGGCGCCGAATAGCCCGATGGAGGCGGAGCTGGTCGGCCTGGAGACTCGCTGGGATCAGTATTTCAGGCCGGTGGTGCAGTACTGCCTCAAGCCGAGCGCTCACCAGCAAGTGCTGCCACCTGTGCTAAGCTCCGTGAAGGCCGAGTTCTGGGACTGCCTTGCGAAGATGGAGATAACGCACAAAGATCTTGGTACGCAGGGAGATGAAAAACTCTGCACAGGGACTAGTTGCAACTCCGTGGATGCCGAGATTGCCCGAGTCGAACGGATCAAGAACAACCAACAAGCGAGACTAGCGGCGGTATTTGAGAGCGTGCTGCGCGCGTTGCTGGAAGGGGATGATTCCTTCTTGGGATCAGATTTTTCGCTTGTGGATGCGAGTGAGGTGCTAACGTACGCGCTAAACCTGCTGCGGTTGTGGTATTCGAACCGATGCCGAGATTTTTTCGTCGCGATAGAGGTCAAGAGTTTCGATCGCTTCTTGAACAAGATCGGGCAAAAAATCGATTTAGAGCGGACCTTGGCGCAGGCGGACCAGTCGAGGCTATTCCCCTTGGAGCGGGTGGCTTTTCTGCTGAACGAGGTCCGGGAACTGCAAAAAAAGATCCCTGGTACTGCCTGAGATGCACTGCCGCGAACGCCAAAAAATGACATGAAAAAAGCGACATCTCTATTCTTGAAGTTGCCAAGCGCATCTAAGTACCCTTGAAGACGCAAGCCCTGTGGCCTGAGACTCAGAGGGCAGGTGTCACTGTGTTCGACTTGATGTGCTCAATCGAGGCATCGAAGACCTGGTGTCCCGCCTTGCAAGTCATTTTTGCTTTTCTCGGTTTCTTCGACTTTATTCTTTGTTTTCTCGTGTACTTGTCTTCCGGTTTGCTTTGCTAAGGAAACAAATGCTCGTAGCGCACGTAGCTGCCTGAATGTGGTGCGGGTGCTTTTGTCAGTGCATGTAAAGAAAAGATGTTGCTGATCTTCGGCGGACGGCTCTCGTTTGTTCTTCTCGCAACTAGCCTGGCTCTGTGCGTGCTCACAGCTGAAGCTCGGTACCGATATCATGCGAATAGCACAGACGCTCCTGACGGAAACGAAATCTGGCACGGTTTCGAGATGCTGCTGCGGCCTGCCGCGGGGAACGTCTGTCGGCGGCCGCTCGTAAAGACGGTCGACGACGACCCCTTCAAAATATGCGGAGATGCTCTGCCTTTCGCAGAGGAGGAGAACAACAACAGCAATACGGAAGGAGCGCATGATGATTATAATGAGGCGGGCAGGCCAGCGCCAGCAGCAGAATCCGAATCGTTCAGCTCACTGTCCGATCAGGTCGGCGCGCAGAAGCGGCGAAATGGTTGGTGCGTGGCGCTGTCCTTTGGGGTCGGTGATCCGTGTGACTGGAAGGGCGGGCAGTGGTTTGAGCACATGGCGCTGGAGCACTTCGGCTGCCACGTGTTTTCTTTCGACCCCGCTTTTTCTGCCACGACTTTCTATGAAGCTGCAAAGAAGCGGTCACTGGTGAGCAGCCATCCGCGCCACTGGTTTTTTCCCGTCGGGGTCAGCTCGGAGCGTGACGCCAACTTCGGCGACGATTTGGACGAGTTGCTGGGGTCCGCTGAATTCGTGGGCCCGTCCCCTTCTGAGGATGGGGAGTCTCCTAGTACAACTTTAGAACAAAGGGAAGGAGTAGTACATCAACTCGGAGAAGAGGCTACTATATGCGCTACCGCGAGTGAGGCCGCCGCGAGCCTGCAATCGCAAATCGCCGACAACACGAAAGAAAGCATGCGACTCGTGTCCCTGGGGACCGTTGGAAAAATGGTGCGCAAAGTGCTACACTGGTTTTCGCCCGGCCCGCTTCCGGTGGCGCTGCTCCGCATGGACATCGAGGCAAACGAATGGCCGATTTTGGAGGAATTGTTCGCCACCGCGGGAACTACAGATGATGGAACCTCTGCCGCAGGAGGAACCTCAAGCCACCAGCACGGTGGGACCGCGGGCGAGGAGTTATGGACCAATTACGTGAACATGAACGTGGATCAAGTACTGTTTGAGATCCACCTGGGTGCGACGCGGGAAAGGAATCTCCGGGAAAATCAGCTTCTAATGGAGTTGCAACGGCGGTATCGCGTGTTCTACGTGGACCGAAATCCGGCGGTTTCCGGCTGGACGACGTATGGTCGGCTCATTCCTCATATCAATCACGGCTACAAAAGGCCTTGGTTCGTCACAAAGTGTCACGAGCTTGGTTTAGTGAGGCGCAAGCCGGTCCGCGCCTCGGTGGTGGTGGGAACAGGGAACAAGAGCATGGACAAGAATACCGCTATGCATCTCCCGGAAGCGGAAATGGATCCCGGTGTAGACGAAGATTTGGTCCTGCACACCTCCGGAAACCCAGGAGGTCTGGGTAATCGTCTCGGATGGCTCTTCACCGTCGCTGCGATTGGTTATTCGATGCGGGCGAAGAAAGTGGTTACCTTCTGGGACGAAGAGGCCGATGTTCAGCATTATTCCTGCTCGGCTGCAACTGGAACGTCAAGGTCCGCAGACACGACTCCGTGCGTGTCGGGATACGACGCCCGCACACTGCTGCAGCTCGTGCAGCTTCCGGAGATCTTACACGTCATCGTGGGTAGGGAGCGCTACTTTGCTTATCTCGAAAAGCTGAAAAGCGAAGGGGCTGCTCCGGTTGGTGGAAGAGTGACCTCGTCAAGCAAGGCTGGTGACCACGCGCAAACGGCCGTGAAACTCATGCAGATTCCATTCCATCCGCCCCCTTATCCAAACGACTACACTGCGGAGCCGGCTTGGGACATGTGGTTGCGCTGGGCGCAGCTCGGTATCTTTCCGGACCCTATGTTGTCGCGCGCGGAGTTTTTGCACATTTATCGGACGCGAGTGTACAACAGTCGGCCGTATTTTGAGGCGCTTCAACCGAATTCGCTTTCGCCGTCACTAGACCTGACACCTCGCAACTCAGATCAGGTATCCTCCGGAAACGCGCACCAAGAACAGCCTTTCCGCCCCGTTGACGGAGTGGCAAAGTGTTTTTTTGAGCGGTACTATCACAGTTCTGCTCCAACAGAGGTCGGCTTGCGCGTCGTTTTGCATGCCCGGGGCGGAGATCGGCGGACCCTGAGCACGAGCGACGGCATCACGTCGCTTGCGCTCTTTGCGGCGCGGCAACTGATGAGCTCGCGGCGGCACGAAAAGGGAGCAAATCCGACCTCGTTACAATTTCGTGTCTTGTCTCCGGACGCGGACTTGCGTGATAGCGTGCGTGCACGGGTTCGTGAGATCGCCGAGGATTACGGCAGTGTTTTCTTTGCTGAGGACGGGAATCTCCACGATCAGAGGGTAGAACAGTGCGTGATGCGAGCAGTCGACGAAGGCTCATCCAAACCTGACGCGGACTCGCAGAGCCGGAAGCGGATAATGAATACTGTCCGCACGATGGTTGACTTTTTCCACGTGTATTTCTCGCATGCTTTTGTGTTCGCGTCGAGCAAGAGCACGTGGTCCTCTTTCAGCATCACAGCGGCACTTGCGGGTGGGCACAGTGCGGTGTTTCTCCCCGTAGAGAGCGTGCGTGACAGCTTCCCAGGGAACGTTCGCGAAAACGGAAATTTTGGAATTCCCATGCGGAGCGTGTTTCTAGGAACGGCGGAGGTCGGCAAGTTTGTCGCAGCGAGCTGGAACAACCTGATCGCAGCAAGTAGTACGTCAAAACTGGCGGACCTGAAAAAGCAAAACCAGGTGAGCGAGCCGCACGAGTTGAGCCCGCTTCCGAACATTCTTTTTGCGGTGAGGAATATTTTGGCGGAACGTCCAAAATCTGAAGAAGTACATTGGTCCGCTCTACTGCGGGAGTCAGCTGTCGTGCTCTTGTCCAGAGTTCTGTCGCGCACAAAAAGTATTTTTAGAACGCGTAACCTGATCGAGCGACGGAGCGGCACGAAGAAAAATATTGACGCAGATGCGCATTCTCATCCCAGCACGTGGAGTACCTGGATGAACAAAACCAGTCGGGTGTTTCCAGCTTACAAACACTTTTCGCAAAAGAACATATTTTACGGTGCGGCTCGGCTGCTCATGTCGCACCTGCCGCTCTTTCCCTCGGAAGTGCTAAGGGACGCCCTGCCGACATCAACCCGCTTGCGAGAACGCACTCTTGGTGGGTCGCAAAACGTGGAGCATTTTCGTAATTTGACCCGACTCGGTGAGCGTGACGCTTCAATAGCATTACCGTCCTCGCACAACTTTGCTCTTCTTCACACCGCAGGCGTCCGGATGAAGAATCTGAACGATCGGATAGACACAATCACTTGGTTAGCCGAGGTAATAGAGAAGGTTTTCGATCTCGCGGATACTGTGCCGTACCATGCGAAAACCGGGTATCCAACGTTCGCAATGCGCTCGTGGTGGCCAGGATCTCCGGATCTGCCTCTGCTGAAGCTGCAACTCTTGTTGAGAAAAGTCTGTAACAGTGAAGATTCCGAAGTGCAGCTTTCATGGCGTGTCCTGTGAGGCTTTGTCGCAAAGACAAAGCTTGAAGACCCCGGTTTCCATCCTCGCGTGTGTGTAGCTTCTGTTCATCCCTCGGTAAAGTGTTGGCGCCGATAGTGTAAAAACTCATTGTGCGGATGAATATCAGCCAGGATCAATCCGCGGGAGTGTGAGTGTCAAAGGCGCCTGGTTATTGCGGCTCCGGCAAAGAGCGAGGAGGTAAGGACAAGGAGAGTGGTTTTTCGTCAGTGTCAGGTACGTGAATCTAGTCAACAAACAGACACTGAGTTGAAAACCAAGACTAGCTGCCCGTAGAGGACAAAACCGCAGCGGAAGAGGACTGTTAGAAGAGGGTGCGTTCTTTTTTGTAGAGAACCCACACAGTGACAGTGAGTGAGAATGAATACGAAAAGCACGACATTGATTCAGATGAACCACACGACGGCCTGCCTCCTCGATAGGGGGCGCACGCGTCGATCCGGTAGAATCGATGGGAGGACTATGATGAAGAAGTAGAAAAATGCTTGTCGTGGCGTGTTGCAGTGGTTGATCGTAGATTACAGGGCGGGAAGATCTCATGGAGCTCTCGCATTTAGTGGTGGCGCCCTTCGGCGCAGAGGTGGGGCGCGGTACGAAGAGCGGCAGGTCCTCGGGCTCCTCTACGCCAGTGGGCGTGAAGAGCACAAGAAGCGCGAAAAATGTAAAGCCGCCGACAGTGTCAACAACCGACATCAAGGCCACTCGGCCCAGTAGCGCGACAGTCACCCCGACGGGCGCCAAAAAGATTTCGCACCCGGACGAACAAGCTTCAAGCTATAACCCATACCAGCAGAGTAATAAAGCGCCGGCGATGGGAAAGCAGCTGTTGCACTACGGGACTCGGCATATTCGGGAACAAGATCAAGACAAGCTCTTCCATTCAAAGTCAAGTGTGGTGAAGTCCGAATCCAACATTCAGCTCTACTTGAGAAACGCCGCGCTGAAAAGTCCGAGCGCTGCAAGCGGCGGTTTCCGACACGAGGAACAGAGTGCCGACCAGGAGCCTGGCCCCATAATGACCACCAGCACCATTGATGAAAATTCTTTCCGTCGGCCGGCTGAGAGCACCAGCTGTACCGCTGTGAGTGGTGTTGCAGCCACGCAGTCCTCTTTTTGGAGTAGCGGCGCAACAACTCACGGTCTTGCTGTCGGAAAAGAGAATGGAGACGTTCACCGCCGGGAGCGGCTGTGTGCGATTTTGCAGCGCGCGGAAGAACTGTTGAATGCAACGTCGAAATCGGACATTATCGCGTTGCGCCAAGAATTCCAGCAGCGGCCGGATCCGTCATCCTCAAGTGGAGATCATCGGAACGCAGGTGTCGTGCCTTCTGGCCGGGAGGAGGTGAAAGTGTTTTTCTCATGGTTCTTTCTGTGAGAGAAGTGGGCTCCCGCTCGACTGTTTTATTTTCGACTTGAAAGGCTAAGCCTAAGGCATTGACTCCCTGCGTCGAGACTGTTTTATTTTTGACTCCCTGCGTCGAGAAGTGAAAGAATTTGAAAGGCAAAACAAGAAACCCTCAGGTCCTCCGCAGTAGCAAGCGTTTGGCCCCGGGGTCGCGACCGGGCAGCGCCTACAATTGCTCCACGAACAAAGGAAGCCTGCCGTTCTCGTCGCGGGGGAGTGCCACGACACTGCGTCCGGGTAGCGCGCACCCCGCGTCAAGGTCTGTGTCCACGACGTCTGTGTTGCTGCACCCGCAGAAGAAGGATTCTAATTCTGGGTCCAGCACCGCGCAGCACGTCCCTCCCGCGCAGTTTGGAAGTAATAGTAGCGGCACCTCGCGAGGTGGAAACGCGGGATTAGGAGGACCAGCGCAGACCGCAATGAGAACGAGCAAAACAAATACCTCCTCCACCGAGAGCTTGAAGAGGCGGACGCTGCTGCACTGCAGCAGTACTACAAACAAAAAGGGAAGGGAAAAGACCACCTTCACGCAAACAAATCTGCGACCGCACGAGAAGCTGGATAAGGGGGAGGGACCGGATCACCTAGTATAATTCTGTTAGACCAAATGCTCTTGTTGCTCTGTGTATCGCAACATCAAGTTTTAGATAGATTGTACCAGACTGCTGGACTTCTAGCTGATTAAATTCTACATTTTGCAGAGCCATGTAGACCGCTTTTTTCCGCCTCCGCACATGCGAGACGGTGCGTGGCAGAGGTCGTGGGGTGTGGCAAATCGCTTCAAGCTTCAGATCACGTTTGGATCGGCTACCCCGGGAGGCAACGGCTATTACAAGTATTTTAACGAGTGGCTCACTTCTCTCTTTTGGTTGCGCCACTGCGATTAATGGCAATGATATGCATGGCAAGAAGTTTTTCGAGTGACATAGATGCTTATTTTGCTCCGGTTGACAACAGAGCAATTGTTGCAAGCGACAAACAAAGGGCTTCACTTTGTGCTGCTGCAAGAGCTCGGTGTAATATGAATTCAGGTACAGTGCTTCGATCAGCAAGAGGAAAATGAAAGGCACTGACTACAGCAACCTGATGAGAAGCACGCCTTCGTTTGGAATCGGTACTTGAATGACAACGCTCTTACAGTCGCTCTGAGTCCGGCAGGATACATTTACGATGTGACATTAAAGTTTCCTTTTATGCCTACTTGTTGTTCATCAAGAAAGTTGTTCGATTCTTCCAAGGATTTTGCAGTGTTGATAAAGGTCTGATTATTGATTCTGCAGGGGAGCGTTGCAAGGTTGAAAGACGAAAGGAGGATCCGCCAATGTACAATGTGATGCAGAGTATCGGACATGGGGCGCGCACCACTCTCTTTTCTGCGGGACGCCCGAGCTCGGCGGATCCGCGGCTCCGCGCGAAAGACCAGCCAGGCCCCGGGGAATACCCATTACCCTCGGCCTTTGACCCGCCTCGTGGGCGCTATATTTCGCCAAACCTCTCGCGACGGCCGCAGTCCAGCTACGGTAGTACAACTTTGAGTACCTAAGTTCATGAAGACATTTTGTATACCCGTCAACTTCATAATTTTCTGAAAACCAATACCGAATTTGTACTGTACCACCCACGATCGCAGGTAAGCTCCAGCGCACGTCGACGGTAGCAGATAATTGACTGCCATGAAAGAATCCATCGCATAGCAGAACAAATTGGCGGGCTACGGAATCTTCGGAGCAGGTAGATCAGTTATTATTATATATAGGACGTTCGAAGTCGTGTATGTACACTAGTAGAAGCTTTCACTAGTAGAAGCTTTCACGCTCAGCCATGCGTGGCGTGCGCACTCTGTTTCACACATTGACAGGAGTAAGATGAACAACACATCTTCGCAGTGACCTCTGTTGTAAAAACAGATGAAATTGTCTTCGTGTACGATTTTCAGACAACCAGTGATTGAACTGTCAAAGGGCCCTCTAAATCTAATACATTTATACGACGATTGCGGTGCTTTCAGTCTCAGTCGAGAAGTCAAATGTAGTGAAAGAACGCATCGACATCCATGAGTGAATTTATGCTGCTCTTGTACCATATTTATGTATCGTGCGAGAATAACAAACAAAAAATGTAGAACGTAGCGATGGAAACCTTGTTCTCTGTATCGCTACATCCTGTCAGTCGTGTTCTCGGGTTGCGAGGAAGGAGCCGAAAAGGAATATTCGAATCGGTCTTGAGGATTCATATGTTTCGGTGCTCTTTTTGTGTAGCATTATGCACTAAAACATTTACACGCGTGCTGGTTTCGGTCGATGAGCTCGGTACTTGCCTGTGAAGTAGCTTTGGTAAGCTGGAAAATCGAAATGTGTCACTTCTTTCGTGCTCATTGATTCTCTTTTCAGGTGAGGCTGGCTCTATCCCAACCCATATCAATCCTTGTGGCTAACGGATTTTCGGTGTATTTATTTAAAAGGTTTTACAGTCTCGATTGGTACTTACATTTTTTGTTTTTTTTGTTGCAACGAAGTAGTATCAAATCGACACTTGTTCTAAGCGCATTATTGCTTTTGACAATTTTGCTGTATTTATTCCAGACCCTCAGACCACGGCACTACTTGTCTTGTTTCATCAGCAAACCGTAGACAGTAGTAGATTTAATTGTTTCACGAGCTCAGCAGTGTCATATACTTTATCTTTTTCCGTCTTTTTTTCCCCTTGAAACCTGCTAGTTAGCTCCATCCATGGCCAAATTTCTGCCCGTAATTGGTGAGGCCGTGACCGCGATCGAATCCGCTGCCAAGCTGGTTGCCTCGGGAGTGGTTCTGCCCTTCGATGAGGAGGCTGCGGAGAAGCTGCTGGAAGGATCGGGACAGGCGTGGGTGGAATACTCCGAGCAGAATGTGATCGCCTGTGGGTTGAACATTTTGATCACTGCCGCGCTGGAGGACGACGACGAGGGGGAGGCAACTACGGGCGTGGTGCCAGCAGAACCGCAAGCACGTCTGCACCGGGAAGATGTGGAGCTCAGAAGCCGAGCGACCAACGCTTCCGACACGGAAACGGATTCTACCTCCGCGTCGTCTGCAGACGGCAACGAAGATGAGCCCCGCCGGGATCCGAACCAACCGCCCCGGGGGGTACCCACCAGTGATTTGGCGCTGCTCAGCTCGGATCAGGTCAGTGTTCTTTCGTCGTCCAGTGGCCAGCCGACCGGTCGACGCAGTTCGCGGGTGGAGGAGCTGCGGCTCTCGCTGCAGAACGCCGCGCTGACCTTTGTGTCCAGCGTTCCGTTGGTGGGGCACATCAAAGGGATCGTGCACTTTGTAGAAGGCGACGACGAGTTGGGAACGCAGTGCATGCATAGTGCGACGCGCCCGATCTTGGTCATTGGCGCTGCGGCTGCGACGGCAGTGACCTGCGGCGGAGCTCTCCTGCCAGCCGCGGGTGCGGCTGTGATGGGCGGCGTTGTGAGTATGAGAGGTGAAAAGTCGAAGGACCAAATGCCGCGGGCAGAGTTTTTCATTTGGTGTTGTCTTGGTCATTTTTTTTTTGGTTTGACATTGAAAAGTTACTGTGCAGCAGGCGCAGAATTTGTAGCAGCACTTTCAAAATACTTATCCAGTCAGATTCAAGTCTACCGCGGTCCGCGAAATGTACTTGCACGAAATACTATGTCAAGGGTGAGGATGCGACACGACGTCTGCATCCCCTGTGTGACCGTTACATTGTTTAGTCGTGTCGTTTTTGGACAACATGGAAATCTATGTGATTTTTCCATATACATTCGACTGGATAGTAGTAGTACACATACATGGACATCATGCCTAGCCACTTCTGCCGCAGCGGCTGTCTCTTCCTTTTCGTTGCATAAGCAATGACGGAGTGTTTTCCGCGGTGGACTCCGCAGTGCAGAACGAGAAGAAGATGCACGGGCTGTTTCATCAGGTGATTGATCGTGCGATTCTGGAGGAGGATCCGAACGCCATCGTCGATGTTGGTTTGCTCTTGGCCACGGACGCGGTCACAGGAGCGGCAACGGCGGCAGTGGTTTCCCGTGTCGTGAACAATGGGGCCGCGGCCGCGCAGTCCGGCGGGGGTAATGGCACCAGTGGTGCGGCAACGAAGTCCACCTCCGCAGCAGTCAATGGGGCGCCTACCAGTTCTGCCGCGACGACAACGGGCGCCACGACGCCTGCGTCCGGCGGTGCAGCTGAGGGCGCGGCTTCCGGAACGACGGCGGGGTCCGCTGCCGCAGACGCCACAGCTGCAACTGCGGGCGGTGCAGCAGGGCGCGCGCTGGCCGCGGAAGCCGCGCAAAAGGCGGGCACCGCTGCAGCGGCGGGCTCCTCGTCCGGGAGCGCAGCAACCAACGCAGCGGTGGGAATTTCGCGGGTGGTATCTTCCGGATATGTCAATCTGCGCACTAGCAGCACGAGAGACCACAACTCAGTGTAGTTTTTCGCTTCGCGAATAAACGTACGCGAAAATAACAGATACGACTTTAATCATGTCTGTGCGATCATTTCTTATAATATCGTGTGCACGTCCACGTCAACATAGATCCAAGCTGGTGTATCGAGGATGAGAAAGCGGATGGCGTTCGCGATGCTTGGCAGCAGGGTGCTCTTTGAACTTCAGTAGACCCTGTTGGGCTGCTTCCGCTTGCAATGTTGAATAAGTTTGTGCAAAGTCATTCAGCCAGGAGAGCAGAAAGTGCCATGTTCAACTAACTTGCTTCACTAAAAACTCGCTTAAAAGGCGTGTGCAGATTTGTTTTGCAGGCGATATGGGGCAAAGGCAACTTTGGCCGGAACTGTCGGCGGAACACGGATTGTGGCCGGTGGGCTCGCTGCCTGCGCCGATCGACGTCGACGAGAGCCACGGTTCGGCGCGGATCTTTCGTCTGACGACGAAAACCATATCGGATTGGCCGGCGCTGCTGAGGGCAGGCTGGCGCGGTCGCAAATTATCGCTCTTCGGCACACTCATATGGGACAAGAAATGCGCTTGTTTTGCTTTTGTCTGAATCTTGAGTCAGTGGGCGCCGACTCCGCGCAGGAGAAGATAAACATGCAAGAACGTTGCGTCATCCTGCAGTCGGCGGCCTTGCATCAATTAATATTAAATGAATTCGCATTGTGCTCCGAGAATTTGTTTGTAGGCAAAAAGACAACTACGCGTTGCAAAATTCAGAAGAAGCAAGACACTACTTTTCTGTTGCACACATTGTCCCTCCGAGGAAGATTTGGCGGAGCCTGATGCGGACGTTGGTCCCGAAGGCGCCGGTATCGCCGTCGCTATGCTCGAAGATATCAAGCTCGACTCTGACCTGGAAGCTACTACCGAGCCAGACCCCGCCTCGGATATGTTTGATTCGGAGCCGGAAGATGAGAGGGACGGCGGCGCGTCGGATGCGTGTCCAGAGCCGGAGAAGATCCATTTAGTGGACTGGATCGGCGGATGTTAGCCAGTAGTTTCTATGGCGAATCAATAACTGTGGTCACAAAAATGTAAGGAAAACATCGATGCCCCGTATCCAAATGCAAAAGCAGCGATCCATCGTAGGTGGTGGCGGTCGTGTGGCATATTTCGAAATAGCGGCCAAAATTTATGTACCAAATTTCCTTCCACCCGTCACTCAATCGCGTGTCAGAAAGATCCATCACAATGTACTCTAGAGAAAATGTAAAGTCTTTAATCTCGCTTGAACTGCGACAGCAGTGCTTCTTCACTCAGTGTCAATGCCTTTCGCGCAGCATGAACAAAGTGTCGAATCACTGTATTCTAATTTCAGTGCCTTTTCATTTTCTGCATTGTAGAAATGACATGATGCCACGACTACACGGTCGTTTTTGACTTCGTGTCTCTCCTACCTGTATCTGCGCAAGAATGCACAGCTTTCAACTACAGAAAGTTCGGAATCCTTTCTGTGACCGTCGGCACAAACGGTATTCCATTTTACTGTGCTTGCTGAGCTTCGAGAACAAAACACAAAAGACGAAAGTGCGTCAAAACGCGGGTGCGATGCGAGTTTGTGCATAGATACAGCAAACTCTGTGTTGTGGTTTTCGAAGCTGGTTTTTGAGTAGCGAAGCCAATACCATACAAGGCCGCAACTTATGTCGCGCAGTGGGAGGGTGAACGAGTGGACGGGGGGGAAAGAAAAACGCCAGAGGGGCAAGGGAAAAAAATTTTGACGCAGGGCGGGGCCAGGCATCTGCGCCCCTCTTGCTGAAAGAACGAAGGCGGAGCGCCATGGCGCCCGTGGTTCCCGTCGTTGTGCGAGCGCGAGGGCCCCGCCCGCACTGGGCGCGCGTTTGCGTGGCGGCAAGCCTTAGGCCCAAGCAACAACGCAAAGCGTGGCAGCGGGCGGCCGGCAGTGGACGGGGGAACAGGCCGCGCCATGCGAGGCGCTGGCGCGTGACGCCCCGCCCGCGCGTTTGCGTCGTGGCCCGTTCGTGCCGCCTGCCTGCGTGCCCCGCTCCTGTGCGCCTTGGTGCCCCCCCCGCCCTTCTCCCGCGCGCAGCCTTGCAGAACGGGGGCGCGCTGGGGCCCCTGCCGCGCGCGTGGATGGAGGACGGGCGCCAGGGCGGGGCGCGCATTGCCCTCCAGGCGCAGGGGCCCAAAACCCTCCCCCCGCACCCCCGGACAGCAACGGCGCCTCCCGTGTTAGCCCGCATGCAATCTGTTTCGCCCCCGCCTGCTTCCCTCGCGCGCACCCTCCAAGACAGAGACGGCGGACGGTGGCGCCCTCTGCCGGCCTCTTCGTGAACAGAGGGAGGGCGCCGGGGGAGGGTGGTGGGCAGCTGCTCGCGCGCAAGCCTGGCGCTGGGGCGCGACTTTCCCTTCGCGAACAGAGGGAGGGCGCCGGGGGAGGGTGGTGGGCAGCTGCTCGCCTGGTGCTTGGCCGCCGGCGGCGTTCCCCAGACGGCGGCAGACGTTTTCAATGCATTTCCAGCTGGGAATCCAGCTGGAAACATTTGGAAAAGGCATCTGCTGCAGCGCATTTCCACCTGGAAATGCAGCTGCAGACGCCTTCTCAATGCATTTCCCACCTGGCCTGTTCAAAGTGTTTCCAGCTGGATTTCCAGCTGAAGAGGCCTGTTTGTGGTTTTCGAAGCTGGCACCATAAAAACTCTGTGTTGTGGTTTTCGAAGCTGGTTTTTGAGTAGCGAAGCCAGTACCATATAGTCTTTGAATACGGTTACTGTTCCGTTTTCTGCTCGTGTCGTCTTGATCGAGGCGGTGGCGTTTGTTTCGTCCACAAGTTGTGTAAGATTGAACGTATTGACAGCGTGACCGAGAACTAGAAGCAGTCACGTAAAGAAACCGAACACGAACAGCACGTGAGGACCACGTTGAAAGTGACAAAAGCCATGGGTTCTGTGTCGTTTCTTTTCACAAGTGTGCTGTTCGGGTACTATGTCTCTATCGGCACAATCCAGTTGCTGCTGACGAAGGCTTCGGAGCAGAACGGGAAGCTGCAGTACAACACGAGTTTTGTGGTGTTGCTAATTGAGCTCTTCAAGTCCGTGTTCGCGCTTGTCATGAACCAGGTTTACGGGGCCCCTGGCTCCACTGCAACGAAGGAAGCCACGTCAACATTCTCGGCCGCGTCGGACGGGAGCAAGCGGAAGTCCCGATCGCTCGTCGAAGGGCTGCAGCTTCGGTATGCCATGCCAGCTTTTTTTTACGCGGTGCAAAACAACATGAACATCCTCGCGATTCCGCTGTTGCACCCCCACATCTTCCAGCTGTTCAACAATTTGAAAATCGTGTCCGCGGCCGTGTTCTCAACGCTGCTGCTGCGCAAGCGCTACACGCAGATGCAGTGGCTGGGGATGGCGCTTCTGGTAGTGGCCTGTTGCGTCTCGAAGTTCGAGGTCTGCCAGTCGGCCGCAGAGAAGATCTGGGGTCTCCTTGTCGTGTCCTCGCCGAGCGAGGCCAAGAATTTGGTCTCGCAATCGGCGACAGGGGCTGCTACGAGCGGCCACAACAGCACAGCACCGCTCGCCGCCTCGCCACTGTCTGACGAAGCTGCAGATCTTGCCGGTGCGGCGGATGCACGGTTTCTGCTGGGGTTGTCTTTGGCGTTGGGCAGTGTCGCGACCAGCGGAATGGCGGGCGTGGTGAACGAGTACGTGCTCAAGCATGGGGATGATCACTACGGCTTTTGGCGCAAGAACCAGCTGGCCTACCAGTGGGGCGTGGTGTTCAACCTCGTGCCGCTCCTCTATCGCGCGGTGGACGGGGCAGCGATACGAGAACGCACAGAAGAGCTGCTTGCGGAGAGCAAAACGACGCCGCAGCCGAATTCGTTTTTCGTTCTCTGGGAGGTAGCTCGGAGCGTCCTTTCGTCCCTGCAAACACAGCTCCACGTGCCGCCCGAGCGGCTTTTTGAAGTCAACTGGTGGGCGGAAAAAATCACCAGCTGGTTCTTCGGTTTCACTCCGATGTAGAAACTGCAAAAGCGTCGGCGTCACTGTGTCCGGACGAAGTCGTCGTAAGTTTTAGTAGCATACATCTAGTGAGAAAATTGACGCGTGGTCGCAAGTGTCAATCATTTCTGGGTGAACACTTCAGGCGGTCCGCTGGACTCTTCAGCCCACACTTGGTGCATATTCGTGGCGGCAGTTTTATCGATGTAAGAATATACTACAAGTTGAAGTTGCTAGTTCCGACTTGCATCTCTTTTTGCAATTCCGACGTTTTTGCCCTGCATACCACAGTCTGGCTGCTGATTTTGGTAAACGTGGCGCTTGGCGTATCCATCTCCCTCGTGTTTCGCTATTTCGACAACGTTGTGAAGAGCTTTGGTGGGCCACTGATTCTATTCGCAACAACATTCTTCAGCTGGTGGCTCTTCGATTCCTTATCTAGTACAAAAGCATCGCAGCTCGTAGACCATTGAGAATGCAGCATGCTATGCAGTAAGAATGGAGCCTCGGCGTTTTTCTCTTGAACTTGAAGTACGGTTGGTCACTCCATCAACGCACATGGCTTGTTGCTCAAAAGTACGTTGACATACCTGTTAAGGGTTTTCATGTGGTCTGATATGCGATATGCTTGCATTGCATAGACCTCCATCACGTACCACTTTGTCCTTGCTCTGGGGTTGTACCTGCTCTCCGTCTACGTCTACGTTGGCGGCAAGTCGTTTTTCTGCCCAAAAAGGCTTGCTGTCACAGATGCCGTTGAGATGAAAGACCGGAAAGACAAATGATAAATGAACGCCGTCGTGTGGGTTTTTATATCGCTCTTGCTTTAAAGACATTTACTCATCCTGTCTCGCGACACAGATAGCGAGAAATTTCTTTTGATTGCAGTTCTTGGGGTCGTGAAGGCGACATAACAGCGAGTCGCCCAGAAAACGCTGGTGCGAGGTCCGAGATATGATTTCAAAAAATACAATTGCAGTTCTTCTCACTGCGCAGCCGATCTTGCTGCCACGTGGAAAAAGGTTCGAAATTTCAGCGACCAGCACTGCAGAAATTGAAGTTCAGGAGTGCTTCATGAACCCGAAATTCGTCGCTATTAAGTACTATGATGCAGTAGATAAGTAGGTGGTACTTAAATTCACTTCAGTTCTTCCATTTCGCAAGTCAAGTTGCGCGTCTCGCTGGCGTGTGGTTGGCTCCGACTGGATTGCGTTGAGTGCACGAAATATGGTCTACTCTCCGACACAGGAAGAAGGATGTTACTTACTTTTCTTGAGCCTCTCTCATTGTCATTACCTAGATGCCTGTATAGAGCGTAACTGGAAAAAGCAGGCGTGTAGGGTTAGCTCTCACCCGGAGCGCTTCTTGGTGCGTAGTACAAGGGTACAGCAGTGGTTACAGGGTAAGTACTGAAAAAAATGCCACACAGTCGATGAACCGTTGGACGAAGAGACGCGGGGAGCGGGAGCGGCTACGGTGGGCGCTCGCTGCGCAGACCAGTAACACCGGCACCAGAACGACGGAGACAGAACAAGTACTACGGGAAGACGGTCTTCAGCGCTGCACCGCAGCACGGTTCGGGCATGCTGTGCCCGAGCGGCAGACGGAGGACGACCTCGAGAGCGTCTCCACTGATGACCGGTCACAAGGTTCGGGTCCTCCCATCTCCAGTCCCAAGGTGCACGACGACCAGTGTACCCTGACAGCAGGCGAAGCACTGGTGCCGTGTGCGACAAAAAGAGTTCTGGAAGAAATGGTACTGCGTGTTCTTCGAGACGAGGTAAATCTGTTCGGCTTGAAGCGACTGACCGCTTGCGAGGTTTCTGCCAACCTGATCGAACGGACGGACCTCGACTTTTCCTCTTACCTCTTTGCTCCTGAAGATGCGACTATTGGCATCCTGCCCTGCCATGAAAAACAAAAAGCACAGGAGTCAACCCTCGATGACAAGAACGATTCCCACGACCAACTGATTTGCCCGCCGAAATCAGAGAAACGTGCGCGCAAGCTCGCGCGCGAGGCAATGGAGGCCCTGACGGAGGAGAAAAGAAGCTTGCTGTTGAGACGCCCAACGAGCCTGTTTGTTTACGCGGTTCTATGCAAGCGCTTCGCGATTGCCAACTGCCTGTTGCAAGCATGCGCAGGGAACCCGAGGGTGTTTCTCTTTAGCCAGCAAACCGCAGAAGAAGGCTTGCCCGCCGAGGTGCAAGCGGCTGTGGGAAACCTTCTTCGTTGCAAGCTACACACCGCCTTTGCGTCGTACGTTTTCCAGACACTAGCAGAACTGATTTCGTTCCCGGGGTCTGCTGCCTCCGCGGACGCAGCAGAGGACTATTCATGTCGGTTGTGCGGGTCCTCTCACAATGAAATTCTTTTCAAGTGTCCCCAAAAATGCAATGAACCAGCGGCAGAACATTCTTCACGGCAGCACCATTTCTGCGAGACGTGCTTCTGGAGTTTCGTCGCTGCACCCGCGCGCGAGCCCCTACTCCGGGGAGACTCCGAGTCCAGCGAGGCTTTCCTATGCTGTCCTTGGTGCCGCCGCGAGCTGGCACCGGCGCGGAAGGACGCAGCTCCACACCGCTGTGGTCCCGCTGTCGCGCCATCGTGTGCTGCTCGTTCGGCCGCCGATATGTCGCTCGCGCGCTTTACGGCGTTACCGACGGAGACGCCGGACACGCTGTCGACGTACTTGAAGAAGCTTAGCAACAATTTTACGAAGACCGTGCCGTTGTCGCTGCACGAGACGAAGGCGCTCAACGTCGGCTGTTCGCAACAGGAACGTACGAAGCAGTGGATCCGTGCCGTCGCGAGCAAGGACGTGCTGCGACTCCGGGCCTTGCTGCACGCGGGCGTCGACGTGGACGCGCGGTGCTCGGAATACGGCGCCACGGCTTTGTTTCGGGCCTGCGAGGAGAATTGGGGCCGCGGCGTGCGGTTCTTGCTGGACGAGTGCGGGTGCACAGTTGGTGACGCGAACAATGGCTTGTCCACGGCGGCTCTTACCTGGCGGGCTAACGAACTTCGGCGAGGCGGGTCTGATTCGCTGGGTGATGCCCGACAGCGCAAAGAGGCAACCGAAATTACACTCGCGAAGCTTGGCTGCACCAATTATTGCTCCAGCGTTGAAGAAGACGTCAAAAGCTGCCCGGCTCTTGCAGATTTTCAGCAGAAGCAGGCGCACTACAAAGAATTCCTGGAGAAGTGTAACGCGGAACTGATGCGACGATGGAATGTAATCAGAACAGTACCAGTTGGGAGGACAGCGACGTCTGAAGGGCCATGGCTGAACGAAGCCGAGACAGAAAAACCAAGTTCAGGCACTGGTCTGGCCGATGACCGTGCTGCTCGTGATGAAAGTGAACAACAACAATCTCCTTTCCCCGTTCCTCGGGCCACTGTAGTGTACGACTGCGAGTTGGCCGGGAATAAATCTCCGAGTGGGCCCGTTTCGTCGTGTGCAGCTACTAGCGAAAAGCAACTACATGCGACGAGTGCCTTTATAGTTGACGACGTTTTTCCGGAGTGCTTCCTCGACGCACTGCGGTTCATCTTTGGCGAATTGAAAGCGGTCGAGAAAATGGGGAAATCCGATGTTTGTGCGGCCAGGCGGTATTTTTCGGATACTGAATTTCTCATACAGCCGTGGCTCTCCTACGCCGTGGAGACGCGAGTGTACAAGTACGATGCACAAGAGAAGTGTCAAGAGAGCGGGAATACTGCTGGCACGACTGTGGAAGACAAGGAGATACCCAAAGAAGAAGACGCCTGGAGAATGATGCTGCGTGATATGGCGACACACAATCGAACATACAAAAACATGCGGTTTTTGAACTACCACACTGCGGGTGGCGCCGTCTCGCGACACACCGACCTTTCTCGCACCGACGCTCAGGGATTTACTTCCACCCATACTTTTCTGCTCTATTTCGACGTGTGTAGTACAAGTGGGGCAGACGCACGCACCGAGCGTGGTGCCATTAGTGGGACGAAGGTAGCCATGGCTGGCGACATGAATACTGATGACCAAAACGCCAAGGATGCCGGCCCTTCTGAGGACGCGAGGCAAGTGGACTGCCCAAATGGGGGAGAAACGCGGCTGTATTTGAGGGACTCAGACGGTTTCTCAGCATCGGGAGCAACGGCCTCCGGGCGACGTGCGGTAAACAACGAAGATGAACACTCCGGACACTTTCATGATGTTTCTCCGAAGAATGGGAGGTTGCTCCTGTTTCCCCACGACTGTTGGCACGAGGGGCTGGCGGTTGTGGACCCGCCAAAGGTTCTGCTGCGAGGAGAGATTCTGCTTACTGGGTGATTCAGTGTCTTTGTGATGGCTGGGTGATCTACGTTTCACACCGTCTTCGATCGCCAATTTCGATTCTTGCGCAGAACGCCGATAAATCATGAAAGGTGTGGACACAATTCGAATCGATTGCTGAACGAGAGTGCTCCCCGGGGCCAAACTTGTGCATCGATTGCTCTCGGCTCGTTTTCGGAGGTTCATGATCTGTATCGTTCTTGCAGAAGGTTGTCAACTGCGAGTGCTCCGCCGGCACAGAAAGTCTCATATCGATCCGCAGAAGGGCTTGAAAACAAGGCAATAAATCAAAGGAATGTAGCGTGACGTTACTATGGGCATTCTTTCGGAGCTTCTCATCTCCGCCCGGTCTGGGTTCGACTCAAGCCTCTACGAGCGGCCGCGGTTCGCAAACGCGCTAAGCCTTGCGCAGGAACCTGACGCTGCATCGTGTGCGGGGCTGGATCACCAATTGAATGGCAGACACGGTCACACAAAGCATCGCACCGCGTTCTGTTGCGTGAAGAAGGTCGACGGGGGCAAAGAAGAAGATCTGTGTGTGGCGAAGACGCCGGAAGACAAAACAGCTTGCAACGAGAAGGGTGGCGAGGTCAAAGGTGACAAGTCGTGCCCGAGTAAGCCTCCATGCTCAAGTGCGTAAGTACTGATGTCCATAGCGACAAGTGAGACCGACTGAAGTTTCGAGCTCGGAACCTTAAGCGCGAAAAGAACTTGTTACTACTCAATCTTTTTGTTAGAAGCGAACCTACCTCACGTGCCTGCAATGCCACAATATCTGAGCTTGCTGGCAGGTAAGAAGCGACGAACAATACCAATGGCAGAAGGTCGTCCTTGTCTTGAGGCAGTCAGATACTTGGGCTTACGCAGCCGCGACTGGAATCCGCGTAGGGCTGTTTTCATGTCTGGGTGTTTCAAACTCGAGGTCAGTAAAATTCAAGCGGATCATCGTGTCGTGAGGAGCGAGAGCTCCTGGTGAGAGTCGCTATCGTTTTTCTATTATCTTATTCGTCTTCCTTGTGGTTGTGCCATCGTCGATAAAGCAGAACAACAAGAGACTGGGATCGATCGAGATCAAGAATCGTGATCGTGTCAATGCAACGGCGGCCTTGTCTTCTAGTAGAAGAAGAACATCATCGTGCAAGCTGAGGGTCGTTTTCGTAAACTCGCAATATGTTTTCCGCAGATAAGCAAAAGCTTTTTGCTAAATACTATCAGTAGCAAATAGCACAAACGAGGAAAACAGACACTGCGAAAAAAGTTTTTGGAGTAGTTCCTATCTACGAAGAAAAACAGGATGGGTTTCCTCTCGGACATCTTCCACCGCGCCGCGGACGTTGACCTGCTTGGGTCCTCCGCGACCGACGGCTCCTTGCACAACTGCGGCGGCGTGAAGGTCAAAAACAACGATGTGTTCGGCCCGGAGGTCCAGAGTCACGCGCATGGGAAGAAGGCGAAAACCGCGTTCTGCTGCAAGAAGGACGACAAGATGGTGTGCAAGACGCAAGGGCAAGACAGCAAAGACGCGTGCAAGGCGAATGGAGGGGAGGTTACATCGGAGGCTTGTAAGGATGCGTCGAAGAAGTCGTGCAAAAAACATTTCAAAAAGTAGAAATAAAACTAGTGACGAGGATTCATTCTTGAAATGCGAAACTGTTGACGAACTTATGGCGTCTGTCTTGTAGTCCCAATATCAAATCAAATGACCTTCGAAGAAATCAAGTGACAATAACCAATTGACCAGGAGATTAAATAGCAGAATTACTTACAAGCACAACGTGAGCGACGTCTGAAGTGACACGAAGAAAAAATGTTAATGTTTGAAAAAATAATGCACCTACTTTTAATGTTTTTGTTACCCTCTTGCCCGTTGTATCGTACAAGGAAAACTTTTGTGTGTGATGATTGCCCGATTGTAAATGTTGTTATTAAATTTTCTTGTTGCCAAAGAACCACGTAAATTAGCACCAACTTCTTTTGTACCTACACTAACCAGTAAAAGAAGCAGAAGAAGCACTCGCCCAGTAACTGCAAATCGAAAAAACGTCTTCCACCTGCGGCCCGGAGGAAAGGTTACTTGAGCAAATGTTGATGCCTGCCAAACTCATCATGCATAATTGTAGCGCTGCTCTTCCTATCTTTTACAACCGATTATCATTGAAACATTTGTATCGTCTGTTGTACGAGTAGGAATTGCTTATGCTGCAGGCCCGCTTTGACTCAGCAACAGCATGAGAAATGCCAAATACCGGAAGTAACGGTCGTACAAGAAAGGGAAAGGCAGTACTAGTGCAGCAGAAGAGCTTTGTTTGCAGTGGTCTTGTCCGTAAAACGAAACTTTGATTTCCCACTTTGCTTTTACCCTTTCTTTGCTGTGGTTGATTAAAGGTCCACTCATGTCGCGCGTTATAGTCGTGATGGTTGGCTTGGATGCAGTACGTTGATGAAGTCTGATGCTGCGATGTTCTTCTTTAGGAGCGCGAGCGCCATACGCCACAATCGTGACCTAGACCGCGACTTTCTATTTGGTCATTCCAGTTTTCTCTTTTCGAAATTGAAGATCGGGGGTGCTACTTGATTTCTTTGCGTCACTAGCTAAAGTGTTGCGAACGCGCAGTCGAGGATTGCCGTCCAAGTAACTTAAATACTTTCATCATTATACGCATCTTGTCATACGCATCAAATTTTGTTTATGTTGCAGGATCCAATGGTAACGATTTTTCAGGGGGGTCGCTGACGAAAATGGATGAAGCAGGTGTTGAAAAGAAGAATGCTCCAACATTTGTCGTGTACGCTCTACGTAGTCGCTCGAACACAATCAGATCGGTCGATGTATCGGGAATGGATGCCACAGTTTATGAATTGTTGCACTAAAATAAGAAGTCGTGGAGGGCATGAGATCTGCTGTCGTTGACTCGTTCGATCTCAAGAATCGCATTACATTGCAAGATAGATGCAGCAGCGATTCGTTCGCAATCTCGAAATCCATTGAGCAGGTACTCCTCCTCTCAAGGGTCGGCACTCTCCCAAGAAATTCACGCATAAGTAGATACACATCCGTAGTTCCTTGTTTTTTTGATGTGTCATCGCAGAAAGCACAAGCAGCCTACTTGTAGCGTTGCAGGAACAACAAGTCCGCTCGAAGCGCTGACTTCTGAAAAGTGAAAGTCTTAGAAAGTGAGCTGAGTGAATAAGGTCGAGACAATGTCGGCGCGTTCGCATTCGTCATCGCAAATGATCAGTGCGAGGTCTGACCGACCGTCTGCCCGTGCGGGTCCCAGTTCTGCTCCCGAGCATGCCGCCCCAGCAAGTAACAGAACACCCCGCGCACACAGCATGCCGCACCGACCCCAAGTCTACTTTCCGGAAGTCGGCAACTACACACTCACCGCAATACCAGGTAAAGGTTTTTCATCATGTACGAAAAACGAGCTACCTATCCGTATTCTTTCGAAAGAGATGAAACTGTATTCAAATCTGTTGAATGCCTCAACGTATGATAGATTCCATCCTTCGTCTTTAGTTGATCTACCTGGTTCGATTTCAAAACAGGTTATGGAGGCTACATTCCCGGAAAGGTTAGCGAAAACGTGATTTCCAGTACCTTCAATCGCTCAAACCAGCTTGCAGCAATCAAGTGCGAAGAGAGGCTACTCGATGACCACCAGTATACACAGGAGCCACACAATTACGCACGACACAATCCCTTCGGTGTCACCCTGCCCCACAGAAGGTACTTTCTTCCTGATTGAGGGAATGCGAATGTGTTACGCTCATATCTATGCATTGTGAAGGAATGAATCTGTGCCTACTTGCATTTCGATTTGCAAAGGAGAAGAGAAATCCGAAATTTCTACAGGGGGACCGACGTACCGGGCTACACTGGTTTCATTCCAGGGAAATACGCTGACGGGGTGTTCGGCCATGTTTACGCTCGCGGTAATATCATAAGGAAACATGTAGCCCAGCATCGATGATGTTTGGCATCAAGTTTATACAGCAGTGTTGGTATGGAATCCTGACGGTCGCTATTGCTATGCGCAGAAGAGAAGTAGTCTACAGCATTTGCCATTGCCAAAAGGCCAAATTGTTTCGGCCTTGGTTACGTGTTTCCGCATGATAGCTGACAACATCTCCCAGCTGCTGAAGCAGAGGCAGTACGTGGACCGTGCGGAGTGGATCGGGCGCCTCTACCAGTAGGGAGGCATCCAAGTAGACCGGTGATTAAAATGCAAAAACCTTTTAGTGCATTGTCGCAAACAGCATGAAATCAATCTCCGTTCATGAAGCAGGAGTGCATTCTGACCCTCTCACAATTGAAGTGCTTAACGGTTCTTACATCAGCCATTGTCGATTTTCAGCAAATTTTACGAAGTCCAATAGATACACTAGGTCGGGCTATACACAATAGAACCACCTCATCCTCTTCGACTGAATTTTCTATATGATACCTGCATTGCCTTTGCCGCACCAAGGAAACCGACAGAAGATCTTGTACAATGTTGTAGCTGTTTCATTTTAGTTTCACCGACAACGAAGACGAGAAATGCGCATTCAAATGTACCAAAGAAATACGAAATGATGAAGACGCCGGATTCGTTCGTGCGGGCGCGTCCGCTCCTCTTTCGACAGCGATTGTTGTTTTGCGCTGCTGGCTCTCAAGGGGACTAATCGTCGACATTGACATGCGGGTCGAATCGTGGGGGTCTTATGGCTGCAGCCATGGCCGGATGGCTGCTTCAGTACTACTGACAGATAATATCGGTTGACTTGGGTGATGGTGAATCTTCGCCACCGCATCGTACTGGAGCAATCGCAAAAGAAAGAACATTCTTCAATGAATCGTCGGTCGTACTTGCAACGATACAGTGAGTGTGGTGCATTTCGACGTAAGTACCTAAAATACACAAGCGATTAGCATCTTGACGTCCAGATTAACCCTAACGGTTGCAACTGTAAGCTTTTCGACGTCAGGAACCCAACTGGCACACTCTTTTCCTACTTGACGCCGGTGGTTGTAGGAGACCTACAGTAGCTCGTTAAAAAACGTTTTTTTGTCTAGTTCCATCTCGCACCTGGGTATGGTATCTAATTGCACGATAGTGTCACCGGCCTGTTGCTGATGTGAGCCATTTCAAGTAAGTAGGTCTTCGGCCATCTTTTGTAAGCCCGCACAACTACCAAGTCAATCATGGCCTTTCTCCGACTGACGAGGTCGCAGTGCACTGCGGTGACAATTTTGGGCTGTTGCAGCCTTGTTGCGTGCTATGTGTCGTGGGTCCTGTTGTGGTCCTCCTCCGATGACAGCCTGGACCTTGACGAGGACAGTATGGTGACCGGTTTGGCCACGAGGGGAGAAATGCTGGCAGCGCGGATGAAGAGCACGAAAAATAAAGCGTCCGAAGAGGGCAACGACAGGGACGACCAGGACGATGAAGATGATGATAGCTACATCACGACGCCTCCGCCTGCTGTTCTTCCGGTAGAGAAGCACTGGAAAGACCTGTGTCGCGGAGGGCCAGGGAGGACATCAAAGCGGAAGAAAAGAATTCGAGCCCACGACGACGAGGACCAGCATTCGCTGGTGTGGCGGTGGCAGTTCCGGAGCGCCAAGCGCGAATCCGTTCTGATTTTTCCCGTATCGCACAGCCACCCCCGCGCACGTGTGCGAAACGCCATCGAGCTTCCGGAATCTACAAACGTGCGGCAGCGGTGGACGCTCGAGCTGGAGTTGCTAGTCGCATTGTCGGGCATGGAGATCGACAACATCTTCGGGTCGGGTTCTGCGAAAGCGAACCTCGTGAAAAACGACCATTCTTTTGTAACGAGGCTGCAGTGGCTGCCCCTCGCGGCGATTGCCATGCAGGAGGAGGGCGACCTGTCGGAGGCGGAGAAAATTTTGAAGACGCTAAAGGTGCGCAGAAATAAGATGACACGGCCCGGAGGTGTATTGACCCAAGAAGCTGAGACGTTTCTCTGCGAAAACTTTCTCCTGCAGCCGGGACAGCTGATCCACGACGTGAATCGAAAGTCGAGTTCCAAACTGCTCCGACGGCATGCCGTGGGTCCGGCGAATTGCGACACTGCACCCGGAGGGGCCTTCTCTCGAAAGCACCTGTCGCGGCGGGCGCGCTTGGATGCGATGCGGAAGCTGCGGAGCTGCAAGAGGCGGCTCGGGGCGGAGTTTGCGGAACTTGCGCCGGAAACGCCGGAGCTGACCTCGAAGGGCATGGAGCTGCGGGACAAACGACGTCGGCTGAGGGTGCTTGACGGTTTGAATTTTGCGTATGCCGGCAGGTCAACGAAGCACTTCGACGAGTTCATGGAGCAGGCAGCTTCCGTTGTGCCGGTGAGGGACGTCGACGCAGTAATGCCCTCCCCGGACATGCAACGAGCGGAGAAGCTGGCGGCCAAGATCTTTCGGGAGCACGCGGCGCAGCACCCGGTGAAGGCCAAGCGGCCGCGACAAGATCCGGACGACGGCGACGAGGAAGCATCCGCGCAGCGCAAAAGGGGCGACTTCGCAAAAGCAAAACGAGACGGAGGACAGGAAAAAGACTCGCGGCCACAGAAACCGTCAGAAGCTGCGCATGACGAGGAATCAGAAAATCCTCCTGCTCCTCGTCCTCCTCAGCCAGAAGAGGACGGAAAAGAGGAGACAGACCAGAACGCCATAGCTGCGCCCGACGAAACGCAGCTCGCAAAAGAGTTTTACCAATACGACTTTGGAGGAAGTGGAAATACATGGGTGGCAACCCCTTTCGCGAAAACCAGCAGCGCTGACATTGATCCGCTCGCGGCCAAGGTCATACACGGGCAGGCGGGACAGGATTGGCTGGTGCAGTCTTTACTTAACTGCAAGGAAAACGGAACTTTTATCGAGCTTGGTTCTCACCATGCTTCGGTGCTATCGAATAGCCTCCTCCTTGAGAAGAAGTTCAATTGGCAAGGTCTCTGTTTGGAAGCAGACCCGCAGTACCTTCCGGGATACAGACAAAGAAAAAACTGCAAGCTGGTGCAGAACCTGGTCGGCTATCCCACAGGAAGGACCATCGAATTCGCGGCCTTCCATTCGAAAAAATCAAACGGCTTGTCAGGCATAGTCGGGGACACGTTTGACAATACGGACGAAAACGAGCAGGAAAGCTACGGCGTGAATGCGGTAGTGAAGAAAGTTGTCGCTCTCGAAGACGTCTGGCGCCATTTTCAGTTTCCGACCACGATCGACTACTTTTCACTCGACGTGGAAGGCGCGGAGTCTTTTGTGATGGAGCACTTTCCGTGGGAGACCTTGCGCTTCCGTGTGCTGACGGTGGAGCGCGCCAAGCCGGATTTGCAGTCCCTGCTGCGCCAGCAGGGATACAGGAAGGTGCGCAAAAACGCCTGGTTTGAAGACACTACGTGGGTCGATACCAGAGAAATAGACTCGGAGACGAGCGCGAAGTTCGCAAACGGCGAGCCCATCGGAGAGACCTGCATGGTCAAGGCGGGTTTTCCACGCCCCACGACGCTGGACACGTGAAGGCAGTGTAAGGGCTGCGAAGAACCGAATAGATTGCGAACGTCAAGTCTTTTCAAGACAAGAGGTAGATACGACGAGAGAAAAACGCAAGAACAAATTTACGCATATTATCCCAGGAATTGTCTATCAGCAGGCCGAGGCCCGTCGTGAAGTCCGCCAGCCTTTGGATTTCGATGCGTTCGCACGTTTCGTGACATGTTGCCCGAATGAGACTGATAGATAAGATCTTTTGGAACCGTCTATGTGGTACACGTTGTTGCTTGGGTGCCTGCGTTGGCTATTCGGTCACAGTATCGTATGTCTTCGGAATTTTGGTTCCCCGGACGTTCTGCTTTGGAGTAACAGCACTATGTAACAGATACGTGATTGATTGAAGCAATAGTATCAATTCCCATGCTTGGCGTTGCTTTCGTCCCCACTTCGCTCCTTTACCTGCTTTGGAGGCTCGCGGGTAGTTCTTCCGAGCGAAAACGAGGGCGGTCAAGCGGCCCGGTTTGGTCATTTAGCCAATATGTGCGGAGACATCGAAGGATGATCGCGGCGAAAAAAACAAGACGCGATGAGAAATCCAGAATTGTTGCAGAAGCGCGGGGGCATGGGCAGCCACAGCACGGAGCAGCAGGCACGTCTGCGCAGCACTCTGTCGAGACATGGCTGAAGAAAGGTATAAGCGCGGTGACCAGTAGGATCGTGGGGACATCATCGTCGTCATCCTCACGGACTAAATCCTCGCACGTTTCCATCGTGAATGCGAAAGAGGCCGTGGCTGCGCTCCCTGTGCACCTTGAACGTCGGGCACTTTTTGGTTGCAATGGAGACGGTATGTGGAGCAATGTACGCGTTCGTGGGAGGAAAAACAAGTGGAGAGCGTGGATCGGTGCAGAGACCAGCCAAGCGTTGCTGCCGCCCCTGAGAGTTTTGCAGCACGTGCAGATGCCGCCAAGCGACAAGAACACGAAGACGCTAATGGACGCGCACGAGTGGCGGGAGAAAACGCTCGCTCCCACGCTCGCTATCAACTATCAGAAGGTTCTGGCACAAGCCGTGCTAGAGCGGGCGGGCTACTACAAGGACCCAACCCGAAAATTTCAGACTGCAGGTGCTGCCTTGGACCTCTCCAAGTTGTTCTTTGGGCGCAGGCCTGTCGTCCGACAGAATAGTGACTTCGTCAACGGAACAGATAGAACGGTGCAGGCTCCTTCCTCCGACGGGTGGGGCAGCGAATGGGGCGGCATGTCACTCGCTCAAGCAGACTCAATCACTTTTGAAACCCAGGAGGACCTGGTGACCTTCGCGCAGACGCGGCTTTGCCATTGGACCCCTGGACGGTTCGATTCTCACGGAGCCACGTCGGGAACGGGCAGCTTGGGAGCGACCGGAGACTTCGAGAAGTTCGACATTTGCGTTGCACCGGAGTGGGACGTCGTTAGCGCGGGACTGAAAACCGACGGAAGATGGAGGGACTGCCAGGATTTGCCGGGAAAGCTGAGGAACAGCATTGAACAGCGACGTGCTGCATCTGGGGCCACGAACCAGAAGCATGCGAACTTCTACTATCTGGACGTGGGTGGGAACCTCGGGTCTTGCATTTTCGAGATGCTGGCAACCTCGGCCGAGCTCTTGGCGGGGCTTTTTGTTTTCGAGCCGCACCCCGTCAATGTGTTCCGACTGACTTCCACTTTGTCCCGGTTGCCCCCGCGACTACGCGAGAAGGTAGTGGTGTTCCCGATCGGGCTCGGCGCGGTAACCGACCAGCATTACCCGATTTTCTCGGAGTCGGGAAACATGGGGAATTCGATTTTGGGAGGAGTCTCCGTTGCAGAAAGCTCAGCTAACACGGCGGGGAGCAGGGGTTTGACCATCCATGCGGACACGATCGATGAGATCTTTGGTCGAAGCGCCACCTACGCAAACAGGAAACAGCTAGACAATGGTGGAAGCGTGTTCTCGGGCGGTTGTCCTCACGGTCATTCGAGCGGTGCGCCGACTCCGGAAAAAGAAGGGTTTGTTGGGCTCATGAAGGTTGACATTCAGGGCTTTGAGTGCAACTTTTTGCGGGGGTTTCTACCGTCAACCGCCGACGCGCGGACGCATTGGAGTGTGAATATTCTGCGGGTCAAGGCAGAACTCGACCCCGCGATGTTGTCCCGCCAAGGCTGCGCCGTGCCCGAATACTCGCGGCTGTTCGTGCAGCGCGGGTTCTGCAGTGTTGCGCACAGAGACTTTTCCAACTTTGCGCTGGACCTCGACCTGCGGCGGGGAAAATGTGTTTCCGCGAAAGGTCTACTGAGCAACAATGGTCTTCCCTGCACCTGCGAGTGAAAGCGGGCAGCGTTTTTTTTTGCGATGAAAGAGGTCCATATGCCTTTTTTGAAGCGCGTCGAGAAGTGTTCGCTGTTCCGTCCCGGAAGCTCGCTTTTCGCGAAGACGAAGATGGTCTGCCTGAAGTTCAACAATTTAATTTGAAGTGCGACCACGACGTGATTCGAATTCCAAGGCAGCTAGGGTAAGTACAACTACTTTATTTTTGCGCTAGGTTCTTTACGATCCATCTCGTCGAAGGAACAGAAAGGTTCGTGTTTCACGCTTCCCAGAGCTACAAGAACCCTGTCGTCGCAGTCAGCCTGTTTTCACTTTGGCATCCTTAATGATAAAAATGCGATGCCGTATCTCAGGCGCCTTAATCCTCTTGTCTTGTTCGGAGGCAGTTGCTGTTCGGAGGTTGCTTCTTCGTGCGGATTCTCCCGCTCCTGATTCAAGACGGAACGCCATGGTTCGTGCCGAACCCGAGGATGCTTCGGGGTCGGTTTCTGGGGAAGGCGAAAGCGCCGCCGCGTCGTCGACGTCGAGTGCCAGCCGATTGCCCGAAGCCCGCGCTGAACCCGCCTGCTGTGCGGCCGTCGACGCAGAACACACAATATTACCTGCACGCGATTCGGAGCATGTTCTTGACACTGCGGTCGTGCAAGCTGAGCGTAGACAGCACACCGGGGAACATACCAGGAAGCACTCCCCGAGCAGAGCACCCCAGGACAGGATGATGCTGATGATCAACGGACTTCCGGGGCAAATGGCCGCAGGCGTTGCGCGGGTTGCGTTGGACCGGGGGTATGCTGTGGCCCCGACCTCCCTGACCGGCTCTCGAAAGAAGGAGACTAGTTTCAGTGTGATAGACGAGCGGACGGGCAGTGCCAAACTCCAGGTCGAGCTTTACGCTGCGGACCAGCACGAGTCCGGTATGGCGAGAGCGAAGATGTCAGCTAGCCGGGAAGGCAAAAGACTCGTCGTGATCGACTTCACGGCACCGACCGCGGTGCGCGCAAATGCGAAGCTGTACGCGAACCATCTGGCTTCCTTCGTGCTTGGCACGACGGGGTTCGACGACGCGCCGGGTACTGTACTGGGACCGTCGTCTACAGGAAAAATGACTGCGAGGGAGGCCTTTTTGGAGGAGCTGAGGACGTCCTTGCTCCTCAGAGACCAATATGCGGTCATCGCACCGAACATGAATAAGCAGATAGTCGCCTTTCAAGCCATGTTGTCACGCGCAGCCCAGGAGTTTCCCGGCTGCTTTGCGGGGTACGAGCTGTCTGTGCGAGAATCGCATCAGAAGACGAAAAAGGACACGTCTGGGACCGCGAAAGAGGTAGTTCGAGATCTCAGACGACTCATTTCCGGCGATCAAAGTCACAAAGAATCCGAAAAAGAGAAAACGCATGCGCAGATACTGGGTGCGGACGTCGAGAACATCGAAAAAATTCGAGATGATCAGCGTGCCCGGGAGGAAATGCAAGTGCCAGAAAGGTGCTGCTGCGACGTTTAGAAGCTTTTGACCGCCAGTCGTTTTTTATTCTGGTTGGATCATGCTCTGCCACTGATGTAGAGAAGTGTTGTTCTACGCAGTAGCATTATCGCCATATTAGAGTTGGTTCTTGTCTCTACTTAAGTACATTTCAACATTTCAATTCCAAACAGCGCATTGTGTGGCCACGCGTTCCATACCTACCAGCTGACAAAGAAGAGCATTGCCTGCGACAAGGTGGCAGACGTCGTCTTCGAATTCAAGCACAACGTTTGCGGACGTCAAAGCTACTGTATATTGCTTTTTGCACACTTCATCGCTGTCACGGGATCCACGATGCGATAATGTCAGACGATATCATCAATCTACTTTATGCCTTTTTCTTTGAATCCGCAGGTGAAGGCGCGGTGGACGCTGCGGAGTGGCTATTGGCGAAAATTGAAGAGAAGCCAGAGAAGCGCATCTTTGACATGGTTGATGTTTTACGCGGATCGGAGGCCGGTAGTGGAACAGGATCGTGAACAAATAGGTAGCTTAATGGGCATGTGCTCCTGCCCGGATTGGCGTCCACACTGGCATTTGGTAGTCGCGTGCCCGTGGTGCATAGCGTTGCGTCGTTCCCTGCCCCGGTCTAGTGAGCCACATGCGAAGAGGCCACCGCCAACCACCACCCCTCGAAGTGAAGTGAAAAGCGTTTGAATTTTATTTTTGAGCGAACTTCTCTATTTTGTTTTTGCGTTTGCGATGTGAAAAATGTGATTCTGACTTCTGGCCCACAGTAGCCAGATTCGTGACCACACTTGAGATGATTTCAATACTTCAGCAAGTGCACGTCACCCTGTGAGGGAGCAATATTCTAAAGGAAAGGTATATTTTTCACTACTGCCGCAGCAAAGTCGGCGTGCCCACGACTGACCATCGTGCGATCGTCGATGTTTGTATTATAATCTGTGTTCAAGTGGAGTATTCAAAAAATAGAAAGGCTGGGCACTATTGTGCCGCCCGGCGGGGGGTGCTTGTAATTTACTGTGCTATAATGACAACACAACGACTGATCGTGATCTTCTGGTTTCGTTTTCGATACGGTACTTCTATGTTCGGCCTGCTGGCTCGTATGCTTTTCTGCGCCGGTTTTAAAAAAGGTTTTTGTTTGAGCTTATTTTAGCTTTGTGTTCGTTTACACGCTTCTTACATCTTTTGAAGAACTTTAACTCCAGTTTGCGTTCGGGAATACAACCAGGATGCGGCAGAACTTGTGTTTTGGTGCAGACGACTGTAGCTCCTTGTCGTGCGCCGCTGTGCTGCGGGTGCTCGTGCTGGCCACGCTCTTACCCGCTTCGGTTCTGCTTGCGTCCGGACAGCAGGAGAATCGTGATATTGCGAAGGCGAACCTCACAGCGTGGTATAGCGCAAAGACCGGCACTAGTAGCGAGCAAAGGGGGAAACGTGATGAAGTCACCGCATTCAATCCACACGGAGAAACGTTTACCGCGGAGTTCTATCGGCAATTAGGCGAATTTGCGCTGGAGAACCGGTTTGCCTCGTACCTCGAGCTCGGCTGTGGCGCGGGAGAAGCTAGTCGTAGAGTGGTTCCGACAGTGCGCACCAAGTCCGTCCTTGTCGACAACCGAAACGTGGACGCTTGCCAAGCGGCCATCCGAGACCAGCCAAACGCGTTTTTTGTCGACGCTGACCTGTATTCGAGCAGCTCCTACGGCTGGCCGCTGATCCGGAAAAACGGGCCGTACGACTTTATTCTTGTGCATGCCAGCCACCTTCGAGATCGGGTTGTTTCAGACGTTCTGAACCTGTTGTTGCTTGAGGTGAGGGAAGATGAAAACGGGGAATCAACTGCACGGAGTGCTGTGACGGCAGAGGCTACAGGGGGGGCGAAGATCGTCGGACCGGGAACACAGATTCTCTTTCCGGACTATGGAAATACGAAAAGCCGTGGCAGTGAGCCCGAGCGCTTCGACCCGGGTGTGCGCGAGGCTGTGGACTTTTTTCTGGAGAAGAAACTCTTAAAGGATTGCTCTGGCTTCGGGTTTTTCTACGATGATGTTGAGAATTGGAATGATGGTCATCTCGCAGAAAATGCGAGACAAGCACAGCCGCAACGTGCGGCGGCAGCCGGGGTCCTTCGCAATTCGCGGTACGCGCTCGAGCTGGAAAATGGCTACTACAACGGCATGGAGAAATGGGTGCAGGGATGGGAAGCGATTCTGTGCGCGGTGGATTTTTCTGAGGTGGAGAAGCAGCAGGCTTCGCTCCTTCATTACCGGTTTGTATCAAGTTGAAAAATGCCCCCACCCCCGAACTTGGGAGCATTTGTATTGCAAACCTTTCCAAATGAAACATTCGCCCTCGTCTTGCAGCTATCAGCATCACAGGTTGCCAATCGTGAATAGCAAAAATTTGTATTGCAAAAGACCCCAGCAAGAGCGGCGCTTGTCATGCAAGCGATGCGATACACGCCTAGACTCTCCAGCAGAAAGATTCATACTTCTTTCATGCATGACAAAAAGTTTTCATTTGGAAACTTCGCATCACAATAAATTTTTGCAATTTCAAGGGTGGGGGGGACTTTTCACTGTAATAGTTTGACCAGGTGCTACCTACGCGCCCCGTCACGTTCTTTGTGTATCGCCAGCTCACAGGGTTTCTGCTCAACTTGGATTTTAACGGAATAGCAGCAGAACCGACTGACGTAAGCGGAGTCCTGTCAGTTGCGTCGCACTCGCAGACCGCTGATTTAATACCAATACAAGCAGGCTCGAACCAGATTTCGGAAACCGGCACGGCTCTTGATCAAGGATACTTCTACTTCTCGTTTGACGGACAGCTGGACTCTCAGCGCGCCGCACTGGCACAAGTGGCAGGCTTTGACTATGTCTTTTCGTACTATGATCGGAGCAGTGATGCCGTTGTCCCCTTAGGCGGGCTATTCGATCCACTCGTGCGGAGCGTGAAGCTCTTTGTGCTTGAAACCGGAGAATATTTTGGACTCGGCTTGGATTTTAAAGAACTCAACAGCGTTATCAAAAAAAATTTTGGCGTCATGTGATTTTCTGCGACTACAAAGTGTCGAGGCATTATAATCTGAGTCTGTGTGCCAAAGGTGTCGACGCATTGGAATCCGTGTAGCAAATGGTGTGCTTCGTTGCGGCTTTTTTCGTGGTCCTATCGTAAAGGTGTCTTTGTCGTGATCTTCCACTGCTTCTTTACTTGTCGCTTGCTTTCTAAGTACTTTGCTCTGCTTGCAGATGGAACTGGAATCGATGCTACTTTTCTGCACGACCTGATAATTCGGTGAGTATTCATTGGGTTGCGGCACCTACTCTGGCCGAAGTGCTGTTGATGAGCTTGAAGGGCTTTATTTCGGCGGTCTTTTACTTGGACACTTCATGAGTTCTTGATGCCTTTTATTGGTTGATTATGTACCTCTACCTCATCTTCATGTCGCACATGCCTACGAGTCTGAAATAGATGTTGACCCCAAGCACTCCCTCGTCGCCTTCCCAGGCAAAAGTGAACAAGCGGCAGACCACCGAGTTTGAGGATTGGTTGTCTGGGCAGTCGTATGCGGCGCACGTCAGTTTTTCGTTTGGCGGCCTCGAGGGCCAGAACCTCGAACAGGAACCGGATACTTTTGCGAACTGGATTCGGGACCACCTTTTTCTCGAGTCCCTCGATTTGCGCGGGATGGGAATCGACGGCGAAGCGTTGGGCAAGCTGGCAAAGGTAAGTCGAAGCGACCATGTTCAACATCTTCACGCAGCGTTTTTATCGCGATTTATGTTGCATCGTGAAGCGTCGTAATTTCAGTGCAATACTAGTGTGTGTACATGTACTCATGTGAATGTGTGCCTGCCGAACGTCAGCCCTATGCGGAGCTAGGCAACCACTTGAGCAAGTGTAAAAAAATAACAGCAGGCAAGAATCGATCATCGGTACTTGCACAACTTCAAAAAAAGAACATGAACACTGAAACTAAGGGTCTGAGTGGGAACCGAAGTATCTCGTGCCTAAACTTTACGCACAACGACCTGGGGAGGAAGAACTACAAGGAGTTTCTGCACAAGTTGGCGGACAACGTGTCAATCTGGCGGCTGGAGCTGCAGCAGAACCACCTGAACGCGGAGTGCGGCCGGGCTATCGCAGATTTCATGCGCGAGAATGTCGGGGTCACGCACCTAAACCTGTCCAACAATCCAGAACTGGGTGAGGAGGGGGCAAGACACATCCTAGAAGCCTTCGCCGAAAATGGCTCGATATACGTGATGAAGCTGGCCGGCTGTAACTGCGGGGAGCTAATGCTCGAGAAGATCAATGAACGCTGCCGCAGAAATCGCGCAGCTGTCGCATACAAAATGGAGAACGAACCGCCTCCGGAAGCTGAAAAAAAGTATTCTGATAAAATAGCAGCTGTGGCAGCCTTATTTCCTTTCTCGGTTGACATTTACTTATTTTTCCGGTCGAGCGCCAGAACAAGCACAAGGCTTGGCTGCGCTGGATCGGTGTGACAGACTTGTGACCGAGCAAACGAAAATTCCAGGGAGGACGATGAATCGCCTGGGGACCTGGACGAGCGCGAAGAAGAGGAAGAGGAGGAGGAAGAAGAATACACTGGCAAACAGCGCTTCAATGTCTGTCAGAAATGTGTGTACGTTGGATCATGTGTAGCACGGTACGAAGTACTAGTTGTGCATGTGTAATTTGTTTTGTGTTAGTACTAGATGCGAAGAACCGCACCTCGAGGGAGACGGCGAAGCCCACGATTCTGACTGGGCATTGAGATTGATTGCCTTTGCATAAAATGGAAGAAGAAGACCTCGACGAGGAGGGCGGTGGTGGCAAGGCGAAGGAGAAACAAAAGCGGTCCATCGGGGACGTGAAGGTGGGTATATCCGCTGCAGACTTGCTCCCGAAAGAAACCATTTTTGTGCTCGTGGACCAGAAAAAGCGAGAGCAGGAGCGGCTCGACGACGCAACGTTTTACGAATTCCTCGCCGAGTACCTAGACAGCTTGGAGGTGGACCGAGCCAAGTTCGACCGGGACGAGAAGCGTGCACTGGAAAACATCGAGCGCGACAGTACCGCATTCACCGCCCGTGAAAAGGAACATGTTCAGAAGATCAAAGGTATCAATCTTAGAGGTGGAGCATCAAGCAGCACCAACCTAAAACTTTTATCTGACAATTGTACCAGAATGAAAATGAATTTTTCGACTTTCTCAATGTCAAGCATCGATGATATGTTGGAAAGACGAACGCCAACCGATCGCGATGTCTATTTATTTCGAGAATTGCGCGCCAGCATGTTCCTCACATGACAGACCTCGAAGGCGGCATTTTCGAGATCTCGAAAGACATGCTTGTGTGCCGCAAGCGGCTCGAGGAGAAGAAGCGGGAAGAAATTCAGTTGCAGGACAAGAAGTACATTCTGGAGGGTATCCTGAGTAAAAACGTACCCACCCCAGAGTTGTCATGCAGATTTGCCATGACAGGAACATTTGTAATGCGCAACCCCATGACAGGCATTTTCGATCGTGTTTGGGAACTTGTAATGCTGTAAACAGGATCAGCAGATCGATTTGTGATGCGGCTTTCCTTGCTAACTTGCACTACCTTACGGACTGAAACTTGTCATGCGTGACTCCCAAAACTCCTAGGTTTGTGCTGCAAAATCCCCATCTTGACTCTGGTGTGGGGACATTTTTACTCAGGATAGAGGGCATGATTGGCGCGGAGGAAGAACAGTTCGTGGAACAGCTGGAACAGATGGAATTCGAGCTCAAGGACGTGGAAGCGGACAAAAAGATGTTCGGGACGCAAACCTCCGTGGTCCTCAAAGACCTGGATATGATCAAGAAGGAGAACAAGCGGCTGCGCTCGCACATCAGGAAATTCCAGGAAAGCATCGCGGAAATCGTAGCGACCTGAAATAACGAGTGGCGGTCCGAGCTGTACACCGACTCGCATTTTTTCTGCAGGCTGCGTTCCTCAAAATGTCCCTTTTGCTTGTCTGCCGTTTTTGCACATTCATTCATGCTACATGGAATAAACGCTCAAGAAGAAAAATCAATATAGAAAAGGTGTTTTTAGCCCGCACCTTGCAAACAGGTTTGCTTTGCTTTTGCGGAATAAAACACAGCATTGATCATGATAGATGCGAGGTTAAAGCGACGTCGGCCAAACACGTGCTGGATGCTTGGTTTAATGTTCGTCCGGTTGTGAGCCTGACCAGATGACGGCGTAGCGGAAAACCGTCAATCAAACGAAGAAAACCTCAGAGTGACACGAACGAACGTGATTGACAATTTGATGAGAGGAAGTGCACGGCCACGGTGCAGTTCGAGTTCCGTCAAACAGGCGACCGGGGCAGTAATTAAGAGAGAGCGTAACGATCGGTCGCATCTACAAAACATCCCAATCGCATTGGTGTATCTATGTTGGTCTTCATTTGAAATTGAAGCAGAGACACGATCTCAGCGCGCGCATTGTCAGAAGCACAGGCACTTGTAGAGGTAGGTTTTTGCGTTTCTCTATTTGCTTTTACCGGTTGCTCTCTGCTCCGTGCCGTACTTAATATGGTGCTGAGGGGCCGCGTCGTCCGTCCGCCCTACCACGCCAGCCTGGCGTACCGTCGTCGGATGCGGCGGCGGCGCCGGAGGGAGGAGGTTCCCGACCCGGAGGAGCAGGAGCAGGCCTGGCTGGCTGCGCTCGCGGCGGAGCGGAGCGCGGAGCGGAGGAAGGAGCAGGAGAAAGCGGACTTGATGCTGTCCAAAGCGTACCAGGAACGCCTGGAGAAGGAGGCGGCATTCGCCCGGGCGGAGATCGAGCGGGAGGGTCTTCTGACCGTGCTGGAGGTCACCCCCCCGGAGCGGTTTCTGGACCGCGAGTTCATGGCGGAATGCATTCAGAAAAGCAGCCAGGTGTACTGGAAGTTTCTTCCCGAGGAGCTGAAGCGACCACCTGGGATCGGGGACGCTGCCGAATTAAAAAACTTTGACCCGGAGGCGGACCGGGAGGGGGACCAGGACGTCAAGTTTGCGGTGCTCGCCTTGGACCAGTTGCTCTCCAATGAAGTCGACCAGGTTTCCAACAAGCGGGAAATTGCCCGCCTTGTGCATGCGATGCCCGACGAGTGCCTGCGGATTGACGCGATCCGCAGCAAGCTGCGCGCCCTGGCGGAGGCCAAAAAAGATGTTCCGACGCAGTGGGTTGAGGACCGGCTGGAATTGCTCGAAAAGCCGCCAGAACAGTCGGAAGGCGCGCTCCAGGAGTGCGCTGCCTACTTCAAGAAGTTCGGGGCCTGCGACGCTCTCGCGTTTTGCTCGAGCGAGTTGAAGAGTGACAAGGAGTCCCTGCGAAAGCTGCTGCAGATGACGGCCGTAGATCCGAACGACCCCGCGGCCGCTGTGCCGGACGAGAAGAGCGGGAATTTTTTGGAGTTTGCGCGCGACGGCCCGCGAGCCGACTTCGAGCTGTGCAAGGTCGCGGTGAGTTCGGATCCGTCAGCAGAGCCCTTCGCGTTCGCGGCCGATGCGCTGCAGCTGAGCAAGGAGTTCATTTTACATGCGGTGCGACGGATCGATGACGGCTGGGCCGAAAATCACTGGAATTTGATCGAGCTGGCAGAATCCGCGGACGGTCGCGCGGACAGCTGTTCGAGAACGAGAGAGTGTGGCTGGCTGAAGGAGAACGTGATCGAGAACGTCCTGGACGTAGCCGCGGAACAGGCACAAGACGGCGTTGCGAGGCAAGCTGTATTGCAAGATGACGACGTGCAGAAGGCCATGCTCGCAATCTACTACCCCTCACCTTCGAAGACGCCCGCCTGCTGTCTCGAGTGGCAAGCAAAAAACGCAAGCACTTACGAGGCACTCAAGCAGAATTTCGAACAGCGGCTCGAACAAGTTGTGGCGGAACGCAAAGCGCGACAGGACGCACACAATATTGCGGTCCGTGCGAACGGAAGAGCTGGGCCGTGCTGTGGTTTAATGTAACTTAATGTAAAAATGGGCTTCGGCATCTAGTTTGCCTTTGCTTGATCTCTCAGGAAAGGTACGAATCCAGTCATACAGGCCGAATAAGTACTTGCACACGCATGGCAAACATGCCTGCATGTTTTTTTCCAAGAAAAATCTTGTCGGTGAAGTTAGCTTTTTTCTTTAATTTCCTCTGAAAAGATATCAAAGTCAGGAGGCTTCAATTCTGCTCTGGACGTTAGTCACGAGATTTGGCAATGTTTGAAGATGATCGAGTTGTTCTTTTTCTATTGCTCGTTGCTGTGAAGATTGAACGAGGAGAATTGACAAGATAAGCGCAAGAGCGACAGCGAGCGACCACACTGTCGATTAATTATGTAGATTTCGTCAACACGCATAAAATTTTCCGATTCGAAAACGAAGATAAACATAAAGATCAGGAATAAAAATCGGCTCGTAGTAGTTCGAGACATTAGCTAAAGTTATCGTCCCCCCCGAAATTTACGCTTTTCGAACAATTTCTGGAGTTGTTTTGCACCTGAATTCGTTTACGTTACGCTCGCCAATCGAGATTGCAAATCGATGTAAAGTTGATTTCACTTGCTCAAGAAATCACGCTTGTGACGGCAATCTGAAAAAATGGTTTCCGCGGTTGCCGAGAATGTCACCGCAAGGATGAAGCACGCGGTGCAGGGCCTGCCGGACGAGGCACGATATACCGTCATCTGCAGTGGGGCTGCCGCGGTTGCGCTCATCCTTACCGTGCTTTTGAAGTTTGCAGCCGACATGGGCCTCGACAACCTGTTTGTATGGCACCCCATCTGCATGGTTTCTGGCTTCGCTTGCATGAGCGCTGGCTACATACTCGTCGCCTTTCCCCGCCAGTATTTCTCCACTGACGGCGCAGTCGCATCATCTGTCGGCAGAAGAAAATACGTCCATTTGAGTATTTTACAATATGCGAAGTTTTGTAGGCATTCTTTTGACGGCGCTTCGCGTGAAGACTAGGAAATCCCGATTGCAAACTGCTGTTGGGGCGGAAGTCAATTTTTTTTCTCTATCCTCACTTCTCACTCATTCAGGTGTGCAAGTCACGGCGATGGCTTTGTTTTTCGTCGGAGTGAGCTTTATCTGGCGCAACCACGCGAGGATGGGAAAGTCACAGTTTGGCTTTAACAACGGTGTCTGGGACCCGCTTTTCCCGAACCTCGTCCACATGGCTAGCGGGTATTTGGTCCTGTTGCTGCTAGTGTTTACCCAGCTCACCGGCGGACTTGGGCGAGCCTTCGGAAAAATTCCACCCCGGCCTGAGAGACTTGGGGAGGCCCCTGCAAATGCGACTACTGGGCTGCTTGCCACCCCTGCGGTTGCCGTTGCAAGTACGGAAAGTGAGCCCGATCCGGAGGAGGGCGAGTCCTGTGCGAGCAGGCTAAAACGGATCAGCGGGAAGGTGTCGGTCAGACTGTGGTACTGCTACAGCTTTTATCAACTGTAAAAATGTCTGGGTCTGGAAGAATCTAAACTTGTGATGCTGTCTCTGGATTCGAAAAAGATTTGTATTGCATGACCAGTAAGAGGAGTAGACTTTGTGCTCCGCGGAGATGGCATTTGTCATGCGGAATAGGCATGAGGAAGCGCTCTAAAAATCTGTGATGCTACGGCATGCATCACAGACATCATGTGTCATGGAAAATATGCATGACAAATCTAGAAATCTTCCAGACCCAGACATTTTTACACTTGATAGCTTTGTGTACTGGAATCACAAGTGGTTCGCCATGGCAGCGTATCAAATGTAAAAATGTCTGGGTCTGGAAGAATGCAACTTGTGATGCTGAATTTGGATTCCAAAAAAATCTGTATTGCATGAGCAGCAAAGGGAATGCAATTTTTGCTACGCGGAGAGGGCATTTGTCATGCGGAATAGGCATCGCGAAGCCCTCAAAAAATCTGTGATGCTAGGGCATGCATCACAGACATCATGGCCAATGCAAAACATGCATGACAAGTCTCAGAATCTTCCAGACCCAGACATTTTTACATTTGATACAGCGTACCTGTGCAGCGTGCTCTGCATCCTCACGGCGCCATTTCCGCCCCTCTGGGGCCACAAGATGACGCTCTTTGCGCAGGGACTGGCGGTGCTCTGTGCGGGCGCGGTCTTCTGGGCCCGTTCGGAGCTGGCGGAGAAGTGAAGAGGCATTAACTTCTTTACGTCCTCGGCGCGTCTGCGGGTTTTGATACATGATGTGTTTTCGTGTGAGAAGCACTTTTTCATTTTTTTGATGTACATATTATGTGCAGCGAAATGAATGTGGTCAGCGTGGTCCTCCTGTAGACCTCGAAAAATATAACGACGACGCCAAGCACAAGCAAAGGGGAGCTCTACAACTGCAATATTCATCAATGAATGTATGTAATAAAGTAGTCACAGACGACGGCGCAAAGGACCACTCGGCCCACTGTAAAATACATTTGACAGGAGCGGTTACAGTTTACCTGACGTTTATTTTTGGTACGTGGAACTCTTCCTGTGCCTCAAGCTTTCATTTTTTTCGTAATCGAACGAACAAGCACAAGCATGAGCAGCATCGCATCTATTTTTTTGATATTTGGTGGGAATAAAGGAAAAGGACCTCCCAGAACCTCACAATAGTTGTTGACCTTTGATGCGACAGCAAAATGGGCGTACGACGATTGTGTGGCTGATAATGTACGCAAACAGCATCCTTCTATACCTGCGAAAGCTCGACATCTGCTTTCGCTCCCAAGGTTACACATGGGCAGAATTTTTTGGCGGTGTTCTCTCTGTACCTCTTGTCGTGCTCCTTTGCATTGTGCATTCGCTTGCACCTAAAGTGCTCATTTGTGTGCAGCCTCGGAGCCTCGAGGTCGTGCGCCTCTGACATTGGGTAACTACTCGCTCCTTCGGCTTCGATCAGCATCAGCACTGCACAAGGAAGCGCCATATCTCTCAGCCACAAGCACCACCATGTCGTGCTCCTCGCGTTCGTTTTTTCCTCGTTCCCCAGGGAACAGACTTGTTCTCATCGTTGCTTTTTTCTTGCAGCTGGAGAACCATGTACGGAACATCAACGCGGAAACGCTGACGCTCGCGAATTATCCAGTGGACCTTCAGCCGGGGGGACTTCCGCTGTGGAACGTCTTGGATTATCTGCCCATTACCGACCCGCATGCTGTCATAGAAGTCGAGAGGTTCCAGGGTTCCAGCGCAAAGGATGGGCCGCAACCGCAAACCAGGGTAAGAATCTATGAGAAGATGACGCAAAATTTACTTTTGTTGATTCGTTCGCCGAGGGTAACTGAATCCGTGATTTCTTTAGGAAGCATGATTCGAATGGCATGACATGACACACACACACACAGTTGGTTCTCATGCCCACAGCGGAGTTAGGCTCGGAAAAGAAGGCATTCGACCCAGATCATTTCTGTTGCAAGGAGAAGGAGGACACCTGCACTACTGCGAGCAAGGTTTTGTACGAGCAGGATCCGAACCGGTTTGGTCTGGTGTTCAACACAACAACAGAAGAGCACATGCGACGTGGCACCTCTGAGGCAAAGGTATGCGCTTCTTCCCTTTGCTGGTGGTCAAATCGAAGAACTTTACGCCGGAGCTTGGTGTGAGTAATTATTCTTACTAGGGCAGCTCCTGCTTAGTCAGCATGAGCCACGCTCCCTAAATTTATTCTGCGGCGACTTATAGGAACGAAGTTTTTGTAAACCTAAACAAGTTCTTCGGCTCTTCACAGGCACTTCTGAAACCCGAGCACCTTGGCTCGCTAGCGCGGACTGGATACTTCTTGGCCATTGTGAACTGTTCCCCAGCCAACGACGGGAGTCTAACGGTGAACGCCAAATTGCGCGTCAAGCACGGGCACGGCTACCTGTCTTCTGCCGGCATGACGATGATCGGGATGTTCTCCATTTTCACGGTGGTTTTCCTCGGTCTGGCGGTGTACTTGCTGTGCGCCTACAAGACGTGGGCGTTCGTGCACCAGGCAGCGTTCGCAATCTGCGCACTGTCCGCCTGTTCGAATTTTTTGCTCGCCGCGCTGCTCCACGTGTTCAACGCTTCCGGGAGCTACCCCCAGTATTGGGGCAAGTTCATCCGGAACCGCGAGGTCGTGTCGTCCCGCGAGCTCAACAACGGGCCGCTCGAGTTCTTCTCCGCGAACGGCACTACCGCCACGAAGGAGCACGTTGCAAGCTTTCGGTTGGCGCTGCTCTTTCTCAGTGGCTGTCTTCTGCTGCGCGGCGGCGTCAGCGCGTCGACGATCGCAGCTCTGCGGCCGGGAGAAAAAATGTACGCCGCCATTGCGGCCGGCGTGTTCTTTTTCTGGAGACTGCTCGCGTTTGGACACTGGGAATTCAATCAGTTCACTGGGCTAAACGGGATGGTCTACACCCGACCGCGGGACGAGGAGTTGCCAGTCTCTCAAGCAGACTCCTCCTTCTTTCAGCTTCCGCCCGCGTCGGCGCTGGCAGAGGTCACCGTCATTTTCGGTCTCGCACTCTACCTGGACAAATCAGTGGCGAAGGCGCGGCGGTTCACCAGCGAGTTTGCACGAAATGAAGGCGAATTTTTGGCCGACGTGCTCACAAAATTCATGGCTGCCTGGGGTGCGTTGTTGGTGTCGATTCTGTTCACACTCGTTGCATTTGTGTTCGCGCGCTTCGCGGTAGCGTCGCAGGTAAGTATTGTTTCCAAACGTACAGAAGAAATCAGCTGGATTTTCATCTCTATGGCTTAGTCAGTGGTACCGCCATGATGCCACTCATACAGCTGTCGACCTATTGGAAAATGTCTTTTTGTGGTGGTGAGGTTCACTTTATCGTCTTTTTAGTTATTCTACGTGTAGTTGCGCAGCAGGCTCCCTAGAAAAGAAAACTCCACAGCCCACATTGTCTCCCGCCGGTGTGATCGAGCCCCCTTCAACTTTGGGCGTGCTACTGGAGCAGTGGAACGTAGTCGGTGCCGAAGTTGGTGAGGACGTGTTCGTGATATGCGGATGCTTGATTATCATCTTGCTGGTTCCGCAGGAAATCAAGGGCCTTTCTGGCTTCATTCCGGTGTCGCCCACTGGAGAACCGGACGCCACCGAAGACGTTGAAATGGTAGAAGCCGTTGGTGTAGAGATAGACGCGATAAAAACGGGCCAAGTGTGGGCGGAGGAGCGCTTCGACGACGACGAGGATGATGAGCCCCCAAATGTAGCCAGCGCGCCGCCCCGCCGGCTGGAGTAGAATTATTTTATTAGCTGCAACGCGAATCCGAGATTGAAACCGGGCGCACGCCGCTTTGTTTTCATTGCGCGTCGTTTTACAAAAAGTCGGCGCCTCTTGATGGTGATGAAGGCGACGTTGTTCGAGCGCCTTCTATTATGCTGCTGGCTCACGCTCATAGGTGTTTCGTGCGTCGACGCGATTCAGCCCTAAAGTGCCCGGGAACTCGCTCCTGCTTTTCCGTGAGTGCTTCGCTTGGGCCTTCCTCAGCTCATTCTGATGTTCTCGATTGGCATCCATGCCCTTTGTGATGTACCGCAGCAGCCATGGTCTTTTCACTTCTTTAGTTTTTTCGTTGATTCTAGCGGCCGTAAAAATGAACAATGCTGACGCTAGTAGTGGACCGCCAGCTTATCGTAATCGTGTGGATCGTTTTTGGGCGTCAACATCGTCATTGATGGTCGCTCTATCTCAGAGTTCGTGGCGAAAATTAGCAAGTTAGCCGAATGGGCCCGGACATTCCTCGATAGTTGATGAGGTCCCGCAGCAGTTAAACAACGACCACGCTTTGCTCCCTCGCCGCGGACGAGGGCAATGTTCTCCATTATGCGGCACCATCCGCGAAATGCGACACAAGAAAGCGCTGATGCGGGGAAGGATCATTATCCTATCAACAATGCTGGTCGCAGCTACAACAGCGGGAGTAGTCCCACCGAAGCAGATCGCGGAACCAGCACCCCTGCTGCTGATCTGCATTTTCGTCGGCTGCGCCGCGGCGTGAAGCGCTTCCACGACTGCTGCTCCAGCGAGAGTCGGACGAGGTACGATCGCGGGGTCGCGGAGTGCCGCGCAGTCCTGAGGCGCTACTTGCTCCTGGACATTCCGCCATCACGATTCGCGGCAAGCAGCAGTGCCGGATCGAATAAAGTCGAGGCAGAGGATACCAACGTGAATTTTGTCTGCGGCTGAAAAATTCAAAAATTTTATTTTTGGGCGTAACGGCAAAGCTGTCTGGGTTGTCCCAGGCCTGGTGGCCTCGGCGGGTGCAGTGGTGCTGAGCGGGGACGCCGCCAGCGGAAAGCACCTCAGCCACGGTAGCTGACCATGGTCCGCTTTTTACGCTTCTACCTTCCTACCCCGGGAGGCCCGGCTCCCCGTACTTCGATTGGCACATTTGTGGGAGTCCGGCAGAGCCGTCCGGCACGAGACGGGGTCCCCGGGGGGGTCGGAGGGTGGGGCCGCAGAAGAATTTGCGCAAGGCCCGAAATCGGCAATTACCAATGGCGTTTGACGATTTGCGCAAATTCTTCTGCGGCTCCAGCAGGGGTGCCCCCCTTGGGCCCCTCCCCTGAGCCCCGGCGGGCTTTGCGCTGGTCATTTTTGGAGGACCTGGGGAGCATGTCAAACAACGCCAAAAGCGGCCATGCTTTCAGGGTGTATTGCGCGCCGCGTTACGATCTGGCGCTAGTGCTTCAGCGCCTCTCCTAATCGATCACACGAAAAGACAACAGGCGCGACGCTATATGCGACCCGGCAGAGACGCAAGTGGCTCCACGGCGTCGCAAAAGTGAATTTTTGAATTTTTCAGCCGCAGACAAAATTCCACGTAGTAGAGGAGCAGGTGGCAGACGGCAACGATCGCTACGTCGTGCAAGATGCGATCGATCACGCAAACCGGCGAAAGCGCTTCCGGCCGCTAGGGCTTTGGGCGATGTCATTGCACTATTTTTTTGCCGATCCTGAAGTGCAAGTGCAACTGCGCGAGCTGTCCCTCACGGCGGAGCTCTGGATCGTTTTCTCCGGGCTTTTGGGCTTTATCGCGTACGGCTTCCTAACGTATGACGCGGACGAGCACTACAGAAATGCTGGCTTTGGAGTTGCAGGAGCGGACGGTGGAAACCAAACCGAAAGTTCTAGTGCCTGGCTGGATGAGCCCCTTATTTCAGCTCAGCGTGGCAGATGGCTGGGAAAGGTTTGCGCCGTAGTCACCTGTGTATGCTTCCTGTGCAGCATCTTCGTGTGTCTCTTCCTGGCCATGATGACCTCCCATCTCGCGACGCTAGGTATTTCCATCGGCGAGACAGCTTTTGTGGCAGCGCCTTTTCCGCGGATCAAACGGGCGCGCGAACGCGATCGCGTGGGCGACGCCTCTGGCACTCCGGGCCGGGTTGGGGAGGAGGTGGGAGGACGGCGGGCTAAGCCGCTCCGAGAACGCGTTCTCGAGCCGATTTGGCCGGGGGGCGCAGGCGTTCTCGAGCCGATTTGGTCGCTCGCGGATGGGCCAGAGGTCGGAGCGGCCGAAGTCGGCCCGGAGTGGCGGTTTGGTCGGGAAGCGATGGGGCCCGGCACGCCGGGCGGGGTTGGGGACGAGGCGGGAGGGCTGCGGGCCAGGTCGGATGGGCGGCTGGCTCTGGCACTTCGGGCCGGGTTGGAGAGGGCGACCAAATCGGCGTGAGGTCGCGTTCTCGAGCCGGTTTGGTGGGGCTGCTGACAAAATCGTCTCGAGATCGCGGTCTCGCGCCGATTTGGTCGCCCGCGGGTGGATGCCCCAGGACGGGTTGGGGAGGGCGACCAAATCGGCGCGAGACCGCGACTTGGTGAGGCTGCTGGCCAAATCGTCTCGAGATCGCGGTCTCGAACCGATTTGGTCCAACTTTGGTGAGGCTCCTGACCAAATCGGCCCGAGATCGCGGCCTCGAGCCGATTTGGTCGGCCGCGGTTGGACGGGTTGGAGAGGCCGATGGCCAAATCGTCCCGAGATCGCGGTCTCGAGCCGATTTGGTCGGCCGCGGTTGGACGGGCTGGAGAGGCCGATGACCAAATCGCCCCGAGATCGCGGTCTCGAGCCGATTTGGTCGGCCGCGGG